GTGAAAACGAGATGGTGCGTCGTGAGTACTGGGGCGAGTTCTTCTCCACATCTCTGCCATAGCCTGCTAATAATCAAGCCAAAAGAAAATTATTCACTTTGTAGTGAATAGAAGACCACAAAGGAGAATTTCTTCCCTAAACCACCTCAGACGTGTGATTTTCTCTGAGTGGCCAGATCATCTTCTCGACGATTACTCAGCTACTGTATCGTAATTTACAACAATGCCATGTTCATCTAGCCTCCTACACAAACATACGTTTGGCTCGTCATGCAACAGTCCTTCCAAACTGGGATGAAGTGTTGCGCGACGTACGAAAATACGTCCGGGTGGGGAGCTAATAAGTATCGTGTGCCATGTAAGGGTTTTTACTTTCAGGACGATTAGGAATATATGATCAACAAAGAAGTGGCCCTTACGTCAAGAAAGCTATGTAGGCAAAGCTGTAATCAAAAAAAAAAATTGCAGCACCTATGACATTCAGGATGCGCAGTGCTCGGTTTTTTTCTGCAGAAACTAAGATTCCTTGTAAGGACACAAGTAAGTCGCCCCGGGCTAACAGGCTCTGTTAGAGAACAGATATTAAGAGAACTTTAGATCTTCAACGACAAATTTCAAAACTAAAACCCTTGTGCAGCAAACCCCTGCAAAGGTACGCCCGCCGGCGTTTGTGGAATAACCATCCGACCGTGAAGACAAAAAGAGCAGGACACTACGGCTCAAAATGATCAGCTAAAGTGAAACATGACGGTCAAACCGATCTCTCTGGAGCTCTTTGTCACTTAGTGTCAATCGTTACGTGTGTAAGGAGGAAACGGATAGTTATTACACTCATACAGACCAGCGAAGCTGGATATCTCTGCTATCAATAATTTTGAAACAAATTAGTTGACTAATCTATAAAGCCTTACTCCTAACCTCTGTCTAGTAACAATATCCAACGAAGGTTTGATGAACCCAGCTTCTTTTCCTGATTAGCGGACAAACACTGGGAATCAGGCCGGTCCTGGATCTTAGTCTGTGTCCTCATCTCCTGTGAAGAATACAAAAATACGAAGGTTTTATCTCGCAGAAGCTTCAGTGCAAACCTTTATACAGGTTTATACTTCAATAAATAAAGAAATTGCTTTTCAACATGTTGACATACCAAAATGGTACGGCCTATGTTTGGGAGATAACCAACTAACGTTATATATTTAGCAGCAGCCTATATATTGCATTGATCTGACCGACCCCATAACCCCATTTCATAATCTCGCTCAACTTGTCAGTCCTGACTAATCAATGATTGTAATAATATCTTTTCAACTGTCTTCACTGTGTCTTACAACCTCAAAGCCCACCTAAGTTAATTAAATGACGATCTTAACAAGTTTGAGGTCTCTGATTCGCAAAGGCCGGCATCCTCGTTGAAGATGATTCCTGACTAACGCGCTTCATTACAAGCGTCAGAGTTCAACGTTGAGTTGTCCACTTTGCAACCCAGCCAAGCTCGAGAATTTTCCTAACAAATAGTTGGTTACCGAATAAAATACTTATCCTTGGAGCTGCTTTCAGTAAAGATGAACCCTAAACACTGTTGTTTAATAATAATATAAATATTCAAGAAAGGCTTCGAGGTTCCGGCCTTATTACCTCATTCACGAACCAACTCTCCAACTCGGGTTCGTCCAGTGTAAAGTTAGACAAGCCAGAACCAACAACGAGCTAAAGATCGCTACCCAAAGATCTGCCAGTGTTAGAGATAGTCGACGGGGCTCTGTCATGATGGTTGTGGAGATCAGGGGAGGAACAGTGAATGCTGTTAATAAGCACAAAGAAGGGCGTATCCCCTAATGGGTGCCAGACCATGGCTTAATCCATAAGCTACAAAAGCAGCAGCTGCTGCTAAAACCAAATCGGCTGTAGAGAGAAAAGGTTAGAAATAAAAATCATAAAAGTAAATATGACGTTACAGTGAAAGCCACTGTTTTTAGACGACACTGCCGCCCGGTTAGCTAATTTGGATAAGCACCGGCATACCAAGCAGGTGATCGAGGGTTCAAACTCTGGTCAAACCAACACTCAGGGTCTTAAAATAACTAAGGAGACCGTGTTGCTTTTGCAATGACATCTTCAAACGGCTAGACTTTCTAGTCCTCTCGGATGGGAAAGATAAATCGTAGACCCCGTCTCACAACCTTGGATATTAAGTGGGATGTTAAAGGAGCCACACACTATTCGTAAAATGTGGTGGGCGTGGTACCCGATGTAGTGGTCTATCTAAAATTCGCATTCACATGAGGGGACATTCGTAACTCATCACCTCATTAATTGTAAACTGCACCACAAGCAATCTGTCGAAAGTCCCTCACCAGTATTATAATTTATCCTTGAAAAGCCCTGAGGGAACTAAATAACAATATATTTACAATTTGCCATGGTCTTTGAATGCGCGATGTTTTCGTCTTGACCAATGTAGTACGTCTTCGTCTTATCAAGAAGTAATAATTACATATCTCCCCTGGAAAATTTACTCAACAGACCAGGAGAAGGGTGCATGTAAGGGACCTTTGCTCTAAGATCTCCTGATTTTCTTTCATTAATATACATTTTAGGTGGAGTCTTGTGCAATAGTGCAAAACTGCAAATAATTCTTCTTCAGTTTCTTTCAAGAATGATGGGCCTCTATTCCAGTCGTAATAGTCTCCTGGTTCTTGAACAAACTCGTTTTAATCCACCGGGTCGAACAGGACAAAATACACCTGTAATGCTGCGTATTGTTGTCCTACGTATGGATCTAATTAACGTTATGACATTTAGAGTATCTTCAGTCATCTGCTCTGCTTTATGCTAATCTCTTTGTGAATTTTAGCCGACGCCCACGATTTTCCCAGTCGTTAACTTTCACTGACAGATATTCCAGCTCGTCGTTTGATGGAACGCCCTCCTTGACTGCAGCCCAAAGAAATCGCATAAAAGTAAAAATGAGAACTCGCTTGCCACCAATGTAGCTCGGGTTGAAATCCTGGCGTGGGTTAAGTTTGATGTTCCTTCCCTTGCTCTGAGACTGGAAGGTCAGTTTTTCTGGTTCTCCAGTTTTCAACTCTCCTTAAAATTATGGAACGCACGGACGTAATAAATGTAAGTGCTTCGATGGAACACGAGTTACAAGAACAACAATAAACGTGAATTTGTATTCTGCGTGACCAAATTTCCCCTCTTTTTGTCGCTTACTGTTCATTACGTCTACATAAAATTTAGCAGTTTCACCTAGGTTTTATCCATAAGAATTGTTTTGAGCCGTTGTTATTGTTGTTATATGATTGAGAGCCGACACGTGTTAGAAACTTAATGGCCATACTTTTATCCTTCCATTATGCACAAAGATTTTATTCCCCTCGATATTCACAGTCCACGCGATTACGATCCAGTGTAAACGAAAGCTTGACAAATGTGCGATAGCTTACACCACGTTAGTACTATACCTTCAATCCACGTCAAAATCCCGTCTAACATATTCCACAATTGTAGCATTGGTCTTGGACTTTCTGATCCAGTCGATTAACGCTATTTCCATAGCTTTAATAGAAGAATTAAAAGATGCGTTGAAAAAAGATGCAATTTATGATTCAGAGCAATCAATGGAGGTAAAATTAGATAATTTACCTGGGCTAACATCGTCAACAAAGCCGCGCTCCGCCGAATGGACACCTTGATCCGCCATATTGATCCTCCAGCAAAGCATGATGGTCTACGGTGTCGGTTTTGGTTTGGTTTTGCTTTTGGTTTTTTTGGTTTTCGTTTTCAAATGTTATAATAAGGTTTTGGTTTTCATAATATAGATTAAAATTGCTAAGTGAAAATCAAAAAGTTTAAAACAAAAACGGAAAATTAAAAAATCAAAATCAAAACCAAAACCAAAAAGCAAAATGACGAAGTGAAAATCAAAACGTTTAAAACAAAAACGGAAAAGGAAAAAATAAAAACCGAAATCTCAATCGAAAAGCAAAATGGCGAAGTGAAAATCAAAACGTTTAAAGCAAAAACTGAAAAGTAAAAAACAAAAACGGAAACGTAAAAAATAAAAACCGAAAAGTGAAAAATAGAAACGAAATCACTATCTGCCCCCCCCCCCCGGGCTTCCGTACCATCCTCCTCCTTGGCCACGTAGAACAAGGACTCTAATTTTCAGTCATGGTCGAACTTCTTAGCAAATTTTCCCAGAGTCGTTTTGTCTTGCTTTGTAAAGCCTTCCGGATAAACCCTCTTTTTAAGATACTTCAAAAGATTTCTATATTTAGCGGAATCCATCTCTAAAATGTTGTCGATTTTCCCGCGAAATCCAGAATTTTTTGGAGGGGATGACCAAGACACTAGGGATTTGGGCATCCCGGGAGGGTACCGGGGGATGCCCAAAACGCTGCAGTAACATGAGAAGGGGATGCCCAAAACGCTGTGACACCACCACTCTCCGCTCATTTCTGATCTCTTCTCCACAACTTACTCCAAAAAAAGGTGCCACTGCTGTTTTGCAAAATGCAACTCGAGTTCACTATGTGGTAGTCTGAAAAAATAATAAAGTCACTAACTTTTTTCAAACTTTACGAGACCACTTCTATTGCAAGCTCAGTCAGGCTAAAGCAGTCACTCGATATTGAATAACTGAAATCTGATGAACAAATGTTCTTTGTGGCTTTGCAAAGAAATTTGAACTCGTGACTATCGCATTAGACTGGTAGTTAAGATCTCATTACTTTTTACAAAACGTGACGATGGTCAAGTCGCGTTCCATTGTTTGTTTTTGATTTTTGTTTCTTTCATGAGCAGGATCTTACTTTCCCATGCTACTCTGTTTACCAACGCGCCTTGAGCACTGACTTTCGTCCCACTGGCTTTTCATAATCATTTGTATCATAGCTCACTGACTAAACTAGTGATCTTTGATCACTTGTTAAGGAAAACCTAATTAGGTTAACCTCTTGCACTTAATCGTGTTATTCATCATTCATGCACTTGCTCTCTTACCAGGCGTCAAACTAGCTAATAATCACCTTAGTTGGAGCTTGGCATTTGTTAAGGTAAGTTCTCAACCAAGCCATCTAGAGAGTACTAGTGTCTTTCGGTTTTTCTCAAAGTTGTTTTCACTTGTAATTCCACTTACAACAGTGAAAAACGATCGTGTATATTATTTTCAAAATGCCTTTTGTTGCTGGAACGTGAAGGCTAACATGACCAAGCTTTAGTTGTTATATAATCTTCAATTAGGAATATTAGGAATATTTTCCGTATTACACAAAACTCCTGTTGTATAACGCTTCGTGACTAAAAAGGAGTTATGTTTTGAACACTAACCGTTACGAAAAGTTTTGCTTCATTTTCTTCAGGAAAAACAGTTAATCGCGATAAAAAAAATACTAAATTCGATTTTGACGAGCCTTAATGGGTTAAGATGACGGCGCTAGGAGAAAACATATTCCGTTTTCGGCGACAGCACCCAGTACCATCATTTCATCCAAACAAATTCGGGTGCCTCCGCTAGTAGCCTGCGAAAACAGCCGTTTCTCCTCGCTCCTCGCCGCTGGGACGTTTCACGTTCCTCCTCGCGAAACGTCCTCAGCGGCGAAGATCGAAGGGGAAACGACTGTTTTGGCTGGCTACTCCGCTAGCCACATACACATTATTCCCTAACGTTTATTTATGTACCAGTCAGTTTGGAACTTCAAAGTTATTACTCGAATTCGATTTCGTCGACATGAGTTCTTTCATAAACCCATATTTGATGTCGCCTCAAAATCGAATTTAGTTTAATGTGATACCGTCTTTCCTTCAAAGTATCAGACACAATACGTATGCGTTAACATGCATCGAAAAAGCTATGTTTTTTGCCATTTTGATCTGTTTACGGATTTTCTGAAATTTTTATACCGTTACATAACTGAAAAACATTAAGGGACCGGTCATTTAAGGGGATCAGAGGATTATTGTTGCGTAACCATATATATGCCATCATTTATTAACTTACTTGTCTTTCCACTTTTGACGAGCTTATGGTTTTGTGACCTTTTTACATTTCAGAAAGTTGTCTTCCAGTCTTCCTTTGTATTTCTTTAACTAAGAAAGTTGATTATTCCAAATGGCGGAGGTAAACATCCCTGGTATTGTGGGTATCGTTGTTTTTTATCTTTTAATTCTTGCTGTCGGCATTTGGGCCAGTCGACGGCGCAAGGCAGGTGAAGAAGAAGCAATGTTAGCTGGTCGAAGTATTGGAACGTATGTTGGTATTTTTACTCTGACAGGTAAAGCGCTTCTCACTGTCAAAGTTAAAGTAAAATCGAATAAAACCTCAATGAATGGAGCCGGAATGATTTTATTTATAGAAAATACTTGAAATGGAGCCGGAATGATTTTTGACCTAAAAATGAACAGACTTATAAACGGTTACTTAGTTTAATTTTAGCATTATAAAGTCCAACGAAAAATGGTCTGTTATTTTAGTCAATCAATGCTGCGTTCTGATTGGTTGAGCTACTACTAGGCTATATGTTATAGCCCGCTGGTAGCGAAAAACGCTGGCTTTTTGGCGGCAAAAAAGATTTGAGTCTAGCTTTAACTACAATCTTGGACAAAATAAATGGAAAACCTAGAGCCCCCCCTCCCCCGCAAATCAAGGATGGGAAAATGGCGCGTTTTTGCCCTTTGCGCGGCTTCATCCTTGATTTGGGGGGCGGTTGCTGTTCCATTTTATTTTGTCCAAGATTGTAGCTAAAGTTGTTTTGTCTCCATTTTTTTTGACCAACTAGTTGGATTTTACTAAAACAATTATTCCTCTCGCCCTCATGGCCTCTGAGTCAATAGCCCATTCGGGCTCGAGGAATAATTGTCAAATAACTTGGTTGAAAAACTAGACCCATAAATCAACTTACAAGATACAAATCAAGGAACCATAACTGCCTATGGGGTGGGTGGGTGGGAAAGCAATTTGTAACACAGCTGAAAAGACTCGTTGTCTGCCTATTGGCTTGTAAAGTTAAATGCTAATCGCTCATTCCTGGAGCGTGGCTAAATAACTCTTTATATCTTAGCGGCTGTCATGCGGTCATACACGCCCTTCCCGCCGCAAGGAAGCTTGCGGCTTGCGGTTGCCTTTCTCCCACGCTGGCCATCGTTGTGTATAAGCTCTCCTGATGCACGCGTTTTCTTATTTTGGTAAGAATAGGACAATTGCACGATTACGTCATTTTACTACAACTACCAGAATCCTTGAGTTTGTTGTTTTCTAGTGCAAATTAAGGCTATTGTTCTTTAATCCTCAGCGGGATTGACAAATTTAAATAACAAAGCAAAACCGAATTGAATTTTGGTAGTTGTAGTCAAATATCGTCATCGTGCAGTTGTCCTATTAGGAAACTTTAACTGACGTTTTTCCGTTTTTCCATAGCAACCTGGGTCGGAGGGGGGTTCATCAACGGCACAGCGGAAGTTGTCTATTCTGAGGGTCTAGCGTTTGCCCAGGCTCCCTGGGGATATTCATTTAGTCTTGTGTTAGGTAAGTAGCGAGATCCATTGAGCCTTCTGTTGTTTTACTTTGGTGTTCATGTGGTTTCTTGGTAAACTTGACTGAACATTGCTACATTAATTTGGAGTACGCTGGTGTCATAGTACCGACATTATTACATGATATCTTGTTTGATATAAATGCAGAAGTGATCCTGACTTCCATTCGAACCATCCATAACCAACGGAAGCATCATTTGATAAAGCCGATGACCAACATGAGTCTTCAACAAAATAATAACACTTGTTAAGTGATTAGCCGAGCGGTTCTTGAAACGAAAGATGAGGGACGGTCTCCAAAAGGGTTCTTCAATCCCATCATCTCAACCCAAATTTTCACTCACTCTCGTAATCCCGAGGGTTATTTTCGCCATCCCACATCCCATGCATACCGTAAATCCTCTATTAAGCCTCCGGGGGGTTATTTATTTCAAATACATTTGAGGGGGGCATAATAGACACGGGGGGCTTATTTATTTTAGCAAAGACGATGGTATCAGTTCTCCATAAAGAACTATAATACAAAGTGAAAAAGCTCAAATACAAGAAGTTGGAGGAGCATGCAATCGAGGATCAAAACAAATCAAAACTTCCAGTTGGTGAATAAACCATCCGGGATCAGCCCAAATGAATTGTTACAGTCGTGATTGAGTAAATCAGTCTATTATTTCTAGTGAAGGATAATTAGGGGAGGGGGGGGGCTTATTAACTTTCTTCCCCGGAAAAGAGGGGTCTTAATAGAGGGAGGGGGCTTATTTGAGACGGGGGAAGGCTTGATTAATAGAGAATTTATGGTACTTTCAATCCCGAATTTCGCCCCAGTTTACGTTAAGATCCCGACCCCGGCCTTGAAATGAGGCAAATCCAATATCCCAAAAACCTGCTGGGGACCCTCATGAAGGAACAATGGCAGACCTTGAGTTAAAGAGCCGCGGTTAGCGTGCGGGCAAGGAGTGCGACGCTCATCCAAGCCTTGCCTTCTTGAGGCTCTCAGTCAAGTTTTGGTACCAAAACCGATAATTAACGGGCCCGCAAGGCTGTTGTTGTTTACATGCAAGATAGAGGTTTCAATAGCTTGGCATCTAACATGATAAAACTATCAGTTAATGAAACAAAATGCAGTAGTTTGCTAGCCAGGACACGCGCTTTTATTCTTGATATTTCGATTTGACGGGCCCGAAAAGTTACTGGGACTTTCGAGAAACAGGCCCCAGTCTAGTACAGTAGAGAGATATAAAGGGAGGAGAACCTGATATGATACTTGGCCAAGCTGTCCTCAGTTTGATCTAAAAATATGGAGGAGGCGGACTATCCCTGGGTATTCCTCCTAAATCCGCCACTGGAGCTGCACGCTCCAGAAGGATGGGATCCCTGTTGCATAAATACTGCGGCTTCTTTTCTTTCAGGTGGACTGGCCTTTGCTAAGATTATGCGCAAAAGAGAGTACTTCACTATGCTCGATCCATTCCAAGAGAAGTACGGACCTCGCATGGGTGGTCTGTTGTTCATTCCTGCGCTGCTTGGAGAGATATTTTGGTCTGCAGCCATTCTTGCCGCCCTTGGCGCCACTGTAAGCGTCGTAGTGAACTTAGATCGTGTTACCTCAATCATTGTCTCTGCATGCATCTCCGTTTTCTACACGCTGATTGGTGGGTTCTATTCTGTGGTTTACACTGATATCATTCAACTCCTCAGCATCTTCGTTGGACTCATGCATCTTTTCGTTGGTACAACTGGTAATGATCTTTATGGCATTTGCAATGACACCAGTTTAGATTTATTGATTCAAAGGAATGCTCTTGTTGTGTCCTTTAAAGATTTTCCTGATTTGTACTGTTCTTTCTTCAAATTTTGTTTTAGTGGATCAGTGTTCCATTTGCAATGACAAATCCAGTCCCTAGGAGTGAGAAAAGTAAAGCATCCATAAAGAACCCAAAGTTTTGATTCAAAGGAATGGGTACCCGAGGGAAAAGAGAACCAAAACATTTTCTATAACGTCCAGTGTAATGAATGACAATTAGCCCTTAAAATGGGATGGACTACGCACAATATTTTTATTGGTATTAAACAAAATACAGATTTTTGTTTCTGATTTGATTTTTCCAACTGCATGGGTGGGATAAAAATTAGGGACGATATTTCCCTCAAGATAGTCTTCAAATTTTGTATTTTCCGTACAGACCAAAATCCTTCTTCGATAGTGTTTCGAAACGCCTAAAAAACAAAAAGCGTTATTTTTCCCCTCACCTTTCAAAAAGCACATATGTAAAATGTTTCAAGGTATTTCAAAACTCACTATTTTAGCTTATATACTTGTATTTTTGTTATTTCAATAATTAAGTCAAAAAACGTTATTTACATTAACCAATATCAATGCGTACAATTTACATTATTAGCTTAATTATTAGTTAATTACATGTGAGAAGTCTAGAAGAGATAACAATTCCTTCAAGTTAATCTTTCTATTTTTTCATTGATTTAAATCATTTATAAATTACATTTATGCTCCATGTTCCTTTAGATAGCATTATTGAGTCAGTTATTGCTTTTGGTGGATTTTATATTAGCATAAACGACCGTAACGTGTATCAATTCGTGCAATCAAGACGATCGTGTGCACGCACATCATCTCAGATCTGTGCACATCAATACAGCACCGAGAGTAAGCGGCCCGGGGGGTACTCCCATACATTACCTATACGGGTATGTGCCGCCCAACGGGGTCGTGATTTTAAAGCTCCTGGTTTAGAAAGGGGTATCCATTTCAGAGGCGTTTTCTAGAACGGGGTATAATATTTCAAACGCATGAAAGCTCCAGTTTTGTAAGCAGCCATTTGAAATTATTCGAGGACAGATTGCTTTTAAAAATACGGCTCAATGCGTTACTGAAGCAAACTGTTATACTCTTGTAGCACCCTAGAACGGAGTATAAAAAACTGGCCCATTTCTAGAACGGGGTATCAGTTTTAGGGCAAATTCTAGAACGGGGTATAAAAAATTGGCCCATTTCTAGAACGGGGTATCAATTTTAGGGGAATTTTTTTTCAGAACGGGGTGCCAATTTGGAGTCCCGGGCGGCACATACCCACCCAAAAAATACCCAAGTACCCCCCCCCCCCCGGGGTAAGCGGTAAGCCATCTGGCAATAATCTAGTACTTATCTCAAAGAAGAGGTGATGCGCGGTACGGATGGCAGGAACGCCCCCTCCCCTGTAACTGGAGATGACACATTAATCAGTCACATTAAGCATAAAACCATCTATTTCTTTCAGAAATAAATTTCCTACAGTACGGTTAAGGGGCATCACATTAATTTTACAACTGTATACATACTTTTTGATAAATAGGATGAGCAGTTCTAGTCGGCGTCTGAGGTTATCAGTAGGACCGGGGATATATTTCTGCATCAGAATTCGCTCTGGGGAAAGATTTAGGAGAGTATTATGGGACACATTAAACCATGAAAAGATTTCATGACAAAATTTAACATTTACTGGGCATGGTAAGAAGGTATGCTCCAATGAATCAGAGTTCAGTCTTACACTGCATGATCACAAAAGTCATCATTTCTGATTTTAAATTTCTTGAGTTCTTTATTGGTTACTAAAATTCTATGGAGAATTTTGTGACCAAATTCTCTTAATTTATTGTCCTTCGTCGATTTCAGTATAAATTGTACTGAATGACTGTTCCCAACTAGTGGCAAAGTAAGGAAAGAAGCTAGACCAGCGTTTAACAGCAGTAGGCTCTGTAGTTTTACCTTCCTGACATGAATTGTAGTAGTGCTTACATCTCAGTTTAGCCGAGGAGAGTTGTATATTGTAGAAACGTAAAAAACCTCTTGTTCCTTAAGTAGGTCTCTTTTCGTTACGGCAATTTCTTGTGCTGTTTTCTTCAAGCAACTTCGAATCACAGCAATAATTAAGTTGAAAATATTGAAGAAAATTCAGGTGAACGTTATATTTAACTTGTAAATCATCAAGGGATAAGATTTTCCGTTCTCGTCTTATAAGTCTTGAACAAAACAGATTTCTTTCTCAAAAAGATGTGCCCAAAATATAGATTTCTTCTCTATCGCGACTTGCTTGTTGTTCCAAAGAATGAATTCATTTCTATAGACATCAGGGTGACCTGTAGGCGGTTCCTTAAAGTAATCCAACATTTCACTATAACGGAGAGGAGGTTGTTTTCCTAAGAGTTTAGAATCATAATTACACTTCAGTAAAAAAAGTAACCCTCCATATCTATTAAAGAATTCGTTTGAGATTGCTTGTCATGAGTCATTTGTACGGTTTAAAAACCTGCCTAGCCAGCACAAGCGTAGCGTCATTTAACCACTGTGCGAAAGTTAGGAAAATTAAGTCCATCGCTTGACAGAGATTGATATACAACAGATCTTTTTATTTTATCAATTTTGGTTTTCCACAAAACGTTTATTATTTTTTCGTGTACCCTTTTAATAACCATGTCAGAAACACCCAGCATAGACGCTGCATAAACTTATTTGGATAAGCCCAGGGTCTTAACCAACATTGTGCATCCAAATATAGTTAGGCCTTTTTTTGTTATATATTCACTCGACCAATATTTGGGTAAAGGTGAGACAATGAGGGTTTAAAATCCTGACCCTGTTTAGGACTGCAGGTAATACTCTGTTTATAATAACGACAAACTGGCACGAAATTATATACCCTATTTAGGACAGACTGGCGTGAAAGTGTATACCCTGTCAAAAGAGAGGTCAAAAACCATACCCTGTCGACCGGTGGAACATCCCCGCATAGGCAATATCAGGGAATACACCCCTCCAGGACTTGCCAAACAATTTGAAGGGCTTGGTATTGTAAGTTGTAGCCAAAAAAGCAAAAATTTCTCAACTTGAGGAAATAGAGAAGTGTGCAGTCGCGTTACCCAAGACTTGGGTTCTCACTTAGTTTCCCTCTTAATAATTTAGATAACGGAGACATTGATGAAGATTTTGTTTTCTGTGTAGATGTTTGGTGGTATGCCATGGCAAATTTATTTTCAGCGAGCTTTGGCTTGCAAGACCCCACGCAAGGCCCAAATTGTCTCTTTTGTAGCCTCGTTATGTTGCCTTCTGATGCCCATACCGGCTGTCCTTATCGGGGCTGTTGGCGTCAAGACAGGTAAAGTACGTTCAGAATGCAGTCTTGGACAGATCCGCACCTTACTGGTGCGGCCTTTTGTCCAAAGGAGTTTTACTAAAATAAAATTAAACTCCGCTGGAAGGCCTTAAAAAGCAGGACGATATAAATTAATATTTTTACTTTCCATAAGTGGCCATCACAGTAAGCAGGCGCGAATGGTGAATGGAAGGGTTTGCTCGGAAGAAGTAGAAACGTGGAAAATGCCGCTGAGGACAAAGTGTCCCAACCAGTTTGGTCGGCAATTGTTGTATAACCTTAACCTACCTGCGATATGATGTTTTTTTTTTTAAATAGAGATGTAAGCACAGAGGACATGTTCGCAGGCTAAGCTGATTTTCCTACGTTTGGTTTAAGTCCGTCTGTTTCTTTGCCATTTTCCTGGCTTGGCCTTATTTATTTCAACAATGCTACGATTTTGCTTCCTCTCTTTCTTTTCTTTCGGGTATTAAGATTTATCATTTTCGCCACCATACTTGCTTGAGAACAATGCAGACTTTCTTGTCATCTTGAAGTTTCTTTTTTCTTCACACTAGACTGGACAAAGACATCTTTTTATACACCACCCGAAGGCAATGTCACTAATCAGACTGCGACTGTCACCTTTGACAAAGCGATGATCCTTCCCATGGTGCTTCAGTATCTCACTCCAACACCTGTGTCGTTTGTGGGTCTGGGCGCTGTGGCCGCTGCTGTCATGTCTTCTACTGACTCCAGTTTTGTATCAGCCAGCTCAATGTTTTCTCATAACGTTTACAAACTTATCTTCCGACAAAACGTGAGATACATTTAATTTGTAAATAACTTGTATGTTGTTCCATAAACTGGTGTATTAGCACCAAGAAAATACATATTTTTAAAGATATTTAGATACAGAGGTTATCTTCTTCTCCACCGGCAAACAAAACAATCGAAGTCTCAGTGATTTACCTCGACATAGCGATGAGCTACAAAAGAGGTAGAGCGTAACACTTGTGAGTTTGAGTTCCTTGGGTGTCATGACCTTACTTGCGTTTTTTCATTTATTGTTTTTTTTGAACTATGTTTACCTTAGTTAGCTATATTTCAGACCTATGTGCCTTCCCATAGTTGCGATGTTTTCTTGTGTTTATGAACGATGCTTACTTTACTTAGCTAAAGGCAAGAGAAGGGAAAAGCAGAGATATTTCAGAGCTATGATATTGCTATTAAAATATAACCATACTTAAATTTTGAGTCGCTAGTTCAGTGATGGGCATCCAATAAACGTTCTATTATTCAGTTCTGGACTGAATTCTAATTTTGTTTTCCAGGCCTCCGATAGAGAAATCTTGTGGGTGATACGTATTGCTATATTTGGAGTTGCCGTGCTTGCGACGTCATTGTCCTTGGTGGTGAAATCAATCTACAGTTTATTTGCACTGTGCAGTGACTTGGTCTACGTTATCTTGTTTCCGCAGCTGTGCTGTGTAATCTACCTTCCAGGCGCCAACACCTATGGTTCTCTCATGGGGTACATTTTAGGGCTGATACTTCGCGTTGGGGGAGGGGAGAAAAATATTGGCTTAAAACCTTTTATTAAATACCCCTATTACAACGAAACCGATGGGCAGCTATTCCCGTTTCGCACCCTAGCCATGATCGTGTCTTTGACAACCATCGTCGTTGTGTCGTACTTGCTGAAGTATTTGTTTGAGAGGGAAATGATACCTTTAAAATATGATTTCTTACACTGCTTCAAAAAGTACGAGTTAGAAAAATCTGCAACAGGGAAAAATAATAAGACTGACTTTCCAATGGTGAAAAGGGAACTATCTGAGAAAGAGTAGAGTGAGAAGAATCTTTAAATGATTATATAGGTTGTGATTGTGACGCTCAATTATATAACGATTTCCACAGCACGCTTTTCCCTTGGTAAAATTTATTATTTTAGGTAATGCAGGTTACAAGTAGCGATAGAAGAGGCGGCGATTAGCAGGGGCTTCGCCGCTCGCTCGCTCGCTCGCTCGCTCGTTATCGCGCAGGCTACGTTTGTTTCAAACTGATATATCATACATTACCATACCCAAAAATAAAGGAAAACAAAATTTAAACCAGGGATAAAATTGAACCACAACATATATACAAAGATTAGCGACAGTGAATTTAATTGATAAAAACTTTATGTATAGTCTTTCAATGTATATGCAGCAGGTGTCACGGAACTAGAAGTAACAAACATGTTCTAGCAAAACCAGTTTGAAGGGTAATGTAATTAGTACTATAAACTTTATAGAGTGTCTGAAGTACATGAATTAAGTGTAGGAGAGTCAGTATTGTAGATACGGTGCAATTTATACTGCAAGTGGGTTCCCACATGCAACCCATACGGAAATATATATATTTTATTAAAGGTTTTTAACAGTTTTATATGAGTAATAGCATTAATAGATCTTGCTTACCTTTTTCTGGTCCGATTTTTTTATTGGAATAGTTGGGGATAGGCAGGATAGCTGTGGTGTATAATAAAAAATTGTGGTCCTTTACTTTTTTCCACATTATTTTTTGCGCCGCTCTCTGGTCATTTCTCATCTCATCCTCACAGTTAACTACCCGTAAGGAAAGGTCGCGCTAGTCATAAATGGTGCAACTTGTTTTTACGATCTGGAAGTTTATTTTGGTCGTAATTTTGACGAATTCTCAAAATATACAAGAAACAAAGTCTCTGGAGTTTTTAGTATCTCTTAGGGATATCATGGAAAGTAAAAACAAAAATCAACAGTTGGAGTTTACTATGATTAGTGATAATTCATATGATATTTTTACATGCAAGTATTACAAAAATAAGCCTGGTTTCCCGTAAAATCTGTAAAGGACTGCGGTGACCTGCAACGCGATTGAAAGCTGTCTGCATCGGACGTGTTCGGACGATCTCAGACATAAGTGACAAACGCTTGAGTTTATATTGAATATGTTTGCGATAAGACCAAATTCAACAAGTAATCACACTCTACTAACTCCACGGTATGGCCAGTACCCAACGCATGCGAACAACCATATCACCCTGGCAGTGTCTGCCATGGACAGCAATCTCGTTCCCAGAGGCTGCGATTCTATTAATCAGCACCCGCAAGGTACACTATAATTATCATATATAAAGTACCTACCGGATCACTAACCCGTTCCGCTGGACGAGGGTAACGAAGACCCTGGGTACGAGATTGCAATGGACAGCTGTTCCCGGCGCCCTCATTAGCGCTCACCAACTTGGCTTAGCCATCACACCCGGGTACGATCGAAGTGGTTTTCACAGGCCCTTTACGGCTGAGGCGAATGCAAACGCACCTTGTATTAGCGATATTTGTTCGACTCAATTTTTTGGTCCAAAAATGGAGCCAAGCACATTTTTGTCATGACACTGAGCGTTTGTCGATCGTGGTGCTTAGTCATTGTAGTAGGCACGAAGGAAAAAAAAGCATGAGTGGGAACGTTCATGTCAGGCTCGTCTCTCGTGCTTCACTTTTTTGCCAAATTTATGTCACAAAGGCGCATCATTTCAGTCTTGCTAAAACAATAAATAACAGATCAGTATATTTATTTTCTGATGGCGTTTTGATCACGAAAAGTTTATTTAATATGGCTCGCAGAATCTTAAACAATAATCTGGTTATACAATGATGTGAATGCTAGGCGCGCTGTGATTGGTCGTTGCCCATGATCTATTAGAGTTTATATGTTATAGACGCTCAGTTATGCCGTATTTACATTTATAACGAATATTATTTTCTGATTTTCACTTAACTCAGTTCTGTTGTACGATGACATCAGTTTACTACTATTACCAGACCTTTTCAGGTTGCAACATCCTCTGAACTAAGGAGCGACTCATTTATAAGATCCGTAAGTGACCGTCGTCCGGCATCAAAATGCTGAAAATGGGCTAAGAACAAAAAACGAGAAGTCCAAAGACTACTGCAAAGCTGATAGCAACTTGTATTGATATTTTCAAACAATATTTCGGCTGGCCATACCAGCCTTCATACTGCTGTTCATCAACAAATTGTTTTCTTTGAATAATGCTAATAAGTCCGAGCGAGGGGGGCAGACTCCATTATGTAAGCGCAAGAGGAATGTGCAGCGTCATATGGGGTGGCAAGGATAGCATGCCGCAAACCTCCACCACAATTTTTCAAAAGTACCCCCTTCCCCGGGCTTATCAGTGACCTTTAAACTGATCCACCATTACGAGTCAACTTAGTTCGCGTGCCTCGCATAATAACTAGTTACAAAAATCCTATCACATTTGTCTCTTGTGTGCAGGCTTGAGTAGCACTAAAAGAAAGGTAATAGTAGTTTAACCTGAAAAATTTCAAATTCGTAGTCGCAGCCTCTTCCCTGGAGAGAAGGTTGTCTTACTCGTAGTAGTCAAATCTAAAGGTCGCTATTAACCATTACAACGACTATATTTCTCGCAAGGTATATGTTACTGTACAAACATTGATTAACCTAAGTGTCAAACATGTCTGCTAGAGATCCTCCTTGTTTCGTGATCCTATCTTCATTAGCCTCTGCGTTACTTGAGTCGCCATCAGTTGTATCACTAGCGTTATTCACAGTAGTCACAACTTGAAGTTCTATGGTTTCTTCGCATTCAGCATTTCTTTCATCGATACAAGTAGAAGAAACGTGTTGAGAACCGACCGCTTTATTTTCAGCAGGAGAAAAATCACTTCTCTCGCTATTTCGCTTTTCAGTTTGATGACTTGCAAGTAAAGGAGAACAGTCACGTGGTCTATCAAAGTGATGTTTTACTGGATGCCTTCTCTGGCCAAAAGACCGCACACTGGAGCAAGTGGATGAACTGGAACTAGTTGAACTGTGTGTTTTCTTATTATGAACAATCACCTTTACCTCACGATGAGAATACCCCTTACTTGTCGCTTTTGCTGTTGGTGCAGGTGTCTCTTCGTTCCCATCATACGTCACTATAGGTGTCAAATCTGCGCATTGAGCTTGTCCCTTGGTTGGAACATCGCTGACTAGTTGGCTGAAAGACTGCGCACTCATTCTACTTCCTCTCTTAGGCAGCTTATCTTTTTGGTGGCTACTTGTTGTCTCGCCAACGAAGGAATTATAGTTTTCCCTTTCTGGTGTCGTGTTTTCGTGGTTTTGGAGGCGATTAAAATTTGTATCTGTTTTCGAAATGGCCAAGTTAACATGTTCTGGAATGAAGCAAACACGTACACAGAAATAAATCAACAAAGATTTCTGACCGTAGAATAGCTACATGCGAAAGTAATTGTGATACACTGACTAAAATACAAGATTGCCTGTAACTTAAAAAAAAAAAAAAACAATGTAAAATTTTACTGAGTCTGCGGAGCCACGGATTGATGATGTGCATCTTTGTAACATAACGAAAAACAGAAAGGCGTTTTGGAGGGGATTAGCAATGAAGACCCCTCTTCCCCTTTGCATGTCATATAACTCGTGTTAGATAATTTTGTACAGTCCACTTAAAATGAAATAAGTTGACTTTACATTTTTTATAGTTGTTTGGTCGTGAGAATATATTTCGACTAAAACATTTGCCATTTGTCCGCCGCAAAACTCAGTCCTCTCACTGACTAGTGATTAGCTTACAAAATCTTACCAGAAGCTCTTCGAAAAATTTTCTTTCTGTCCTCGGTTCGCTCCTGTAACGGAAAGGCAGATTTTTAACTCCTTAGCGAGTGATCTTAGAACAGAACAGGATCGGGAGCACGTTTAATTATGTGCTCATATCTACAAAAAGTACTTACATGGTGTAACTGCAACATGAGATCACGATTGGAACTTTGAAGGTAGTTTGCCTTGGACCGATAGTAGTAGATTGCAATTCTAATGAACAAATAAAATAAAATTGTTTGGTACCCTTCCTATGATGACTAAACTGCATTCTTCTGTTAATGCTGTTGCTTTGGAGTGTTTCTCAGCGCCTAGGGCAGTCCAGTCATTTTCAGGTTGTGTAGGTTTGCGAGAAAGGAATGGTCTCACCCCAAAATGCCAAAATTTCACTGCGTTTAACTAGCACAGAAATGCTGGCTACGTGCGCGTAACCAGGTTGTTATTGTTCTTGCTTTTGCACCAGAAATTGAGTAAAGTGTAGTGAAATAGCAGACTCTAACTAACAACAACGCTCTGACACAGGCGTTCAGTCTCGCTTGCTTGGAGAGTTAGATGGACAAATGAGGAGGCGATTAATTCTACACGAAAGAAGATTTACTCGCTAAAGGTTTTTTACTTCCCACCTTATCGTCGTCGATACTTTTTATTTATTTGTATCTGAATTGATTTAGTACGCGTGTTAGCGACGACCAGAGATGCGTCTGCGGTCGCAGGCTATACGCGTATTAGCCTGAGTATCAGGCGTTTCTGGGGAAAAGGGGAAAAATGGAAGCGAAAAAGGGAGAGAGGTGAAGGAGAGAAACCTTCCTTTCTCTTCTCCCCCTCCCCCCTCCCCCATCTAAAATCTCTTCTCCCCTAGCCCCGTAGGAAGGCCTTATACTCAGGCTATACGCGTATATAAATACAGGAAAATTCAAGGGCCTCGATTCCAGAGAAATTACGTCATTACAATCTTCGCCGAAAATAAACCGCATGTTCATCACAAGACCCATTTGCATACAATGAAAGTTTACAACACCCGACCATCACAGTTTTGCTAATTAAGATTCTAATTTTTTCGACCACTCAGTAGTGTTTACTTTTTCCAAAGTAATCAACGCTTTGAAGCGATGGAATTCGTGGACCGAAAAGTTTCGGAAAAGCTCTAAATTTAATCCTTCCTAAGCTTTCTTCCCAAAACATAGGTGGCTTCGATCAAGCAACGATTCTTATTCCCAGTTTCCACGGTCTCCGCTAGGAACGCCTTGCACACTGTCCCCCCTTTTGTGTCCTAAATTAAATATGAAGAAAAACGCGTCGCAGATTATGAGTCTCGCTACTTGCGCAGGCGAGACTAATGAGTGTGTATCAATCCTTATCAATCCTTTCAATGCTTCTTGCTCAAGAAACCAGTTCTTCGCAATATATAGATGTGGCATTTTCTCTCATTATTATAGAAAGGATGAAGCCACTGAGCTTAACCCGGAGCGTCCATCTGTCGTATGAAGTAGGGGTCACAGTCTATTAATTTTTCAACTATTTAGAGATTTATCTTTCCAGTTGGAAAACATTCATCAAATCAAAGCAGATTAGAATTCCATAGCGCCATAAGAACACCTTAGTGTTACGCCCTGATTGTTATCAGCTACTTACGTCATTATTATGAGCACAGGTATCACAACGCTCGGCCCACTCAGGTAATCGAACACGGTGTTCAGCAGGGAGGGGCCATTATCGATTGCTTCTGTTACCACTATGTACATGTTATGTTTACCCCTGAGAAAAATTAGAAATTCAATGAATTTAACCAGAGGATCTGAATAAAGAGAACTGAAGTTTAACTTTTTAAAAACGCATGGTGCATATATTTATCACTTCTAACAGTTTTGTGGGAGATGGGCAACACTGTGAGAACTTAGACTCATGGGGTAAATGTGAAATGTCACAAGCAAATATTGCCCTCTTGTAAACAGGGCATAACATTATATGATTAGCAGTTAGTCGTATTCAATGCAGTTTTCAAATTATGTTCGTTTTTATAACTTTTTCCTGTTTCTTGAGAATCTAGGCTGAAAAAAATAATAATACAATTTTTCTTGGGACCAGTCTTTAAAAGTGAAATATTACTGTCGGTTACTTCATAAAAGTAGTATGATCGAAGGGAGATGTTTACATAATCGAAAACACTGTTAGTCAGAGAAAACCACAGTAAAAGTTTAGCTTGCAAGTCAAACAATGGATTTTTAACCTTCTGATTCTCCGAGAAAAGAATTGTATAAAATTGAAAAACGACTCAGTAACCAAAATTAAATTTGAATATACCTGAACGGACCGCACCATCTGGAGGGTTCAATCCTGAAAGTTTTTTAGACAAAAGAGACGTTACAACTCACCTGTTTTCAACAAGTAATTTCAATATAAAAGCATTTCGCAAAACGAAAACAAATGATAGTGACAATTGTTTTCCTCAACATTTCTTTCTTGCTCTAGCCGCTTCCTACGTGCTTTACAACAGCTAGAACAGAGCACAGTCAAGGCTTCTTTACTCGTTAATTATGTGACACTGAGAAAGTGTTACACAAAGAATGGATGGTTCATAGTTTGCTTGGTGCAAAGCAGCCAGCAAAAAAGATCATTTGTTTCGCTTGCAACTTGAAGCCTGCGCGGCAGGCGCAAAAAGGGGAGGGAGAGAGGGGAGGGAGAAAAGCGCGAAAGAGGGGAAAAGGGAAGGCGTCCCTTATCCTCTTTCCCCAATCCCCCTCTTTTTTCCCTTCCTCCCTATCCTCTACCGCTTTCGACGCCTGCTAGGCAGGCTATCTGTTTGAGAATGATTTGAAATTGAATGTCAAATTCATCTTTATTCTTTGATTTTCAAACATAGACAAACATGATATGAAAGTTATAAGATTCATATCTGGTGTTAGTTTTGCTTTATTTTGCTATCGTTTGAGTTAAGATGTGCTTGTGCGCCGACTATATAATATAAGGGTGTACTGTACTTACTCAACCACTGCATATCCTACGGCCAACAGGCAAAGAAACAACATAACAAGGAGGAGTAGCAAATAGAACTGATGTGATGCCTTGAATATCCTCTTGGGAGGTACATTAGTCACCATGATGGCCCAACTCCTCAAGTACATGATGATCACCAGCTTCAGAATGTTTAACATGATCAAACCGGGTGAAAAAACCAGTCCCATCCTAAGATGATGGAGATACGATCAGTTAGACAGCAAAATACGAGTAAGACACTTGTGGCAGTTCTTGAGGCAGTGCTGGTGACTGGAACAAAAGGCTGCTATCCATGGATTTCCAGGGCGTGTTTTCCATTTACACAAACCACCCGGGTGGAAATCTTGCGCATGAGCATAAAACTATAAAATTTAACGGGGTGGGAGAACGACCTCCTAAAAAGGATTGATAGGGAGCTTTAGCAACGACGACGGCGACGGCAACGAGGACGTCAAAAAAAGCAATAGGTTTATTACGCAAAACAACAAGTTTGCACGTGCATCACGTTTTTTTGTACATTTCTTTACCGTTCTTGCACGACTACGACGTGAAAATGCCTAATTGCAAGTTTTATGGAGGACGTAAACAAGCGACTACGAATTTCTTTTTCCCTCTCTAAAGTTGAGTCCACTCCTCAAGAAATAAACTCCAAGGAAATTCGCCTACATTTGCGATTTTTAGCAAATTGGAATAAACGCGACAGTGTTTGAAAAAAGGGAATTCTTTTTAAAACTGATGTTTTCACTGCAGTTGCCGTCGTCGATGCTAAAGCTCCCGGATTTGACTCAGATCGCAGCCCATATTTCAAAGGCTTCCCAAACGGAATGGCGCGGACTATGTGATTTTCCAGCCGGAATTTCCGGTGTTTTCATGTAAATGGTAAGTACTCTGGTAGGAATGGTCGGTCTAGCCGAGCAGAAGCCCATATCATAGAGCGTGAGGAACTCCCATATTAGGACTAATGTTAAGGTGTTTTCACGGGCTGGTTTAATTTTATAGAAATACCATTTTAAAGACTGACGGTTTTGCTGATCACTTTGTGGCCGGTTAGGCAATTTCTTGAATCCGGACAAAATCGATCAAAGATAAAATGGGCGGTGAAAATGCCATAACACGAATAGATGCATGGATGTTGATCGCTCCGGGTTTGAATGGGAAGGGGAGGAGAAAGAAGGAGGATAGGAATGTATAATTCTTACTTGCCCTTCTTTGCCTTCGTAAATTGCGTTTAAAAACAAATTGCTGCACTGAAAACTTCCTTTTTACAATGAAAAGAGGCAAGTGGCGCGTCCATTTGAAACGTCTTGTAAAATCAATCCATACTATGTTTCAAAAATTCCGAATACTTCTTACTATTTAGACTCATTAACTGAACTATCATACCATATTAATCCTTGGCTGTTTATTAGCTGTAACACATTTTCGGCTAGTTTAAACTCAGGGTAGCCCAACTGAAAGAAAATCGATTAAAATGTGTTAAGTGAGCGCAAATCTGTTCAAGACATTACAGAGACTTTCACAGTTATATGATAGGACTAGAACATCTTCAAAGCGAGTGAGAACAACCCCTAAGATGAAAGCATTTAGTGCAATTTCAATTTAGATCCCAAAGTGTTCCTCTTGTTGGAGTGTATCGTCCCTCTGGTCACACACAGTGGACGCGTCTTGACATATTTTGCGTCCGTCTTCCATTCATCGAGAGAAAACTGGGCCGAGTTAACTTTCGCGAAGACTTCTGGGACTGTGAAAGGCTTGTACCCAGGAGTACAGGAGTCATTTCATAAGTAGGTTGAGTATGATCGTCCGTGGCTTTGAGGACTCGTAATGTCATTGGTGCGTTTCCATTCGTCTATTGTCACAGTTAAACAGTCGTTTATTGTTGTTGTTAAATGGTCGGTTGTCCATGTCATTATGACATTACGAGTCTTCATAACCAATAACATCACGGCTTAACTATACTAACAGACGACCAATAACATCGCGACTTAAGGTCAAAACCAGAGTTTTTAATACGTCCATCAACTGACGTGATACAACTCACTTTGACTCTAAAGATGACCACCGCACAGGTTGTCGAAACGTCAGTCACTGTCAACAACAGTTCTATTCAGGACTACTTTCACTCGGACGATCATGCTGAACCTACTTACCTCTGGTACTGTTTCTAGAGATAGGAGAAAAAATGAGCCAATACTGCGCTGGCCGGCGCGCCCTCAATAAACATGCACGGATCCCAGATACAATTGTAATTGTGGTTCCCTTCTAGTTTCTAGAGTGGCGAGCACATTGCATACAGTTTTTGTCAATTCATTTGAAACATATTTGTACGTAGCGTTTTTAATTATTCTGGTCTTTAAAAAACCGTGACTGATAGCAATAAATAATGACAGGAGCCGATTACCGGTTCGCAGGTTATAGACTCCTGATAATAATAACTTACAATTTTCTCAAGATCCAGGAGTCGACCTTGAAAACAGTTAAGAAACCTGACAGCCAGTGACACGAATAACTCACTGGTTATCACGCTGAAAACCAGCGCAACAAGATCAATGACCGTCAGCTTGAACAGCTCCTGACCAACTGTAGTCTCCCAACACAACGAACCTAATCGATTGCAAAGATACTTAGTTAGAAGGCTAAAGAAAGTGCTATTTCTTCACTACTTATTTGATTTTGCATTGCTAAGAGATAAAAAATGTTGCTTCTTCTTAGCCAGACAGGAGTCAAACTATATTCAAACACTGCAAGAGTAAACTCGGCGATATTACCTTGAATTAGCCCTAGCTAGCTACTGTAGTATGACTGATTGGTAACGCAGAGTAGCATGACGTCTAACGTCTCCCCGTTTTTAATAAGTGGTATACTTGTGATGTTTAACTCTCCCGAATTAAAAAACAAAAGCTTTTGGAAGACTTCTTACCTGTTGTGGTGTTTAATGCTACCATAGTCACAGGACTGACAGTTGCGTTCCCAACTTTCGTATCAGAGGAAACGCTTGGAAAAGTTTCTTTTGTCTGCAATTAAAGCAACGTTAATATTAGAATTCATTTGGCCCAACTACCTAATATCGCCACAAATGTTTTTTCGTTTTTGTCTGACACACAGCGTCCTGTGGTGCCGTCCTCTAACTGATTCACACTAACGCTAGTGGATATAAGACCGTGTAAATAAATCAGCCGAGCAAGCAAGAAGAAAGGAGGATTACGTTAGAAATTTATTTCCAATAAAATTACCTTATTTATTTTGTTTAGGAGAGATATCACCAAGACATACATGTTTCCAAGATACAAAAACATTATCCTGAGAAAAAAAAATTCCAAAATTAACAGTATAATGAATAAATAACAGCAGAACATTGCATGAAAAAGCTTGCTAAAAACGGAAAAAAGCAAGCTCTTTTGCGCGTCTTGAGAAGGTATTCAGACTGATTACGAATATTTGGCATACATATAAAATATATGTGAAATATATACCTTTCCCTGTTTAACTTTAAAAGTTAAAACAAACAAAAAGCAAGAAACAGAAATCGTTTTAACATTAGACTTCCACGGCAAATTATTTCAGGATTGTCACTTGGGCAGGCAAATTGAGTAGGAGGGGAATGAGCAAATTACTGTGAGCCGGGTGGAAAGGTACTGTGGAGTTCTCGGTATTTTCGCCCGAGATTTTTTTTGCTGTCCATATACACGTTGTTATACACAATAGAGACCTTTAGATTCTAGGACGAGAACGACTACGAGTGCAAGATTTGACTTAAAGTTTTTTCGCGTATTCTCAAATAATAGACACCCCGGATAGCTTCGTTGTACATCTTTTTCACAAAAAAAATTAGCACTGTTATCTTGAAGGAGGTTAAGCTATCCCCCAGCCGCAAATAACAAAACCTATAACACTCTATATTAAACTTCTGTCCGCTAACGAGAGAAATCGCTAAAACTCGTAGCAAAATGACGATGACTATCACATTTTCCCGCCAAAATGACGCTGGGCTACTCGCGATTACTATTTAGTAGTGAGAAAATCTCGTACTCGTAGTCGTGCTCGTCTTCCGCCCGTCTTAGAATCTAAAGCTCTCTAAATTGAATAAGAAAAACAATTGAAAAAATAATACAGAATTAAAATACCTGGTCAGTTCCCAGTAAAGGGCAACCCTGGGATGGTACTTCTCTATCATAGCAATCAACTTGAAAAATACTGGACATACGGCATTCATACCAGTAATGGCTAAAGAGATCTTCAGGACATGAAAAAGATATTTATTAGGATTTTTTTCAGTGAAAATCAGTGACAGTAGGCTGCACAGTTTTACTCAACCAAGCCGTTTTTTTACTAAGGAGACATTATCCGTCTGGACGAACTTGGGCAACTGACGTTTTGTAATGATTCGTCTGGTTGTGTGTCTCCAGTATAAAGACGGGCACAAGACGCATGCGTCCAGACGAACTACCTTTCGTAGTGCGTCGTTCAGGACGTATTTCGAAGGAAAGTTCGTCCAGACGTATAATGCGGCTTGTGTCCGTCTTTATACTTGAGACGCATAACCAGAGGAAGTACAAATGTTTGCCCAAGTTCGTCCAGACGGATAATGCATCCTTAGTATAAAAACAGCCAGTAAGTAACAAAGTGAGCTCAGACCCAGTAAAGTGCTCTGGCCTTTCTGTGAGCCGAGCTGTACGAATTGTCCACGAATGAATCAAAACCTCCACCTTGAATTTACGAGCAAGAGGGCTCTACAAACTACGCGAAGCATGATCACTGATTCAAATGCTCTCCTTTGATCGTTTTCCGTTCGTTTTGTCTTTTTTTGTGCTATGTTATTAGCTATATTTGTCTTAGAAATGGGTTATTATGTAAATTTCCCATCCTACCTCGTACTGTTCCAATACAGTTGGCGGTTTTCCATTCTTTCCTCTTTCATCTGAACGTTTGACGACCAAGTAGATCAAAAATGCACTGGCCGCTAACACCCCAAGCACTAGCACGTTAGCCAATACCCGAAGAGCGATCAGGCTTTTCCTGGAAAATCGGTCATTTATATCGTTAGAATAATCACTATGACAAAGTTTTCTTCAGGAGAAGTAAGTGAAACGTAAGGTACTCAAGACACCGAAGAATTGATGCCCGCGATGTCTACTTTCTTATAGAGACTTTCTTGTTGTTTAATACTGTGTCAATTAATATTACGTATGCACAGGTGAGAGTTATTGAGGGGGGGGGAGGGGCGAAGGGGTAGATGATCCTCCTCAGTGTTGGTTTTCGGTATCTCATAGACTAGCAAAGTTTCAGTGGAACAAAGAAAAAAGATCAAAAATAAAATTAAAACTTATTAATCATGACGTCTTATACTCTAACTGGCTTTAGAATGGACGAATTTAAGAATGTCAACGTTAAAGGTTACATTGGGATATACGATCCTTGCCGTTTGTTAACCGGTCAGAGAAGAACCTGAAAAAAATCAGGCTTGACAGGGATTGGAACAAGCGATAAATTACAATTAGTAGTTCTATGAAACTTACTTGTTTGTGGTTTTTCCTTTTTCAACCGCTTCCAAAATTTGTTCCTTAAAAGAAACTCATGAGGTTATTTTGCGTTAACAAAAGAACCTGCCGAGTGCGTTTTGACAAGTGCTTGTTACGTGCACTGAACGTGTTTCGCTTTTAGTCCTGTTTTAGAGAGGAGGGGTTTATTTGTATTATAAGTGGTATGCCTTTTCTTTTCTCGAAGTATTACCATGATTCTTTTCACAATGCTTTCTTGTTTGTTTAAGGAACATACTAATTTTCTGTTCCTCATCAGTTAATACGGTATCCAAAAACATCGCGACCGTTAAGTAAAAATTGACCAATCAGGTCAGTAACCAGCACAGAGTTTTTAAAATACCATCAACTGACGTGATACAATTACTTTGAATCCGAAAATGACTACCGCACAGGTTGTCGAAACGTCAGTTACTGTCAACAACAGTCCTAATCTGGACAACACTCAGCCGGACGATCATATTCCACCTGCCTATTAGAAATAAATAAACAAAACGTACCCTGATAGCGGTTGTAAGAGAGGCCAATTTATTATCGGCGGTTTCTCTCTCAGTAATAAGGAAGTCCCAAGCAGAAAACACACGCCATCCAAACGGGTAGTGATCATTCTGACCTGAAGACTTCACAAGGCGCTGTTCACGAACAATTCTACAGGCAAAAGGTAAAAAACCTAATGATGAACATGTATTAAAAAAGTTAATCCGCTTCTGATTGCCTTAACTGTCCTCTGTGTTTTTTTCATAACCAGTCAATGCTCACTCAAAACAAGAGTCACGCCATTGGTCCAATATTTTTTCTGTTATTCGACGATTGACGTCAATCGTGAATGATAGCACACGTACTGATACTGGTCTCAACAGCGAATTTATAAGGAAAAAGTTGACCTTATCGTTGGAATAATTTTTCGTGTCTCCAAGCGTTACTGAAGCGGCAAGGAAAACAGAGAAATTAAAAAACGTTTTCTGTAAAAAAAAATGGATGTAAAATAATGTTCGAATATGTTTGAAAAAAAAAAAAACTCTACTGCTACTAGTTTGAACTGACAGACTCCAAAGGGTTTAAGCCTCCGTCCAATAAATTAATTGTTAATAAACTGAAAACTGGGATCGAGGCATACTTACGCTCTGAGGACAATGATGATACTGAAAAGATAAGTACCCATAAACACTACAAAATAGGCAAGAGGTAGAGGATATTTGACTGCACCAACGTGAATATACTCGTTTCCATAGTAGCCATAAAACAGGAAAGAATACTCCAAGTAACCCTGTGAAAGAAAAAAAAAGAATCTTCAAAAAGATAGTTTTTGTCCTTTTTCTTTTTAACACACATCTTAAGGTTATTGTAATGTAATGTTTTAGTTCTCGTTTCCTTAATAGATCTTGATAATACGTATAACAATGTCGTCTGTGCACAGACACCCTCCCCTCAGCAAAAATCGGAGGGGAGAGGGATCTGGGAGGGGGGGGGGGGTCTGTACTCAGGCTATAACAATGATGAGAGTAGGACTTAAGAAAAGGTCTTTGCAGTCTTTTGCATAGATGAGACTGCGAGTGCGATATGTGAGTTTGCGAGCGGCGAAGTAGCGAGTTTTGAGGGCGCCATTACGAGTAAAAAGAGAGACTGCCATGGTTTCATACATAATTTCTGAAGCCCGGTGACTGAGTTTGATAGCTCGCTGGTATACTCACATATCACGTTCGCTCACAGATTTTTTTGAGCAAAAGAGAGACCGCCTGCAGTTTAGCTTTTGTGAAGTATAGCCCCCATCTTTTATGTATTTTCTTATTAAATTGTCTTTGTCGTCATAACTGTCTTTACAAAGGAAGAGAGGGGAAAACCTTTTGAGACAGCATTATGCACCACTTTTCCTTTATTCCACGGCATCTAGCTGCCTTCCGAGTAGCGTTTTAGTTCATTATGCAACTGATCGAACAGCATTAGCAGAAGCCGATTCCTGCATTAGTTAACAGCCTCTAGCGGAGTATGCGGCCATACCTTAGCATCAAGAACAGTGGTAAGACGCTGGGCTGTACGTTTTTCACTCTCCGGAAGTCTCATTGCAGTGGAGGGGCTCAGAAGCTAAAGAAAGGAAACATGGTGATAATAATAAAGTAAATCATTTTATACTCCATCAAATGTAACGACAGTGCAGTTTTCAAATTCAGGCTTTCCATTTAAAAGATATTTAGAGTATTCGTTTATTTTTAGGCTAGCCTGCGTAAAAAGTGTTTTCGGGTGCATTCGCTGAGAAAGTTGGAACGAAAGCGGAAAAAAAAAGGAAGAAGGAGAGGGAGGAGAAAAAAGGAAACGATGTTTCCTCCTTCCCCCTCACTTGGAAATTCTTGCTACGAAGCTATTTTTAGTTATGACTTGGGAAAAAGTAACAGCAATGACGTAGGTATAGGTCTGACTCGACCCCTTTCGTCTCTATTTGGATAAGGGAATCCACGTTCGACGCTGGGGAGGGAACGCGAGAAGCGTGACCGAAGGGAGCGGGAGGAGTGATAAGAAGGAGAAAAACGAAAGGGAGAGATCTCCCCTGTTTCCTCCTTCCTATCAACCTTCGCCCTCCTCTTAACCGCGCTTCTCTCAGTAATATTAATAGCAGACTAAGAGACGACTTAGGGCAAGTCAGGGAAACAATAGATATACTTGCATAGGAACAGTTACAACAATAAGAGACAAAACTATGCTTGTCGACCAAAAGGAAAAAGTTCTTTAATCCCTTTACTAATTACGTACTCAACAAGTAAATTTCCATGAACTTATACTGAACTAGACGAATCGAGTGCACCTATTACGTGACACGCAAGCAACATACAAATCACGCAAAACAGAATACTTAGAAAGCGATTTCAGTAAACCGAACAACTATCATGCAGTCTTTTAAAAACAAAACCCTCACTAGAACACCGAACTCGACAGTACAAACTTGAGCTCTGGGACTATTATGACAGCGATTTTTTAATTTACCACCACTGAAAATACTGCTCGTATCCTACAATCCTAGATCAAACCCGTCACTATGCCTTTTATGATGGATGATATTTAATGTACGAATAGGTATTATACTTACCTGTGGGGCGACAACAAAAACAGAGATGAATACTAAAAGAATAAAATTAATCCACACCAAGGAACGTAAAAATAAAAAGAATGAACCGATTCCAGCTCCAAAATACCCTTGAAAAGAAAAAGACAGTTTATAACAAATACTATAATTTTCAAAGAAGAATCAAATGAATGTTTTGCGGTTTAATTCTCCTCGGGGCGTTCTTGAAAGGATTTACGAGCGGCAACAAAAATATTTGAGACACTTTGCCCTAAAGGGCCTCCCTAACATTTTGCCAACTTAAAAAAATTTAAGATAAAGCTTTCCCTCCCCATTCCCTCCACGCAAAATCTCTTTCCCAGACTCTTCTGGGTGTTTGACCAGCGGGGCAACGTTGACCAAACAGCCAGAAGACTTTGGGTACGAGATTGCTCCATACAATGTTGTGCCGCTGTTGGAGCTCTGGGAGCCACCTGTAGAAAACAACAACGGGGAGGAGGGGAGTGGATAGGGGTGTGGATTGTTTTGTTGTCCGTAATTAACCCGGCCCTCTCAGCTAGGACAATGTCTCAACAATGTTGTCGTCGATTGCATTGTAGTTCCAAAAGAGAAAGAAACAAAAGAATGATTGATAACTTCGTTTGTCTTTGGAGTTTGAGTACCGAGGAGCTCGTTCCCATGCGCACTTGATGAAGATTTGGACTCTGAAAACTAGCTTCAGCGCGGCAGGCTCAGTTAACCCTTTGCGGCATGGGAACGTGTAATGGTTAAAAAAGGAAGTCAGTGGAGGAAATGATTAGCATCTGACTCAAGCAAGTTGCATCTTACCTTGTATGTTTTTAATCCTCTTCTCCCAAGGAATGAAGAACACAATGAAGTTTTGGAACTGTCTTTTAATTTGCCGTATGAACTGTTAATGAAGTAGTAAAATGTACTTTGGTTAAGAGTTACTCTTGCACGCGTCTGTTCTTATTCTGTGTGTTATGTAATCCTGCTGGCAGTGCGTTTCTATTCTGGCATAGGACTATACTTTATACAAAAAGAAAAGTGTATGATATGCAACGTAAATATAGCGACAATGAAACATAGACATAAGACTTCATTACGTACTCTTATCCGGGTTTCTGTGAAATGCTGTAACCTATTCAAATCACCTGAATGCTCTTCTACATACTTTTTTGCATGTCTGCAGAAAAGAAGGATCAATCGTTGAGCTAATGCATGTCAAGAATCACCCGCATAGAGAATCACCCCTTAAACGCATGTCGTACACACACCTACCTAAGAACCTCTAATTTCTCGTCCATGGTCCATGGCTTTGATCGAATGCCTTCAATCATGTCCAGATGCATCTGAATGTTTTCAAACACATCCGCTGTAATCGGCTCTTCCGTGGATAATTTCCTGTGAGTATCCCTACAGCTACAGGCAAATAAGAAGGACATTTCTATCAAAAGAATTAGCGGTACTAGAGGAGCCTGTTATCTCTCCTCCTACTGCATGAGTTACTTTATCAATACTTTATTATTACTTAATCATTTTTATGATCCATTTTACTTCAAAGGACGAATTAAAAGCACCATTTCACCTTTAAATTTGACACCCGTATTTATAATCACTTTCTATTTGGCAACCGAACACAAAAAAGTAAATCAAACTGATTGCCACGGTCAGACTATTCAAAAATGAGCTTGTTGTTATACTTCTGAGCTTTGCATTGGCCTTTCTTATGCTGGCGGTAAGGAAATGAAAAGATCTTTAAATTTGCCTGAAAAAGGAGTAAAAAGAACAAGAGCATAATAGAGCAATGTGTGTCAAGAAAAGTCGTGAAAATGTAGCTGCATGCTTAGTGTATGATCTTCGTTAACAACAACCAGTATTCCCGCCTCACCTTCCTCGTAAAGTTGGTTTCTCTTCTTTCGCTTGCTCACGTTTATCTTCTCTCTGCTTTGAGTTTCCGTTAGAAGATCGTTTCCTGAGGCTTGATCCTGAAGATGGGCTGTCTTGCCGAGTGTCCACCAATGCGTCTACTGACGACCAACGTTCATTTGCTGCGAAGTTGCTCTGTGGAGCAACCCCTTCTTCGAGATCTGGGAGTTGTCACAAATAACACATTATCAATGTCATCAACGTCCTTTATTGGTTCCCCTCCCCTCGGCTCTAGCAGGTTTCTCATAAATTACCCCAGTTTTTCCTTATCTTCAAAACCAGAAAAACCAACACTTCCAAACTGTAATTTTATTCGGAAGGAATGTCCTTGGGGTTTCGTGGGTTAACAAATTACGTCTTGGATTTAACGGTCTTCTTTTTACATTTGCTTTTAATTGATACTCGTTTGTACAGCTTTGTTCTACTCATAAATACCCGACCGGGATTAGTGAAATACCAGTCACCTGAGCTGCAATCAGTCCAACTTACCTCGAGCCTCGCATGATAACCCAAGTTCACTTGCCGCCATTTTAACTCCGTTTATTCATAACACTACCAAGTGTGTCGTGAAATGACTGCAAGAAAGGACAAGTATGCATGAATATGAGGTGTGAGCAAATTAGCTGTTTGTGGACTCAACAGCTTTGCTGCGATTCGCGTGCCACATTGCCGTAATATCTGAATTGGTTGCTTGATTTGGTAGCAATTCATTGCTGGTTGTATAACAGTATTGTAACAAGTTCAAATGACGATTAACAACAAAATAGTAAGCAGCTATCAAAGAGAAGTACTATGAAAAACTAGCCTTGGTTTTTTACCGATACGGCGGCCATATTGAATTTATTAGATTTAAGGAGTATTATGGGATGCCCAGGGGGGCATGAGCACGATCCGATATACTTACTCAGTATATGTACGCGCGCTTTTTGGGCCAATTTTTCTTTAAGTTTTCCTAGAAAAAGATTGCAGTGGGAAAAAAAGATCGTTGTGCCTGTGTTTGGATGTAATAATGAACGCCTTTTTCCCGAGAAGTTCTGTTTTTACCCGAAAAGCGCGCGTAAATACTGCGCGAGTGCCCCCTGAGCATCCCATAATACTACTTAAATCTAATAAATTCAATATGGCCGCCGTATCGGTAAAAAGGTCTATTGAAGCAAATGTTAGAATAATTATGAATCCGGTCTAACACAACGCGGGAAAACACTTGTAAGCAATGCAAGTTGTGATCGGTAGTTTCATTGTGACTTCTGACTTACATTGATTGATTGAAAAGATGAGGGCAAGAAAATTCAACCAATCACAAAGTAAAATATTTTTCCCTGCTCAACTGAAAACCTTTTTATTCCATAGATACACCTGCAGAGCTCGCTATGGACACAGGTGCGGGATGCCGGATTTTGATCACCTATCTAATTCTGACTTCCCGTTCAACAATATTTGGGCTCCCGGACGTCAAATATCTATTTTATTTAGTAGGAAAGCTTTATAGGCATTATGTAAACAGACCTTACTTTGCGCTTTAAAGAAAAGAATCAGAAACAACGATCCCTAAAACACGAACTTCCCTTTTCAACTGCGATGTTATACAGATTAATCTGCAAAGCGTACACTGGAAAAAGGGGAAAACACATTAAGTGTTATAATGTGGTTCTCAAGAACAGGCAAGTCTCTGTCATAGGTTCAATTTATACACCTAGCCACTAGCCTTTACTGTGTGACCCTTGTAATATTGCACGTGATATAGTAGTCAGTACAGTTGACTCCCGATAACTCGAACCTTCAAGGGAAATCGAAAAAAGTTCGAGTTATCGGGAGCTAGAAGAAAATAGCTGGGAGTAAGGGAAAAACCGTGAGTCTTTACCGGCACAGTGAACATTTTAATCACCTTTAATTGTAGAAATGTCAAGTGAAAATTTAAAGATACTTCTAAATTATAAATCAGAACGTAACGTAACAAAAGATAGTCTAAATAGAGCATGCGTTTTACTGTTTTGAGAAGTAAAGCTGTTTCACGTTAGATTTGTGACAATCAACATCTGCCTCCATTAGTAAACTATACTCTTACGACACGTCAACGGGAAATTCAAAATTCAATGTTTCGGACGCCAGTAGACTACTTTTTACCCAACTTTTTAAGAGCTCAAAACATAGTTCGAGTTATGGAGGGTTAAATTATATAGAAATGATATGAGGGGAAACAAAAACTACTTCGAGTTAGCGCGGGAAGGTTCGAGTTATCGAGGGTTCGAGTTATCGGGAGTCAACTGTATTCCAAAGCGGCAACAGTCATGATCGCAAATATGTAATATAAGTACTCATCAATCTAACCATCACTTTTCTATGTTATAGCTAGATTCATATACTTGCAATAATCATCACCTAAGCTTCATTATACTGCATATTGAGAACTACAATTAACTCTTCGATTAAGGGGGATCACATTCTTTAAATTAAGTTTGCGGCTTTGTGGTGCAGAGAGTTGTGGAGCTCCTACTAATAAGTTCCCCGATTTTAAACTGTTATAGTAATAAAAAAGAAATGAATTTCAATGAGATTTTTTTATTTGAAATTCTTCCCTATATTTTTGGCGAATAACAAGACAAATCATTGAAAATTTTTTCATGAGTATTACAGTTGATAATTATTGCTGCATCAGTGAAATTCCCCCTCATAAACCGCGAAATATATATGAAATCAATACAAAAACAAGATGATCGATAACACATTTTCTGGGCGAACATGCTGTACTTACGACAAAATATTTGAATCATACATTAAAGAAGTAGTTATGAAAATCTCACCTGTATTTGATTCCCGATAAGTTTCACATAGTGTTTCATCTCTGGGAAGGAACGAAACGATAGTCTAGCGGGTAAGGGTCTGACAGGAAGAATTCATTGCTGCAGTTTCGCTGGCGTAATTAAGCGATAAGAAATTTGTTTTCTTTTCTTTGAGTTTAAATAATTCTGAATCCAAATTAAAGTAATTCTCACTCGCATGGCAATACTGAAACTCCCTATGATTATTACTATTAATTATTGATGATTTGCGACGCTACAAATTCTTATTTATTGCTCATTGGAAGTTCAGTTGAATGTAACCCTTGAGTCGTCGCCCATCTGATGCTTTTGTTGTCTCACAAAGATAAACGCCATCAAAATGCTTTTAAGAAGAGCTAGAGACAAAAAAGAAAACAACAATACTTCACCGAAGTATTTGCAGTGTATTTCCACATCCCCAAACATGGCCGATTACATAACTTATTATCTAAACTTTTTATCATGTGTCCTCGCCATCTTGTTATTAGCAGAGAAAAAAATGTGACCTTGACTATTAATTTTGTATTTTTATTACAAAAAGAAAACACTATTAGCTACCGTTGATAAAACGGTCATATAAAGGCGGGCGTCTCCCAGTGAACAATTGAATTACGCTCTTTTAGCCCATAGCTACCCAATGGTATGTGACGCTCCGTTTTTGTAAAGACCGGAACTGCAAGAAGTTCTGTTAATTGCGTTTACTCCAATATTAATACTTGCTGTGAAGTTATGATTTTTAGTGAAAACTCAAAAGTTCAAACCTTAGGCGATTGGTTTTTTGTAACACTGCGGAACAAATACCTAATGTTATCATACTGTGCAAAAATGATTTTCGAGGAACCGTTCAGTGGGAAACACTACAAACAAATTGTTTAATGAAATGAACCCAGAGAAATTGAGCACAGAGTTTGTTTCCTTATTTTTGTTATTCCCGAAACCGGAAAGTTTGAGCTTACTTGGATAGCTTTTAATATGTAACAGTACGGTCATGTAAGGTATTTGTTAGAGACTTTCATTTTTACTTTTAATCAGGAGCTCCTGTTTTAATATATTTTTATGAAAATATCTTGAGGTTCCGTAGTTTAAACAGAGGATCCAAGCTTGATATGGGAGTTTTTGTGGGAAACTGAAGTCTGTAAGATTATTTCCGATTAAAAAACTTGCGCCCGTGATCCGTCCGCTTTTTTCAGCGGATATCTTCCGGACATTCGTAATATGCGTTATGTTCGTTACGCCGTTCGTGACGTGAAAGAAACATGCCGAAAGTTCATCCGAGATCCGAGAATTAATATCGTAGGTGACTAAACCACAACCACTAGTATGTTAGCGTTGTGTTTATGCTTTTCAGTAGGGCTTTATTAAACCTTTTGTGGCCCCTTTAATTAGAAAAGACTAATGATCAGCTATTAAGTTTTAACTGAAAATGCCTGGAAAATTGCGAAGAAACGATTACGACCTCGTAGAAGAAGCCTACGATAGCAAGTCTCCTGTGCAAGATGAAGATTCCTTTGAACATGGAATCACCTTCAAAGTCAAGGTACTTTTGAAATCAATGTTAGCTTTGTTCGGTGGAAATACAACTAATTAAACAGCACTAATTGCTGAGCATAAATTTCGTACTCGGGATGATTTAATTTATGTACGTTACTTTAGATTTGAAAAGTGATTTTTGGGAAATTGTAAATTTCGTGACAGTAAAATTCGTCATGTTTGTGTTGGTTATGACTAAAAAAGGTGCGAATCTCTATTTATAAACATGGAACATTTGCTATGTTTTGTTCTCCTTTATAGTATATCGGGACAAAAGATATCCACAAGCCTAGTAGCAGAGCTGAAATTGTCACTTCTATGCGACGAATACGGGTAAGACGATTTTTCTTTTAATACAGAATTTCAGATTCAAAGCTCTGTGTTATGATATTACAAACTTAGTTATTAAAGTCGTATATAGTCACTTTACTTATAAACCTTTTGTTGTAAGTCAAAAAGCGACCGTTTTCATGCAGAATTTATTATCTTATTGTTATATCTAATTATTACAATTGAATTGAACGGGATCAGTAAGGAAAAGAACTTTCTTGTCAATAAGTCCTTGAAATAACAGACTGCAGCCAAACAGTACAATTTATAAAAACTCTGTTGCTGAGTGCTCGTATAAATATTCAACAATTCGTCGGCATTAATCGTTTCCGCTGAATATTAATCGCAAAATTTTGTTGGGGTTTTAACAAGTAGTGTTGTTAACAGCTACGAATAACCCCTTTTTTATTGATTGCTTTGCGTCCTGTGTATGTAGTGGGTCAGGCGCTTCAGTGGGCAGTAGATGTCAGTTACAGTATTTCAAATGTCCAAGTTGTTGTGGATCCACAAATTAAAGTTGAGAATGGAGAAAAAATACTGAAAGAGAGGTTCCGAGTGGACTTCTCTCAAAGCGTTTTTATTATAAATGGTGCCCATCAGATTTGGTTCTGAATGAGCAGATCAGATTGGCAGTTGATTGCATTAGATGAACAAAAACCTGGATTGCACCAGATCCAATCTGTATCCCAGGAGCTTATAGATCTAATATAGAGAGCCTCTGTATGGGTACCTGCAGACATTGATTCTGTTGCACGTTTCCCATCAAATCTTCAGTTTTTCAGGCAAAAGCACTGCATATCAAAAATTATTTTTTGTGGTAATGCTTCTAGCAAGCTTAGCATATCCACCAAAAATGACTGAAATGAGAAAATAAACACACTTTTTCACATTTCTCTTAAATAACTGTCATTGCACCACCAACATTGTCAAACTTGATCGGAATGGCAATTATGCAATCATTGCTTTAATAAGATCTAAAATAATTGCTTCATCAATGGTAATCGTTGGGACTTTGATTTCGTCAAAAATACCTATACAGTAGTTCTAAAGTGCTTTCATTAAACATAAGTACCAACTTGTGCTAACAAATCCTACTTGGTTGCTTGTCAAAATTTATTCAAAGCTAAATTGGACTGACAATTTGCCGTTTCAGATTTTTGCTCCTCTGTTTACATGATACCATTATTAATTTGTCACTCCAGGCATTATTTTATAAGGTCATTTACAGGTACCAGGAGTGGGTATGTGGTAGGTAAAATCATGTTCAGGTTAAACCAGCATTTCTTTTGTCTTCTACGTGAATGATAAGGGCAAGAAAACAAAGGAAATTCTGAATCAAACTAAATTGTATATTGGTCCTGAGAATGGAGTTGATTTACAACAGGTATATTTTTATTATTTTTAAGTATGAGCACAAGGTACATGGGTCCAAGAAAGAAAGAACAGAATTGAGTGTTTCAGTGATGGGAATAAAGGTTGTCCACAGGGAAGAAGGAAAGCGAAATTGGATAACACATCATGTAAATATGAATTCTCATATATTTCAAATTATTTGTAATTATGTTCTGTGTATTAATAGTAGGCAAATAACTTCTCCCCCATATAAATGTATGTTTACATGCGCAGTGTATGTAAATGATGTTTCACCTCCTTATCTTAAATCTGAAATAAGCACCCTCTACAACAGTCTGTCCCTTTTTTTTCTTTTTTCCCCTAATAACAAATTTTCCAAAAAAAATCTTTTTTGCAGTTTGGCATTTTGCAAAATTGTCAATTTCAGTGATTTAGGCATATGCATGGGTGTATGAGCAATATGTCTATTAGAACCTTAGCGTCGTGATAATTTATATTGACACCAGAAATGCCTCAAAAACTCCCAACATGAAACATAGTGTAGATTGTGAGGTACAGTGAACTCATTAAGAAATATGTCCATCAAGAATAATTCTTGTTATTAAACAGGAATTTAAATGCATGTAATGTATATAAATGCTGTATATTTTGAAATGACTTGTTTGTCAGTTATGGATATCAGTAGAGTTATGCTAGCCTTACCAGTATAAGCATTAATAACATGAATATAAATGATTACCTAATTGCAAGATCAGAGACTTTATTAAGCTCTGTAATTAAATAATATTATACAAATATATTACATGAATGTTTTTGGGTAAGTGTAGCCAACTCACTCTTAATGGACACCTCAGTCACCTTCAAGTCATTGATCTTAGGGGTAGCAAGTGGTACCTAGCTAGAAAAATATTGTGGGTCTCTGAAAATTTTCATATGGTTTTGAAATCTTTGAACCATATGTGATGAGTGTCATGGACTGAAGTCCTATTTTTGTGTGTTTTTTTTTACTTGGGGCATAAACATTTGAATTATTTTATGTGAAGTCTTGAATTTTTAAGGACACTGCAGTGGTTTCTGAACAGTGTTAGTCTTCTGTATTGAAATATTTTTGAAAGTACGATATCACTTTCTTTTGTGTTTTCATTTCAGAAAAAGAAACAAGAGTTTGAAGTGACAGAAATTATGAGTCATCCAATTAACAGAATATTCTATGTGTCACATGATTCCCAGGATTTGCAAATTTTTAGTTTTATTTCGAAGGAGGAGGATGTTTTTAGATGCAGTGTTTTTAAAGCGAATACCAAGGTATTATAATATGTTACAGTAAATATTGATTTATTTTAACTAGTTATAAATAAAATTATTATTGAAAGCAAATTTTTAACTTGTTGTTAGGGTCAGGGGTTGTCTAGGACTAAAACAGGAATAAGTTAAGGTATCATTAAAAAAAATCAGGGTATATGCAACTTGTCTTGTGTGGTTTAGTCGACATTAAGGAGGACTCTGAATCAGAACCTTGTGGGTTTAAATCTCGATCTGTAGAAGTAAAGGATGGGAAGGTACATTCTGAATACTTCTTTTTTATGTATTTGTTGTATTAAGATGTTTAGAGGAGATACCCCGGTAAGAGAGCAGTAAAAAAAAAACAATGTGGAATAGAGAGGATCATGTTTTTTTGTCCTCTTTGCAAGCTACTGTTCAGAATCTTATATTTTTACGTGGTTTATTATGTAAGAAAATACTGTAAAGTTCTGAAAGTAATGACCCTCATTACTTTTGGGTTTAGCAGCCTTTTTCCTATTGGTATTTTCGGAGGGCTACTACTTTCGGGTATAGCTAAAATGTGTACTGCAGATATGAAGTTGCATTAATAATATTGCACAAAATCCAAAACATCCACACTGTTTATTTGGAGAATCTTATTTAATGTTATTGCTTTTTTAAAAAAAAGTTAATAAATTGTTTGATTACGGTATGGGTATTCACTGACAAAAAGAAGAGTTTGAAAATAAAATGTAATGTACTTTAGAGTTAACAATTTTGCCTATTAGCTTATGACTTGGCCATGTAAATATATCTGTTATAGGTTAAATTTGATTTCAGGTTAATTGTCTCCTAGCCCTAAGAGGCAAAGGAAATCCAGAATCAACCTGGGTTACACTGCAATTTTAACTATGATCAGTTTGAGCTGTTTGAGAAGTGGGCACCTGAGTTTTACTACACCACTGTATTTGAGGGAAAGAGAGGCTGGCCGCTCTTTTTCTGTAATGGCAAGCAAACTTTGGAATAGCTTCCCTCTAAAATTAAGAACTTCTCGTTTCATTTGTGTTTTTAAACATAGTTTATACTGAAATTTTCTGTCTTTTCAAGAAAGGCACATGCAGCAGCCATTGTTTCAAAATTGTAGTTTTTATAAGGCTTTTTCTATTTGTTTACATGTATATGTAGTTGCTAGCTTTAGCCACTTATACTTATCTTTGTTTATAGTTTATTGTATTTTTTTTTGAAATGTTTAGATTTTAGTTATGTGATAATGTTAATTTTTAATTTTTTACATTTTTTAAACATTTGTATATTTGTAATAAATTCCATATTGCACCCTGTAGGTGAGGGCCACAAATTTATTAATGTTTTTCCACTATTATAGGTCACCCTTATTAAACAAAGTTTGATTGATTGATTGAGCAGTGTTAGCTTAACAATCAATATTAAAGAAAATTTCAACCATCAAAAACTGAGAAAAATTGCTGGTGGCAAAAAGTTTATGAGCCATACATTTGTAAAAAAATATTTCAACTTTTGAAAATAGAATTTCTTTGCAACCATATATTGGGCTCAAATTTTCAGAGATTACCAATATTGCTATGTTCTTATAATATTCAGAGATGGTATTTTAATAACTTGATAAGAAAATGATAAGCATATATTAATGAGAAAAAAAGGGAACCAAAGATTTGCTTATAAAGTGGCTTGAAAGGGTTTTGATCTTTCACATACAGGTAAAACAGTTTTTATGAATATTCCTGAAATGTAGATTACCATTGTCATACTATGACAATATATAAAATCATTATCCTTTGAAAAAAAAAAAAATCAAATACATGGACATATAGGGAAAAGGGTGGAGTTGGGATTTAGAGTTTGGTACATTATAAAGAACTTGAGACAGAAGGCTGTGAGACTTAAATGAGATGGAGAATCAGGGCTTGACAAAAACTTGAATTCTAGTTTGTCCTATGGGCTAGTTTGAATTCTTGTAACTGTGGGCCTTGTTACCTGGAAACCCAAAATGCATGATGAAATGCTGAATGGTGTCTATAGAATTTGTTTATGGCTTTTTGCTAGGCAACTGTGAAATACCAAACCGATAGAAAGAAAGATTTATGACCAAAGCGAAATCGCACTACGTTTACGATCCTAGTGAGAAAATTAATAAGTCGCTTCGCTCGTGCCCTAACGGTCGCTGGCTCCATGAGAATAATGAAAGTATTAATAATTATTTAGAAATATTACATGGCCATGTGGAGATATAAAATTTCTTTTTGATTGCTCAAAATATTTTATGAGTGCAGAGCACCGCAAGTGAGATATTTTTTCAACACAAGAAGTGAGCAAGCAACTAGTTTTTTATGATGTCATGTTTTATTTTTGATATAAACACAAATGAAATAGCAAACCACTTCACGTTAACACTTGTTTTGCTGCAAAAGGTGCAATTTACTATGTAACCATAGCAATGGCAGTCACTATATCCTTATTGCTTATTATTCTATACCGTTATTATTAATACTTTCTGTAACACAGTGCAATTGATAGCTTGGAAATTGGTGATAACTAGAACTGAACAAACATAAATTTGTTTTGATTTATCAATAGGCAGATGCCATACTTATTGTAAGGACAATTGGACAAGCTTTTGAGGTGTGTCACAAGCGAACATTAAGCCAAGCAAGTCAAGATAATGCACTGCAGGCTGATAAAGATAATCCAGGTCAGAAGACACAATGACATTTTTTCTTAGTTTCTTGTAGTTTTAGTGTCTGTCGTCATGAAGCCTTGTTTCTTGAGATGGCATTTCCTTTCAGGACAAGTTTTGTTTTTGTTGTCGTTCTTTGTAAATTAAAAAGTTACATTAATTAATTTATAACATTCATTTCCTTGCACGTGTAGAGCTTGACGTTCCTATGAAAAACAATGTTGCTCCAATGGAAACAAATGAGAGCTTACCCAGTCAGAAGGTAAGTCAGCTCCTTGCTATAATATATATAGAACCTTGTTACTTGCAAACGATTCTTGGATAAGTGTCATAAATTTTAATTTTATAACATTGCAGATCATATGCACATATTTGCTTGGAGGTTGCTGAAAACCACAATGGCTTTTAATAGGAGCCTCCAAGGGACCTAATGGAAATGATATATAATGAGAAAAATGGAAGAAAAATATTAACTAATGCACATTATTAAGTTCAGTGAATTTATTTCCTTGGTTTATTGAAAAATTAAGCATTTTTTCGACAAATGGAAAAGATCCAAAGGGGAGATTACTTACAATGTAGTACTTGATTTGGCATTCTGTGTCCCACCATGTTTTTTTTTACCTGAGTTGTCTGCCCTTCTTGTTTTCAGAAATTTACCGCCCTGCGTAAGACTTAAAATTTTTTACTTGAGATAACCCGGGGTGAATTTAATAAAACTTTTACAAGTGTAATTTACAAGTGTAGCTATTGTTTTAGGGTCTGAAAACAATTTACACTTGTAAAAGTTTTATTAAATTGACTCCTGTAGGCCTGTGTTGAATGGTCAGAAAGAACAACAATGATAAACATACAACACAATACAATATTCTTTATTTAACGAAGGTGACGTAATAACCCAATGAGTTACCTAACTTACGGCCTTCACAACAATACAAAATACACATATAAAAACAATGCCTAATCAGTAATATACGACTACAACAAGCGAAAAAATAGAACTAGACAAATGTATGGTTTAACAAGATATAAGATGATATAAACTAATTACCTTCTAATACAGTTACAATAAAGGGAAAATGACATAACCTGTGGAGATCAGTTCCTGTTTTAAGTTGGCTGGTCTGCAGAGTAATGGTAGAAGTTTGTGAGTTGAAAACCAACTGTCTCAAAACTCAGCATCTTATAACTGAGCTTGAGGATACAGGGGCTGCTTTTGCTATACAAATGTAAATTACTATCTCTGAGATTAATGGTCAGTAAAATTAAGACAAATTCATGTCCCTGGATGATCACACAAACTTTTAAAGCTTATTTGCCCAATTGGCAAGGTTCCAGGCAAGTCACCCTCTAAAGAAATCATCAACTAAGAAGAACTTAATAAGTGGCCCCAGGCAAGCAAAATGTGAGAGCTGCTTGCCCAAAGGTTAAGCTGGAATTCAAGAGTTTTTCAAGCCCTGAATTTTCTTGCCTTTTATCTGTTGCCAGGTGGACTTACCTACAGATGTGAGAGAATACCACCCTGATCCTAGTATTGCACCATTAACAATCCAACAGCTTCGTCAAATATATCAGCAACAGCTTGACCATCAAAGACAAGAGACACAGGCTGCCCAGGCACAGCTCACCCTTGTGACACAGCAACTTGATAATGAGGCTGCTGCAAGACAGGTTCTTCAGGTAAGTGGATATTATGTTTCCTGGCATTTATGCATAGCCTAGTCATTCTACACATCTTTAATTTATTTTAATGTTTAGTTTTAAGGTGCTGTATCATGGTTGTCTAGTTGGTTTTGTTAATATTGCCAACAACACATCCTTATTTGCAAACAAGCAGAACTTTAGTGAAAAAAATCACTGGTAAATGGCAAAATCACATCTTCATTTCAAACAAATATGTCTCCCAAGCATATCAAATGTTACAAACAACAAAAACGGACGTTGAAACAGACTGTTTAAGGCCAACAAGTTTTCAAAAACAGCAATTCAATCCACTTAATCTTCTTCAAATTTGTCCATCCATGTCTTGTGTTTATGCTGTGTTATTCATACCTTGTTTTAATATTTTGAGCAGTTATTTTTATGTCCTACTCAATTTGGTGACATAGAGTTCCCGCTGTTTGAGGTTTGAATTAAATCTCGCGATACAGCTTCTTTAATCCATTATTAATCCATTACAGACTTTTCACCACGTTAGCCATGAATTAAAGTACTATTAAAAAACGTGTTCATTAAGTCATAGCATCCAATTAATTAATCTTAATTTTCAGAATCAACTAGATCAAGTGCTTAAGCAGAACAAAGACTTGATATCAACAGTAACACAATTAGTTGACCAAGTTCAAACACTGCAAAACCAGCTGTGTGGCCGTGGTGACTCTGGTGTTAGCTTAAGTCTTGATATGGATGGCAAGATTTCTTCAGGAATGGCAATACACTCGCAAGCATCATCATCAGTGAATTCTTCTCCTTACAAAGAAGGACTTGTTTCAACGGCAGCTGTGTTAAAGCATCGTCTAGGTGAACCAGTGTTTCCCAATATCCCACCTCCAGCTGTGACTCCAAGCCCAGTGATGTCACACAGAGGTGACATAGATGCCTTGGATGGCAGCATTTCTTCTCTACAGTCTAGCAGCAAGGTTGCAAGTTCAGAATCTTTTCTGCGCAGCAGTACAGTACCTGAGGGTAGCTCTCTTCCTCCTCTTGTGGATTTAAGCTCCTCTGAACTTGAGATGGTTGAACCAAGACACGAACCCTTCCCACAGCAGTTTCTTCAGTTTGTGTTTGACAGTTCTGATCCAGGAAGGGATAGCTCCACAAACATAAATACACAACAGAATGGAACTGTTAATGTAGCTAACACTTCCATATCACTAGGTGGGAAGTCTACAATTTTGAATGGTACTTTTTAAAGTCTGCTACATGTGGTTCGGGTCTGCTAGATAAATTTAATTGGTATTGATCAGGTATTACTGAATAATGATCATTCTTAGTTTCTACACTCGATGTCAGGGCTTGAAAAAAACTTGAATTCCAGTATGTCCTCCTGGTATTAAGCAACTCTCACATAATTTTGCTTGCCTCGGGCCACTTCTTGCTCATCTTAGTTAATGGTTTTGGTACGGCAGGATGACTTGCCTGGACTGTTACCCATTGGGCAAGTAAGCTTGAAAAATTACTTGCCCAGCAAGAAAATCTATTTGTCCCAGACTACTGGATGGGAATTTTTTCAAGCCCTGACTTGAGCCCGAGAATAAAGCTTTTAGAGTGAGAAAGGGGCCAAAAGAGCTTGAGGAAGTGCCTGATTGATGCTTGGGTTGTTAAACAAATTAATAGACAACAGTTATAATTATGGCCTGACTCTTATAGACCATGGAATGATGTCAAAATGTTCAAAACTCAAGTGCCGGTTTCACTGCAAAGATTTCAACACTTTGACTTCATTTCTGTGATCTAACAGAGTATAGACCATGGGAAATTGTGGTCTATTAAATAGACCACAATAAAATTGATCAATGTTACTGTAAGAAACAAATTTTGTTTCTTACAGTAACATTGACAGTTTTTAATGTCCAAATTTTCCAGTGAATTTTGTATAGGTAATCACATGATTTAGAGTGGAATTTGGGATAAATCAGCGCAAGTAATTTTTTTTAAGACTAACCAAATTGCACAAGCCTGTATTTTATTTCAACCTTCTGCACTGTTTGGGATTAATTGTCACTCCAACAGATATTGCACAGACAAAAAACTGTGCCATCTTCTGGTCATTATTATTGCTTCTACTCTCATGGACCACAGCTTTCAAGTCACTCATTTATTATAAAAACTGTCATGTAGTGTCCAAATTCTGGGCAAAATCAGAGCCCATCACTCTAGAATATCCATCTCAGAGTAGTCGTAATTGAAAGAGTGTGGAAAGGAGAAGTAAAGTTCGTTGCATATAGAACATTTTCCTTTCCGTCAGTCTAGTTCCGCTGTGAAATGAAGCTGTCTACTAGCACTGAAAGTATATGAATCAATCACAAATAGGTACACTCTTTAATTTAGGTGAATTGTTATTTAATATGTATTATTTTGACAGCATTCATGAAAGATGGCATATTAATCAGTAGCCAAATTTTATCTCAAAATATGTGTCCAAAATGTCTTAAACTTCATTTTACTGCCCATATTTTTTATAAAATTAATTTTTTATCTGCTTGTACATAGCATATACAGTGAAAAGAGTTTTTAATATAAAATTGAGCAGTCTATTTTTCATTCTTCAAAATGCCCTAATTGTACAGTGTAAAAATCATGCATTATTCTTCTAATAATACTCCTGCAAGTACTTCCTTTTCAAAATGACATCGAGAGCATTAGTAAGCATTCATATACATGTACACGTTTTGTATATTCAGTGGCAGATTCAGATAATTAAGTGAGTGGGGGCACGTAGCTTGGTTTAATGCTTATTCCTTATTTAACAATTACCTGTTTCAATGTGATCGTTATCAGTTCACTTTCTTTTCCCGTGTACTGTATAGGGAATCTAAGACAGTCTTGGATTCTGGATCCCACGTGGTGGATTCCGGAATACAGTACTGGATTCCAGCCTTTGTGGATTCCAGTCGTTAAGTGGGATTCTGGATTCCTTAAGCTGTATTCCGGATTCCAAAGCCCAGGATTCTGGATTCCGCAAGCAAAAGTTTTCCCCGTTTCCGGATTCCCTTGCATGGAGTGTACTTTCAGTTTTCTTTTGACAGCAAGTGAAAGTCATCTGCCATTCTGAGTTAATAATATTAATAGGTCTGAAAATTTTCAGCAGAAATTTTGAAAGGAAATGGATTATTTTTGAACATTTCGATTTGGGCATTTCCTTTTTCGAAACTTTAATAATCTGAGACGGGATAGTTCATAAAGCCAAATAGTTATCCACTAATTGTTTAATATTATTACACATTGACAATAACAATGCGGGACAAAGCACTTTTTCCACTTTTAGAGACAAAGATTAAGTAAAAATTGTAGGTTGTAATCGTTGTTATTATTATAGCTCTTTGGTCATATATGACCATACATAATCTAGTTAGAAACCAGGAAATTAACACTTGTAGAATTAAGTATTAAAAAAAACTTCCATGATGTAATACTCTCAAACTGAGACGAAGCGATCCGAACCCTCCCTTTCCATTCACAGAGCCAAGGACTGACTTGCTTCTGTAAATAAGGCTTTACCTAAATATAAGTTTACGTGACCTACACAGCCTTGGCACAAAACGAGCTCTGTCCAGTGGAAAATCATGGTACATACTTGGGCTTCATGCCATCTGTCTTGTTCGGGGTTATAAATGCCCTTTCGGATATAATGCACTAATCGCTTGTAATGTCAGTAACCATAAGACAGTAGACTTGGGAAAACCTTTTGACATACAAGGCATATTGAGTTGTTTTTGGTGATCTATTTTCCTATTCTCTAGGCGACAACATAGGACAAAGCCCAAGTATGTACCATGCTTTTCCGTATTAATAGGTAAACCCTTATTTACCGAAGCAAGTCAGTCCTTTACGTAGGACTGATACTTTCACCCAAGAATATTGTTGTAATCATGGAAGATCGGCCTCAGCGCTGGGGAGTGGGGAGGGGGAAGGGACATGTGATCTTTCCTTTTAATGGGAAACCCCCCTGCCCCTGTGGTTGATTTGGTATGTGTTAGTTGAGCCTATGCATGTCGTTGAAGTTCAGAGGATAGCAGCAAGTAACTTCTTGTTAGAATCTTAAAAGTGAATACCCAGGTTAGGTTGCTGTGAACTATTTTTTTTTTTTTAATTACTAGGCTGCCTATGGCCACCCAAACTAAAAAAAAAACTTAAAATGAGAGGTGTCTCGACAGTGAGGCAAAAAGACGAAATGAAGGACGGATCACGGGAAGGGGAAAAACTTTGGGTGAAACAACATCTCCCTTACTTTCCCTATCCCACCATCCTTTGCCCGGGTATGAGGCAGAACATCACATGGAGAAATTACATGCTAATTTTTTGGGTTAATGAGGGTACAGCACTGGGTTCAGCCCAGTGGCATGTACTGACACTTCTCACTGCCCTTTATTCTTGACGCCTTCCAGTTAAATTATATCCATTGACAACACTGACCAATAGACATACAATAAGAAACATACTGCACCAGACTAATTCAAGTTTAACTTTAATGTTACATTATCAAGGTAATGTACAAAATAAATAATAAGTGCGTCTGGTTATGAACATAAATGCATTTTCTCTGGTAACATATTTAAACCTAATAGCTTATACTCTTTTCGATTAAGGTTATTGAGTCAACTTATAAAACCATGCCTACCTAGAAAAACGTTGGACAAGGTTAATAAAAACACTCCCAGCCCAGCATTGGAGGAGGGAAAGTTTTTGTATGGGGGAAAGTGTTAAGGGAAAAAGAGTAAAAAACTCCAATAATTCACCTACGACTTCACTTGATTTAAAGTTTTCATTCTGAGATAACACATAATAGCAAACTCAAACAATCTATGAACAACTCTTCTCAGGCTGTATTTGATGTCGTTTGAAATCTTTCACTTTAAAGCTAGCTACTTGTTATAGAGTTGACAGTTGTGACCTTATAGGGTTTTTATTTCGTGGTGAAATATCTATTTAGTTTCCTTTTACTGAAGTAACTTACTTTATTATCGTTGAAAATGGATATATCATATAAAATTTACTGCCTCTGGCACACAATTTGTCTAATCTTCAACGCTGATTTTATTTTGTCCTAACAATAGTATAAATTATTCTACAAATTCTACTTATTTTTTTATTCAGTTCTAGTCATAAAACTTATTGTATTGTACTGAAAGACAAACTCAAACGTGGAATGCTGATAATGTAAAGCAAGCTACAGAAGCATCAAGAGCATAATAGTGGTGTGGGTAAATGGATGAACATTGATGTTACAAATGACGCAAGAAAACATGGTAACTGTAGACAGACAAAATCGAATACCCAATGAACATAACATAAAGCCACACAAATCAAGGTAACATACCGACTAAAACATCGCCCCATGTAAAGGAATCCAAGACAGCCTTGGATTCCGGATTCCATGCCGTGGAACCATAATTTTAAAACCGGATTCCAATCTTTGTCAGAGGAACTTGGATTCTGGATTCCCATTACAGTGGGATTTCAGATAACTTGGGCTGTATTCCGGATTCCACAAACAACATTTTCCTGGAGCCGGATTTCACAAGCAAAATGTTCCTGGATTTCTAGATTCAAACACTCTTTGAGTTCAAGCTTGAAACAGTGATTTAACATAATTTAAAAGCGGTACATTCATTGGCATTATTGATTTTACGATGACAAGGCTCCTTTAACGCTCTCTCCACTTACACTGTAGAATGAGTAATTCATTTCGTTCCATGGTCAGATCATTACACTTAATATTATCAGATCGTTCCACAATGCAGTCAGAACTTTTCAGGAGTCTTAAAGCCACGAGCAGAAACAAGGGCGTTACTGTGTATCCCTCGTTCTTTAATCCAAGAGGCTAAAAAAAGTGCGCTTCACATTGAGATTTACATTGAAACTGTGGAACGATTTGACTATAAAATGGAACGATCTAGCTTGAAACAATCTGACCATGGAATGAAGTGACCGTAAACAATAAAGCACAGTCCACAACAAAAACATACGATGAATGGTAAGCCTGTGGTCTAAGTACTGGCAGGTTGAATGTAATCCAACAGCGGACTGTGTGAGGATGAACTAAGCGATGATGCAGAGGAAGGCTGTTCCATGGATGATGAGCCAGGGGTTAGGGCATTGGAACTGGCAACACGTTCAACTATCATAGCGTGGAGATCATGGATTGCTTCAATGTGCTGAAATGTAAAGGATTATATTAGCAATAACCACAAAAACGTACAAAAGATACCCTAAAATTTTGAAAACAAGATCCACGGCTTAAACGTTCCAAACGACAATATTTATAAGGGGCTTATATTCACGAGGAACTTCCCTACGATGAAGCTTGTGTAATGTTGGAAAAATTTAATGTGCTTCAAAGTCAGCTGGGCTTTTACCCTCCAAGGGAAATTTCTGATTCGCAAATAATTATACGTTATTGAGTACTGACTGGGGCATTAATAAGAATTCGAGAAAACGTAGCCATCTGAATAATATGCCAACTTCAACACTACCGCAATAAACCTTGTACCGTAACTCAAATACCAGTTACTGCTGACACGGTTTTTAACAGACCATGTCAAAGTTGACAGAGTAGTTCATATGGAATCAAATCAGAAAATTCTAGAGCTTAAAAAATGTTGTCACTGGAAACTGTGGCCAAGTTTGTAAATCAAATGAATTTAAAATGAAGAATTGACAATCATCCTGGGTCACCAAAGGGACTGATAGCATATAACTACATACCTCACTAGAAGGCTGTGCCAAGGTCAAAACATGCACCACTTTCTGAGGGTCCATTTTAGGAAGGACATACCACAAGAGGCGAAGGGTGTGTCGCAAAATATTTGAGTCTGATACCAGAAGAAGCAGAAACTGATCAAACACAACATCGCAGAAGTCAGCACGAGAAAACTCTTCAGACCAAGCAGCCAGTGAGCTGACCAGCGTGTGAAGAGACACCTCATCTAACATGCGCTCCTGGCAGGTGCCAACAAACCAAGGCAAGATGGTCAGCAGCATTTGTCTGTTAGCAAAAAGGAGGCAAGATATGTTTTGACAGCAGCCTTTGTACCACCTCACCAGCAAAGCTTTTCTTTAGAAAAATTCTACAGGAATTGATTACAACTTTGTTGAGCATGCCCTGCATGTTGCTAGAATACAGTTTCAAACCCAGGCCTAAAAGAAGTGTGTTTGGTACTGCAGGCTCAATTATGATCATTGGTTTATCAATAAACTGATGCCTGCACTCGAAAAACCAGTTTGACGAGAGAAGACAGGATTGACTAGTCCAGAAGTAGTCCACAATCACGAACTTGTAAACATTCTGAAACCATTCTATTAAAAATTTTTATGTGCATGTCCATTCAATTATTCTTGTTAAAACATTGTAACCTGCAGTCACTCTACAATAAGGCAGAAAGGAAAGCTGCAAGAAGAATCTAGGAGAAAAATTTACCTTCCAAATGGGCACTCCAATTACCCAAAGAATTATAAACAGAATAATTTACCCTTGTTTTTCATTTACCATTTTCCCACCAACAGCCTTGTAACTCCATTATTAACATATAAACCACAGACAAGCCATAATAACTTTATTTGCGCTGAAGAAAGGCGAGACTCAAACATCACCTTTTCAATATTAACTTTTTAAATTGACTTTATCAACCCAATTAACAGAAAACTATTGTATTCAAATTGCGAGCTGAGTGTTGACATCTTACTATTAATGTAAATACATGCATAACAGTAATACTGTATAGAGAATGCCACAGAAGTGATTAAGCAGTTAATCAACAGGTGACATTGCCAGCACCCATCGCTGAGGATGGGATTCCATCAGGGATGTACTAATATTATTGTTACAGTTTCTCCAGAGATTTTCAAAGACAATGAAATAATTCTTCCTGACCACAACTGATAGTAAAATAATACCTGTCTTTTTGCTTGATAACATGAAGAAGATAGCACCAAGCCAGCGTGAATGCTACTGAATTTGATGAAGTAATTTCTACAAAGTACGCAGTGAATTGTGAAGGGCCCTCTATGCCACCATTCTTGTCCCCATCATTGAGTTTATCATGAAGAGAGTTAAGACCACTATCCACCATCAGTGACATAATCAGTGGCAAGAACTTATGAACCAATTCACCACCCTATTAAGGTTAAAATCAAAAAGTTAAGTACAGTATTAGTTTTTCAAACAGCTGAGGATAAAATTCATAGGGTAAAGCAAACTGTCTAGCCTAAGGCCTGTAAATCTCTCTATCTCTTTTTAGGAAATCCCTGAAAAGTGAGACACCATGCACACTGTTCCACAATTGTTAACATTTCACAGGACACAAGCAACTTATCGTTGGCCATGAATGATTTTCTTTTATGTTACACTCCTCTTAGCAGATCAAAGCATCACAATGTTAATAAGGTGAATGACAAACTGCATAGATGACCAAGTGACATTTAATCTTCTTCATGTTATACATGCAGAGCATGCAAAGAAAGTAGTGTCTGATAGCCAGGGACTAGTGGATTTTGCTATCGGGCTAGTGAATTCTGTTTTTCACTTGCCCAACGGGCAAGTGATGTTTTTTGAGGAATTCAAAATAATAACAGAAGAACTGTGAAATCAATTCTGCTCGTCAAAAAGCTTTTGGAGCTAGTTGAAATGAAAAAGTGGTTGGCAAAAGGGGCATATAAAATTAAAGGTGTAAATTTATTACTCTTTAATTCTAGGTTTATTTGTTGCCCACAAAAATTCATGTTAATGCACTTTTTGAGAATTTGAATGAAAATAATTTACACAAGTAACAAGGGAGCTGCATGAACATAGTTAATACTGATATAACTTACCAGTGCCACCTCAGTAAAGTGCTGATTACTAATCATTTCCCATGCACTAACTCCCAGATTCAACACCCGCAAAAGGAAACTGACATCTGAAGAAGTCTGCAATTTCCAAAACAAAACGGACTGTATTAAGTTTGTCTTTATCATATATCATCAAGGATTTTACTCTTGTGAAGGAGTTAGATTTTCAATTATTTTTTGAAAGGAAAGTCACTGTGGTAGAACTTCTGACACTCAGAGTTATTATCAAACCAGAAAGAAAACTCACCCTTGGCAGTAACTCTGTGTTGACAAGTCGCTGTAGTTGCTTAATTACACTTTTGGAAACAGTGTTGATAGCAAACGGGTCACACAAAATCATTGCAATATCCCTAGTAAATAGAGAAAAAGAAAAAAATAATAATAATGGTACTTACAACATCCACAAAATAATGTTAACCCATTCACTTCTACCATGTGGTACTGGACAAAGTCTAAATTCACTTTTCTGTTTTAATATCCATAAACTGCCATGGATTTATTTCTGAACATTTTGAAATATTCATGAGCTCTTCAAGGATGGTGTGATGAAGAATACAGAATACTGGTCACCAATTTGGTGACTAATTACCTGGATTGACCTCTAGTGATAGGAATTCAGGGGCAATGGCGCCTGTATTAGGCACAATTTCATGCCTTGGAGTGGCGCAGATGGTATAATCACTTACCATGACAAGGCTGTCATTACGATTGCGCTTTGAAGCATCGGTTCACCCGTAACATTTCACAAAAGATTTACAGTATAGTATCACCTTAAGCTTTCCACTTTGATCACCCATAACATCAAATGAGCACAGCTGTAACATGGTTATGGGTTACGGCCCTTAATGAGAGCTCTGCATGAAATCCTGTCATACAATGTACACCCTGCCCAATATCTTCTCTACCCTGAACAAAAATCCAGTCATTTCTTTATTATACAAGCATTCTTTTGAATATGGCTAACCCATTATTAAGACCAATATTAAACCACCATAATATGACCAGTGAAGTACCTACTGATACCCGTGGGTAAGTAAGAGGTATTCATCTGGTAAATTGTGAAGCTTCTATCAAAAGTCAATGACATTTTTCACCTAGTGTGATGCCGGTCACATTCTTAGTGTTTCACTTTATTCAAACAGCCTTACCCAAGGACTTGTTCTTCACTGTGCTTGGCCTGATCTAAAAATCCCTGCAACTCTTTTGTCCTTTTCCCTTCAATCACTTTTTCCCTGATGCAAGCATCCAAACACCATGTGAATTTGTGACATGGGTCAATATCCTTTATGTCTTTAATTTCAAGGTCGTGAACAGCCATTAGAAGCTCTGATCTAAGAGTACAATAATGAACTTCCTTGGTTCGTAGAAAAAGTGTTCTAAGAAACTGCAGAACAAGATTGTACAGTTCCAAAGACTTTCCAATCATTTTGGCTAAGTTCTGAACAACTGTATTTTGCCTCCTTGTTTTAGACGGCATTGAAAAGAATGTGTGAGAGTTTAATGGTTCTGTGGAGAAAATGACACTGTATTTCGCTTCAACATATTGATTCAAAAGGGGTCCAACGGCATCACCAAACAACGCGTGATGTTTTACCCAGATCTGTCTTTTAACCTCAATAGAACAGCCCTCGTACAATTGTGGGTCATTTGCAAGTTGCTCAAGACATTCTTCAGGAACTTTAGGAAGGTATTTCATCACCTCCATCACAACTGGACGAAGATGCTGCACATGGATGAACGGAAAACACTGATCAAGCAGACTCTGGAGCTTTTCAACCTCCAAAGCTTTCACTTGCTCCAGCAGTTTGTCTCGTAAATTTTCCATGACAAAACTATTGAATTCCATTCTACGAACATCGTGAAGGTCCAAAAAAGGTAGAGCAGGCTGTAAAGAGGGCAACATAATGCTATTTTCCTGTTGAAAGTTTTCTATGAAGTTGACAACCTCGAAGTCTTGAGCGCCTCTAAGTCCATTCAAGATAGAGTCCGTTCCGGGAAGCCCCGCCTGGTCAAAACCAGCCATATTGCTCTGAGATGTGTCTTGTTCAAACTGCGGTGGTAAATCAACGGTTTCTTGACAATTTACCTCAATAAATTAGTGATTTTTGCAGGACAAATTTTTCGCCATTTTGGCGGACATCGGCCGAAGCCGAATGCGCATGACCTTTGTGCCAACCGCAAGGAATGCAGGGACTTTTATAGCAGCCATGTTTTTTTGATCCCATAGTTCTTTGCAGTCTGCAAGTACAATGGCGGATGAAGTTGACCTTCGAGAGAAAGTAAAGAAATACGAGGAATTTGTGAATGACAAGTTAAGAACAGATCTTGAAACTGTAAGGAAAAATCAAGAGGAGGTGAATTCAAGGATCAGTGAATATTTACAACTGAAGAGTGTAATAGAAAACATTAAAAGTTCTGAAGAATCCCGTTCGGGGAGAGAATTAAAGACTCAAGTGGACCTTGGATGCAACTTCTACTGCCAGGCGCGCATAGCAGACCCATCAAAGATATTAGTGTTAGTGGGCTATGGATTCTATGTGGAGTTCACATTGGAAGAGGCGCTTCGTTTTATAGAGAAAAAGTGCAATCAATTAACTATGCATAGTCAAAAATTGGGACAAGATTCTGCTAGGATCAAGGCAAATATTAAACTTGTTCTAGAAGGGCTTAGAGAATTACAGGGCCTTCGTCCGGTAGAAAAAGAGCCTAGGCCTATCTGGTGAAGGAAGTTTGGGAGCAACTACAGAATGCAGGGCCAAATCGTAAGGACTCTCATGGAAGTGGCTTGGTGGCTCCCTAGCAAAGACCAATGTTTAAAGAACGAGGAAGATAAATACTAAATGTTATAAAGTGTTAGATAGCAATTAAGGTATATAGGTAAAAGGGATGGTATACATAAGTGGGTTGGTGGGTTGGTGGCTCCTTAGTGGAGGCTAGAGTCGTGAAGAGTGAAAAAGGTATATACCTGCCAACTTTTTCTGAGATATAAGCGTGAGATTTTTATTCTGGGAGCTGCTGGGATTTTTGAAGACGACACGATCATTTCTGAAGATTCCCGAAGAAGTCCGAAGTCTGCTGAAGACGTCCAAGGTCTGCCGAAGGCGAAGTTATCGAAAAAACGCTTATCCACAAAATCAGCGATCGCGAGGAAGGTATTGTCATTTATTCATTTTACACATGGTTTTCATTCCTTACATGGGTCTGAGTTAACATATTTTTGGAAATTGTGTCAAGCAAGACGGCAACAACTCACATTTTTCAATCAGGTGTGAGAAATTGGCCCGCAAGCGTGAGCCGGCGTGAGATCGAAGTTTTCAACCCGCAGGCGTGAGAGTTGGCAGGTATAAAGGTATATATTTTAGTGGCCCAGCGGCTCAGCAGTCTTGACTAAAGATCCACAGAGCAACTTGAATGATAAGGTCATTTTATCTCACTTTTATCTCTTGCCGGGGGCGTTTATTAAATTTCAAGGGTCCAAGGGGGGGCGTTTAAAAGATAAGAGGCGTTTAAAAGAGAGAGGCGTTTATTCTAATAACTGTAACATGGTAACCTAAATACGGTATTATAATAATCTAAATGACAGAGCTTTAGCAGACTATCAAGTCCGTCCGCTGGTAAGTCTAAACCGTCTACTAATCCATAACGGTGTAATTTATGGTACATACAAAGTGGCCGAAAAGGGTACCGTACTGGTAGTTCTTATAGCTCAATGTCAACATCCAAGTCCTGGTTGAGCACCATGGTATTTTCATCGCCGGCCTCTTCTTTGTCCGAGTTAGTTATTGCTTGAAATGGGATCAAGAACATTAAAGAACACTATCCTCACTTTGAACTGGAAATTGAGCAAGATGCAACTCCCACACCGGTGTTAATTAAGCAAGAACGCAAATAAATTGATTGATTGTATTGCACATCTGTTTTCAGTTTATGTGTGGTTTTCAGGGAAGGGGGGCGTTTATGACACAGAGGGCGTTTGTTGGAGAGGGGCGTTTAATACAAACTTGTCAGCTTAGGGGGGCGTTAATAAGATAAGAGGCATTCATTAGAGAGGGGGCGTTTATTAGATCATTTACAGTAAGTGTGGTCATCTTTTGGCCATGCGAAACAGAGCTAGTAACAAAATGATGTTCTACCTCTGAAGTCTTGAACCAGTTTATTATATTTTTTTATTATATAGACATGAGTGTTTTACTGGAAAATATACCACTCGTAAAATTCATAAAAACCACATCCGGGAGCTGAGTGGTTTATTTTCCATAATCTCACACGTGAGTTTATTGATGACATAATTTCGGTAATTTCCATTTAATATTTTATCGAGGTCTTTTTGTCTATTTAATAAAAAGAACATTACACTGCGGCTTGAAGATATGAATTATATTTTCTCATGGTAAAAACAATATTTTACTCACTTGCTGCAGTCGTTCGTAAAATGTTGTTTTGCCACTCGAAAATAAAATTTATATCTTCGCGCCACCGTGTACTGTCCTCTATATACTTCTCTCTATATATGCTTATTGGAAACTGAATCATTGAATGATGCAATTCTTGAGCTCTGATTGGCTTAGCCATCATGGTATATGAGCCATTATAAGCTGCACTCCAAATATGGTAGCACCCTGCAGGCTATCCTAAACACAGTCCAATGTCCTTTTTCCTAATCAAGGTAATAAAATTGAGGGTGTTGTCCTTAACAGGGTACGTATTTTAGGACTTTTTTTGTCCTAAACAGGTTCAGAGTCTCAAACCCTCAGCGGATCACCTATACCCAAATATTGATCGAGTACCCCCCACCCCCCTCCTGGGGACTTTTTTCTTTGGCAGAACAGCGAAACGTCTAGACTTGCTACAAGTTGACCTGTTGGACTGAAGATTAAAACCTCTGGTACCCAGGGTAGACCCATGGCTATAGACGGATTTTGTGGCTGTGAAAAAGCCAAGAAAGTTTTTTAGTTTTGCCATTTTTTCATATTTTCCCTGGATATTTTAAAAGACAATACCATTCACAGCAGTTTCCAAGGATGCAAAGCTCTAAACTTGGCATGTGAAAGGGGTACCATTTGTCAGTGGAAGGTAAATGAAAGGGGGTTTTTCTGTCAAAAATGGTATGAAAAAGCTAAAGGGTTAGACCTCAGGGTGGAGCCTCTCCGTTTAAAACTTTGCTGATTACAACCCCTCCCCCGCTGATTTTTCTAATCGCGCTCCACAGAAACGAGGCGAGTGACCCCTGAACCGTTTGCATGTGATCCCATCACGTATGTGTCCCGGCCTCACGAAGAACATCAACAACACTTTTTGTACAACAAAGAAAATGCTGTATCATCGCCCGTCCGCAATTGGACCTGCGATAGTTTTGGGGGATTGTGTCATTTACATCACTTAATCATGGTTAGTTCTTGACTTACAAGTTTTTTTCGAATTTATTTGATGGTACAGAATATTTGCGTGAGCAAAACAGCAGCGTTAATTCAAGTTGATAGATAATGATACCAAGAGTTTGCTCCCGTTTCTCCTGGAGTTTTTCTAAAGCCATCCTTCGAAGGTCAAATGTATCTGGCTTGCATTTTCTACAACGTCGATATGTGCACGAGGAACCCAAAGTGAAGATTCCAGATTTCTCGCAGGAGTTTAAGGGAATGGATGCCTCTTTCCCTTGTCTGACGGAACAACCCACGCGGTATGTGACAATAACAGGCAAATTGTTTCATGCTTTGTCTGCTTCACCGGTTAATTGTTTGCCTTATGAAATTCTATCTACCATATAAAATTTAATTATCGCTTCAGCGAGGTATATTGTTGGTAGTTTCATAATATTTTAATTCCTGGATATCAGTATCTAGCGCCTGATTGCACATTTTCCTAGTAGGGGTATTTTCAAGAAAGCCTTGTACATTTTGGGGGATGGGGAGGGGGGAGGTAAGGAGGCTCCCACGGAGGTAGGGTGAACCTTTTATAAAGGTAGATTTCTACTGTGGTGTAGTATTTATTTTTATGTGGGTAATAAAAAAATAGAGGCAATGTATGAGTGTCGCATAAATGTAAAAGTTGAGTGCCCGGGTTCAACTTTTATGTTTACATGTGACCTTTCATACATGCATTGCCTCTAATATATTTATGCATGAAATTTTAGGGGCATACACACATATAAAGTAAGTGACAGTGGAAATCCAACCTTATGAAGCGAGGGAAAATATTAGACATCATTTGGGGACAGGGACTACATAATAAGTAGATGCGAAGAAAGCAGTCTAGCTGCTGATCTGATAGACTGCTGGCAGTCACTCTGGAGTGCCTGGTTTCAAAATGGGGATGGATTTTATTTATTTACCAGCTTTTCTGGACACAGGCCTGCCCAGAGAGAATGCGCATGAACGGGACTCAGGTCCCATGCAAGGTGCCATCCCTACCCAATCCCACAACCCGTAAAGGTTGGCCACACCACCGGGGTCTACGACCCCTACTCTTTTCGAATAGTGATGTGGGTTCTTTTACCTTCCACAAGAATAAATCGGTGAAAGTGTTGTGAGATAGGACCTATGGTTTTTTGTCCTAATTATCTGAGAAGACTAGAAAGTCTAACCATTTGCAGATTTCATTACAAAGGCACCACTTTCTTCTCAGTTATTTAAAGACCCTGAGTGTTAGTCCGGCCGGGGTTTGAACCCACGATCTCCTGCTCGGCAGACCAGCGCTTTCCCAACTGAGCTAACCAGGTGGCGGTTTTTGGGTTGAGGGGCCGTTTCTCGAACATCCCAGTAATTAAATGGCCTGGAAAGCTGTTGGTTTTTACATTCAAGACCAAAGTTTCAATAGCTTTGCAAATAATATGATAAAACTCTAACTTAACAAAACAAAATGGGCTGGGTTGTTAGTGGGGACCTGGGCTTTTATTTCTTAGGTCTTGATTTGAATATTTGATCTCAGGCCTGAAAAATTACCCTGTCTTTCGAGATATGGGCCACTGTCTGAAAATGGGTTTGGAAAAATAAAGGGCGGCATGTTTTAGTCAGAAGTAGGGTCAGGATTTGGTGAACCAATAGTACATACCCACCTTTAATATTATTCTTATGATTACCCCTTCCTGGGGTAGGAGTGTTGTTTTTACTGGTTGGCATTCTAAGGAGGGCATGAAAGGTCTCAAAGAAAAATAAATTGCAGAAAATATACCAGGAAGATGTCAAAATTTTCACGGCGTTACAAATGGTCCCGAAATGTAAATATCTGTAAGAAAGAATTTGCTCTTCATGTTAAGTTCTGCTTGGCATTTAAAGAAAAACAGCATTTAACTGTTCCCTTGGTTTCACTAGGTCCAGTTCTGCTGGTGTTGATCCAGTATACTCCAAAATAAATTCAGGTTACAAGACATATCATCATGACCGCCCATTTTTCTTCAAGTACAATGATGGCGTTGTACCTCAGCTAGAAGTTGCATATGAAACCTGGGGTGAGTTGAATGAAGCAAAAGACAATGTGGTCCTTTTGTGCACTGGCCTGTCTGCTTCATCGCATGCTAAGAGTCATTCAGTAAGTACTCTCTTTTTCACCCATCAGGTTCTGTCTGTAGTATGCACAGATCTGGGAAAATAATTTTGCCAGACAATGGATTTGGCTGGTTTGTGGGACTTAACATTTGTGTGAATAATGTTGTAGTTGTTTGTTCTCCTATTAAAGATTGAGTCAAAATATAGTTACAGTTCATTGAAAGGAAAACTATTAATAAGGTCCCCCTTCGATTAATCACCCTCCTTCCTGAAGTGACCCTCCATTTAGCAAAAAAATTTTGAATAAGTACCCAGGTACTTATTCGTGGAAATAGGTTACTCATGAATATTGAATATTTATTGTGTACCTTGCTGTCACATACACGTACTGTAATGCAAAATTGTACAATGTAGGTTACTTGAATGTACATGTATTTTATGCAGGACAATACTACACCAGGCTGGTGGGAGAACTTTATTGGCCCTGGCTGTGCTTTGGATACTGATAAGTTCTTTATCATTAGCTGCAACAATTTAGGAGGATGTTATGGTACTAGGTTGGTAATTGTCAAATTTGTTGTTCTTGAATTCTACATCATTTTGTAACTAACCTTAGGATGTCTGAAGATAATATAATATGTTTACATATATTTTATTCATTTATTTTTTTTTTACAGTGGACCTTCATCAATCAATCCTTTGACAAACAAGGTAGTTTACTCTGCCTCTGTTTTATTTTATTGTTTATTATTTTTGTTGCAACATGTACCTGACGACTTGTCAATTTCTGCTGATAGTGCCCACCCATCAGTCAATCACCCCCTGTAGTATTTTTCAGTGTTACAAGTAAACAACACTTTTGAACATACACATATTTCTGAATCAACGTACTAATAATTAACAAATGGTAAATGGCCCAGAGTGTACTATTGAGTTATAGTTGCATGCAGGAGGTTGCTATTAATTAAAGCTTAAAAGAAGCGTAAGAGTCGCACAAGGCAATAGCCAAGTGCGACTTTAGCTTCTTGAGTGCTTAGCAATCCTCCCAAGTGCAACTATAACTCAATAGTACATGGTGAGCCATTTTACATAATCAAAAGAGAACAACTTTTAATTTTGCTCACAAAAAGCAGGGGAATGATGTGAGTGCTGTAATCTGCTCGAAAAAGATCGTTTTGCTGAGTAATTAGTTCTCTGTCTCAGTTTTACATTATCTTTAGCATTCTTTTTAAACTTTCTATCAGTAATGAAAGAAAATCTTTGCAAACCATGAGGTTAAAAAAATATAGTTGCGTAGAAAATAGCGTGTATGGCTTTGAGTGTGCACTAGCTTTCACCACCATTCACTCATGGGCAAATAGTAAATGTCACTAAAAATGACCAATAAGAGTGCTCACTTTACGCTTGTTATGTTATAATTTTCTTTACAGCCTTATGCCACAACCTTTCCCCTTGTGAGTGTTGATGACATGGTTCATGCCTTCTTTCTGACCTTGGATTCATTGGGAATAGGAAAGGTTTGTGTAACAGCAAAACTGATTTTTTTTCTTGTATTTTTTAACCACTTTTTTCTTAAAACATGTTCCCAATTTTATTGGTTACCCCAGGTTCATGCTGTTGTAGGCGCATCTTTGGGAGGCATGTCATCTCTGAATGCAGCAGCTCTGTATCCTGATAGAGTAGGAAGGTAAGGGTGGTATTCACTCTGATATAACACCAGTGTAGCTTACAAATCACAACTATATGTAGCTGACAAGCATAATATCATAATTTATTTGCCAATAATTTATTGTTTTATACATTGATCGTGGGGATAGGAGCAGTAACAGTAAAATAGATCCTAGCTGCCAGGCAAGCAGGAAGGAACAGGGCTAAGGAGATTGTGGCTTATAAGCTTTAGAGAAAAGAGAAGACTTAGATTATCTTGAAGTTGTAAGAAAATCTGAGTAATAGTGGATATGGGGGAATTATTTATAGTACCTGGAGTTTGTAAGCCCACTTACAGTAAAGTACTGCACAACACTCCTTGGCTTTGAAGGTGCAGTTGTTTGATATAACCATCACTGATAGAGGTTTTATTTTGATGGTGTGTGAGGCCACTGTCTCTGATGCTGTCCCACGGGGACAGCAGGGAGCTTTTCACAGGGGACTTATGCTAGTGTCTAACTGGGATATGAAGGCATACCTTATGCCCCTCAGTCCAGTCCGGAGTCCCCACTTTGTTTGACCCAATGTCCAATACTCACTTCTAGATATGAAATAGTTTCATGTATATAGTAGTTGTGTGAAGTGTACGTTCTTGCAATGGGCAGGTCATTATCTTTGTCTTCTTGTAACTATCATTGATAACAGGTAGGGGTCCACAGGGACTCACAACCCCCTAGCAACACTCTTGCCTCACCTCACCAGCTTTTTATACTCTCAGGCCATGTTTGGGACTGGTGCTTCTAGAATCCTGTTTTCAGGGCGGTTGCTTCTTTTTAAGAAGTGTTTAACAAGTCTTTAATTTTTGCAGAGTGGTAACGATTTCTGCTTGTGCCCAATCACATCCAGCATCAATAGCTCTCCGTTATGTGCAGCGTAGAATACTGATGAGTGACCCCAACTGGAACAAAGGCTTTTATTATGATGGACCCTATCCAAGACTTGGAATGAAACATGCACGGTCAGTTCGGCTATATCTAAAACATAATGATTTGATTCCTAGCTCAGTAGGCCATTCATTTCTTACTGACGTTATATTCCATCTAGTTTTTCTCTTCTAATTGAAATTGTTTTAATCCCGCCATTATTCTAGTAAACAACTATAGTCCTAATTTTTGCAAGAAAACAAAATTCTGAAGAATTGTTTTAGTTGTAGTCAAGAGAGGGTCCTATCATCTCTTTAGCCTGCGTAACAGGCATTATTTTTTCTCCTTTTTTAGGTGAGCTAAGGCAAATGCAAAGCAAGTGAGGAGTGCCAGACACGTGAGATGGCGGAAGGCATATGTCTAGAGCTCCTTGCTCGCTTCGTGCTTGCCTTCGCTCGCCTGAAAAAGGAGAAAATTAACGCCTGTTATGCAGGCTACTTTGTTGTAAAATGATGTCCTCTTGAAAGGTCTTGTTGCATAACTAGGGTTCCCATTTGACTACATGTACATCCAAACATTTGGAAAGAGAGACCGTATTCATTGCTCTCGCCCAGACTCTGGTATCAAACTCTCACGGAAACTCTAGCTGCGTTAGTTAAGGCTCACTTAACAAAGCTGATTGATGGATTGTTTTTCAATTAGAGAAGTGGCTACGATTTCATACCGCAGTGGACCTGAGTGGGAGCTGAGATTTGGGCGGAAACGTATTGATGATCCCGTTACAATATCACCAGATCTCTGCCCTGAGTTTGAGATTGAAAGTTATCTCGACTATCAGGTGCAACTTTTATTACATGCTAAAACGAAAAAAAACTTAAGCTTATGAATGGTATAAGAGAAAAGCGACCCAACTCGTAACCTCTAAGCTGCGATTGGGTACGCGCAAAAGTTCACGTGAAAAACAACTCCAAATAAAAGGGCTTTTTTGTTCATATTTTACTCCTTAATGAGCATTTCCTTGAATTACTTTTCAAAGTGCCACGCAGCTCACTTTTTTTTTTTTGGTGAAGAGTTCACCTGGCTAATCAGTTGCAAACATTTGCATTTGTCCTCTCGTCGACGGAATTGTGGTAATTCTGACACGCAATGCTTCAACCAAACGTAGGCAATGAGGAAACCAGAGACGAGACAAAAAAATAATCGTAGGTATTAAGTGATGAAGCAACTGAGTATCTAACGACAAGCAGACCAAACTGGCAGAGGACAAAATGACCTGAGGTCGAAGTAATGAGTCAATAGAACAGTTCTTTAAGGGGAAGCTAGTGAGGTGATGCTTTTTCAAACTTAGTGGCTTATAGTTCCATTCCAGGTTTCACCGAGTGTTAAAATGATTTTGATCATATCATTGCACTTGTCATATAGTATATTGACAATACTGTCAAATCCTGTGAAATATAAGTAGTTTAGAGAAGGCTGCGTTGTCGATGTCGTATCTTTAGAGTGGATTTATTAACAGAGATTTACCATTACAAATGTGTTTTTTTTTTCATGGTTTTTTCTGCTTTACCAGGGTGATAGCTTTTGTCTCAAGTATGATCCCAACTCGCTGCTGTACATATCAAAGGTAACCATTATAGGCCACCGCGCCTCTCATCCCTCCTTGTAATGAGAAACATCCCCTCTGAGACATGTCTTATTGTGACTGCAGTTGAAAGCATGATTTTTTCCTGATTCACTTGACAGGCGATGGACCTGTTTGACTTAGGAGAAGGCTTCAGTTCTCTCTCAGAAGGAGTGGCAAGAATTCAGTGCCCGACTCTGGTAGGTACTGGGCAGCGAGTCATGTAAGCGTTTTCTTCTTTGTTTTTTTTATCTTACTGAGAAAAGTTTTGTTTAAAAAAGTGGACGTTATGTTACCTTTTGGTGCTGAAGGATGTGGGCCTAGCCTTGTTTTATTTAACCATTAGGCCACCTCCCCTCCCATCCTCTCCTTGTAATGAGACACATCTTACCATTTACCTGCTTCCATAACTGTTTTGTCATTGCTTCTTCTCTTTGGGGGGTGGGGGTGGGGTGGGCGTGGGGGAGGAGAGAACGGGGTACCTGGACATAGACCGGTTTATCTTAAAGTCATAAGCGTTTTTTTCTCCAATTCGTTCACAGGTGTTGGGAGTACAGTCCGATGTTCTATTTCCAGTTACACAGCAGAGAGAATTGGAGACTCTTCTAAAGGAAGCTCGTAAGGAAGGAATAAACTTTAATTGCAACTTGAAGCGGGATTTACTATATTATGTTATACTCAACTAAAGGAAGAAGATCTTTCATTCATTGCTCACAATATTCGTTGCTCTGTAAAATAAAAATTGTTTGCATGGAAGAGCTGATACTCTAAATTTTGAGAAAGTCTTTTGTCAGTGGAGAACCCAGCTTACGACTGAACTACCATCTTAGGAACTCAAGTCCTAGGCTTAGTATTCGCGACGCCTATCTGAGCACAATTATGTCTTGACTTCTGTTTGGTAGCATTGAGCTATTGTATAAATCTTAGTTAAGATGGCTTAAGTGTCCGAGTCTCTAGAACACTACTTTCCTTCTTTCAGATAACCATGACGTGACATATTATGAACTTCCTTCTATTTATGGTCATGATACATTTCTACTTGATGTCGTTGCCGTCGGAGCGGCAATTAAGGTAAGTCACGTGGTTGAATTATAAGACACACTTTAAGACATACACCGCCTCACCAATGGACGAGAGTTCTTCTGTGCTTTTTAAGGGAGTTCTGTTTGGAATCAATAATGCTTAAAAGTGTCTATCTGGCCTTAATGGACCATTATAAGGCGTTAAAGCAAGATTCGTTTGGTTGTTTTCTCTGATTCCGACCAAACCACGTCATGTAACGTTAAGTCTTGTCAAAATGGTTGCGTTTAGGCAGTTTTCGATAGGATGTAGCTTTTTCTGAAATTAAGCGCAGCTAGGTGGCCACTGGTTACCACTGCCGGAATTTGGTTTATTTAAAGGCCACAGATTTACATCTTTTCACTCCTTTTGTTTACTGTTATTAGGGTCACATCGAAACAGACCTGAAGATTCACGGGGAACGCAAGCTTCCCATCGTGAACAAGAAGAAAGATTGAAACCTTAAACAGCATTGGTGACCTCAAGTCGAGACCTGTAATGCTGTTTAACTAGCGCACTTTCAATATGGTTTTTCTTTAAGTATACTGAATGCCAAAGAACGTCAGTCAGTCAGTCACTCACTGCTCAATAATGTACCAAGTTCTGCCTTAGACAACAAAACCTGACATGTCCTATTTGATTATTTAAAAGCGATCACAGAATTTTGACCGCCATGCCACTAGCAACAATAGTAACGGTCCTTTATTCAAAATCATTTACGGTAAAAACGACGCAAATAGCATTGTGCCACTAGAGGCAGGTGTCGCAATAGGCTCATTCACAGAATTTTAGACTGAGATGAAACGGATAAACATACAAACAAACAAAACAAAAAGCTAAGCGAAAAAGTAAAGAAATTACATGACTTTCGTATGAATTCAAAGATAATTATACGTAGATAGTAACTCCAGTGAACTAATGCGTTTTTTAAAACGGCTTCTTATGTGAGACCAAAAAAACTACGTTAATATTTTAATAGATGAAATTAAAAATAGCTTTGAGGCTATAACAATGTTGTAAGTATTAGGTAAAGGGGCAGCCTGCGAATACAGCCGTGTCTCCTCGTTCCTCGCTGCTAGGAACGTTTCGCAGGGGAGGCAGAAATTCCACTCTGATGACGTAACACCTGTACGGAATCTGTTCATGCGAAACGTCCCGAACGGCGAGGAGCGAGGAGAAGACAGCTGTATTCGTAGGCTAGTACAGGGGAGGTAGTTTTTAGAACAACCTACCTTGGTAGGGTGAAAGCGTATTTTTGTAATTTCACTGATGACGAAACAACAAATGAAAATGAAGAGAAATAGCTATCACCGACTTTCAACGTTTTTGTCTCTCGGCGGCTTTTGTCACCGGATAATCAGTAAAGATGTTAGGTATTACGTTATCAGTGGAACTTCTCCTTTGGGACACCTCTATTCAAGGGACACCTCCAGGGGACGCAAAATTTTGTCCCTAAAAAATGTTCACATAATCTTTGTATTTGTTACCTCTATTGAAGGGACACCTCCATTCAGGGAAAAGGGACACTATTTTTAGGGCCCGAAACCCAGGTTTAACCTCCATTCAGGGGACACCTTAGCTCTCAAAAAGTGGTCGACCACAAATAGGGTTGATAAGTTTAAGTGTACACCAGTCACAATGATGACATATGTCACAACATGACCTATCTCACTGTAATCGGTGTACTGCACTTGAAGGAATTCAACACACAATATCGCAGAGCCAAGTTAATCTGATTTTTTATACATTATGTAGCTCCTTGAAATAATGACTGCAGCAGATTCCGAGGGAGAATAAAAAAGAAATTATATTTTTGGTTAATGATTAACAAACCCCAGCCCAAAGTCTATTCAGAGACATTTGCCTTGGCCCTGAGGGTGTCCCCTGAATAGAGGTTCCGCTGTATATAATTACTGAAAATGGGAAACAGGGGAGATGGTCGTACGATTGCCAACGTATCCGCGAACAATAAAAAGTTCTCCCTGGCGTTTTTTTCTGAACGTGAGTACTCGTCATTCGTAACGAAACGGCCAAAGAAATATAGCTAGGGTGATTAAACAGCGGGAGAAACCCTAATATGGAGAAGGCATTGTTCGACTGGCCAATCGTCTTGCAGTATGACGTCAAAGCGAAGTATCCATTGATTTGTAGAAAGTTCTCGGGCATGAAGTTTTTTCACCCGAGCGTTCGCTAAACCAACCAAAAGCCACGTGCGTTTGTATTCGTTTGATAAACCAATCAAATCGCTCTATTTCCGTTCGTTTGTTGTTTCTGTTTTGTTCGCGCGTTTTCTTTTCAACTTCATACGAAAATCGCTCTAAGGCTATGTTCACACTATACCGAATAGCTTTTAGGGCCTGTTTACATGGAGTGGGGGACCCCGGTCTAGAGGGGTTGGTTTCTTTTGTTTTCACGCTCTGGGGGACACAAAACAAAAGAAACTTACCCCACTAGACCGAGGTCCCCCACTCCATCTAAACAGGGTCTTAGTGTTGACATGACAAGTCGTCTGGTATAGTGTGAACAGCAACAGCCCGGGACTGAAATAGGTCCCCGGGGGGCTACTCGTTATAACCTTGGGTGGGGAGGTGCGGCCCGGCCTCTCATACCCTGACCCCGTTTAAGACAAAAATCGCTGATTTTCCTATCCTATTTAAGACAGAAAAATTTTGCTGTAGTTTAGTTCGTAGAACATATGCGCAGGCTGTTCATCGTCCAAGAAAAGATACCCTGTTTAAGACGAAAATCCCGAAAAACATACCCTGGCTGGCCGCACGTTCCCATTAAGCACTTATAAGAGAGTACCTCCCCCCCCGGAATAGGTCGTTCACACACATCGAACATCGTGCCACGCAGGTTGGTCGAGAGGGTTTGGTCCCCAATATTTCAGTCCCCAGGCCACCCCTGAATATTTACTTCCGTCCCAAAAGGGTTCCAGTCCTCTCTCCTACTTATTCACTTACGGTCCCAATACTTGTTCAAGCGGCACCAAAGGGTGGCACAGAACCTATCCGATAGGTGATGCTCCACTCAGGTGTCGAGATGCTCCACTATCGGCGCGGCACAGCTTCGTTCCGTTACAGAAATCGCGCCGAAATCACCGCTCTTACTGTGAACGGAAGCCTTATCCGGTCTTGTTTTCGTGCCGGCGCAAGAGCTATCCGGTTACAGTGTGCCATAGTGTGCCTGAGACTCCACTTTGGTATTGCGGTCTTTATGGTGTTTATCGATCAGTGTTGTTTTGCGGTATTTAGACCGCGCCCTTCCTTGTTGAGTCCACCCTAACTGCAGTGTTTTTTGGTATTTTCCCCACACCTCTGTATCAAGCTTTGTATTTTGAGTTCTGGAGGAAATTTTTCTTTGTCGGTGAAAGGGTGAACTTTGATCCCTGATCCTCTTTCCTTCATCGTCGATCCTCAATCCTCCATATTTCATCCTGGTTTTCCAGAAAACCGGAGAGCTAGGGGTGGTTTTCAGGTGAGTCACCCTCGAGCTTTCCCTTGGCTAGCCTGAATGACCTCAGAATGGGAGAGAGAGAACGTCTTCATTTTGACCTTGGGATTAATCTGCGATTAGACGTTTTTTTCCTTTTGAGAGGAGACGGGTAAAAAAGACATATGGAGAGGGAAGACACGATCACGGTCGAATCACAGGCAACGTGTAGGGTACAGGCAGTGCACTTACGTGACAAAATAGATCTAATTGATATGCGAGAAGCACAATGGGTTCTTTAAGGCTTTTTCTTTATAGCATGACACTTTAGAACAATCAATGATGGTGGCCTTCCAAGCAGCTCTGTTGTTCGCTTTTCTTTCAAGATGCTTTGCCGCAAAATTTGTCATGTTTCCCATGTTTGGACGAAGCCATTACATGATTCTCGACAAACTGGGGCAAGAACTGTCAGAGAGGGGCCATGAGGTATGCAAATAAGAGTACAGAATGCTTTGTTGTAGTTTTTAGTGACAATTCAATTATTATTTTGCCAAGCCTTCGTTGGTGTCGACTAAGCTATAAGCTTAAGATATCTAACGCACTAAATGGTACGATTCCAATCGCAATGAAGAGCCATCGTGAGCTGAGTAGCAAAGAAACGGCTTGGAATGCTCGTCTACATGGCGTGATCACATTACGTAATAGTGAAAATATAAGGATTTGTATGGGAAAAAAATATGCGGTTCTCATGATAAAATTAATCTTTTTCAATTATCCTTCTTTTTCAATAATGATATACCTGGCAACTCTCACACATTATGGGCGAGTCTCACGCCTGTGGACTAAAGACTAGGACCCCTGACTTACAGTCCGGACGAAAAAACAAAATTCATTTCAATTTCACCGAAATGTTTCAAAAAAGTGGTTAGTATTGACTTCGTGTCCTAACTGTATCACAAAACGTAAAAATTGTTGTGGAAGTGCTCAAAGGCTGTCGGAACATCTTCGTACATTTTCGCCAAAGTTCGGAAGTCTTCGGAAAATCAAGAAAATATTCGGAAGTCGCTGGGATATTTTCAGAAATTTGGGTCATGACAAGATCAGACGAAAATCTCACGCATTTGACTCAGAAAAAGTTGGCAGGTATACAATGAGGTTTCAGTTACACACACAGAATGTTGTTCATTAAATTGGGAATATCATTAAATCGATGATGGTATAATTGGGGTTCCACTGTGTACATATACATTTCTTTACGTACAACCCTAACTAAAGGGATATCTATATGGCTTTTCTTCCTCAACAACCTTAATGAGACCAAAATCTGCAATTCCACCTCTACTCGAGACGACGAGAGTCTCTGACATAATCATATGGGAGTGCCCCCGTCCCCCTAACGGGGGGGGGGGGGGGCTCCTGCACATCACGAAATAGGCCGTTCCTACCGCATTCCCGTGAACAAAGACACCAACTCGAAACCACCCAAGCCGCTACTTCGTTCATTGTGTGTGCTCACTGGATTGGAATGCGAGAAAGTTCCATATCGTGAACTGACAGGCGGTCATGATCAGATGGAGTGTTCAGAAAAATTGCTCCCTATCTATTCTCGATTTTCTTTTTTGGGGAATGTGTCGAGTAAAATGTTTTAATGTTTAACGCCATCATGATGTAGTGCAGTTGTTAGTTTAAGTAGCGGTTTTTTTCCTGTTCGCCTTGCTTCTTCTCAGTTCATAGCTATATAGATTGTTGACACTCCCCTTTTTCAATAAGATCATCGCGAGCGCCGCAGTACTTTAAAGAACAGGCATCTTGTTACATGGTGATAGACAGCGCTCGATCGTTACCGACGATCTTTGTGTCGGAAAAAGGGGACTGTAATTATAAACAGCCCCCAAACAGTCCACACAGTTTAGTCAGTGTTCAAGGCGATTCCTAGTAAAAGAACCCGTCGCAGATTTTCGATGAAACTTGGTACACTGTTGTAACAAGTAGATAAAAGGATAAAACGTAATAAAAACAGAGGGGGTCACCGTGCTAGTTTTCACGCTACAGTGCTGACTGCTATTTTTAGGCGCCTTTGGAAGCAACCGTACCCAGCCCAAAACTAGACAAAAAGGCGCGGCTTTTTCCCATGATACTTGTGATATCGCTCGGAATATTATTTTATTATTAATCCACCTACATACCAGGAAAATGCCTTTTCATACCTTTGCTTTTACTTAACGTTCCAAAGTAGACTTTTTTCGAAATGCGCTGTTTGCTGTAATCTTTCTGCAGAAGCTCCTTTTTTACGGCCTCTATCTTGTTATTCGAGTTGAGAGTTGCGCAATTCAAAACCAGCGAACCACTTTAAGAACCGTTTAAAAATAATACAAAACCATACAAGAAGAATTTCAATCCCTCAGGCCGACGTACTTGAAGACAACGCCCATTCTATAAAACTGAAACTAAGATAAGGGACTTCTCGTAGTTTAATCTGAGACCCAAACAGTCTATTTAATTCTAATTACTACAAGGTCCCGCAAGTGTTTGAGGATAAAAATTATTGCCCTCGCGGGATAACCCGTAAAAATCCAAGACGAAGTATACTGCAATAAATTTGCGTTATTGGCCAAGCCTGAGGACAAGATGGCTGGATATCGGCCAAAAAAGAACGAAGCCAAAATACAGCCATCTTGACAGAACAAGCTTGGTCAATAAGGGATTTATTATATGGCCAAAATAGAGAACTTTTTCTTACAGGATCAAGGCGGGAAATCCCGAGCGGGCAAGATGGGCCCATCTTGCTTGCTCGGGTAGCCAATCAGAACGCAAGATTCACTTCATCTTGCCCGCTCGCGGATGCAACCAAAAATAAGACTTCTCATTGTTTTATCCTCATCTTTACAGGTTATCCTATTTGTAGGAGCAACGGCTAAATATGCCACAAACAATCCATACGTACGCTTTTTCAACGACAGCCAGACCTTTTCGGTGCATACACCCGCTTCCGGGAACCGGAAGACGCCGTTAACTTTAAGAGAGGAGTTTACCGTTCTTTTAACCGCTCAGTTATCTTATTGTGATGAAATGCTGAGCAACGTGGAGCTAATGAAGGAAACTAATGATGCGGACCTCGTTGTTGGTGAACTGTGGTATCTCTGTTCAGCTTTGGTCGCAGACAAATTATCAGTGCCGCATGTTCTAATATCTCCAGCCACTTTGTCCACACCATATACGTTTGCACTTGGTCTGCCTGCTCCGCTCGCCTACGTACCTCAAATTAACAACGATGCAAATAAGATGTCGAATATCATTGACAGAGGCAAGAATGTACTGCAATGGATATCACTGTATTGGTATTACTTGCAAGATTTATGCTCACTTTATGGCAAGGTCAAAGCAAAATACAACATCACATCCAACAAAAGCATCCAGGAAACACTTGGAAGGGCTGATCTGATTATTGGTCAGATGCCGTTTGGATTAGAGCATCCGAGGCCTGTCCATCCAAGTAAGTCTTTTTATTTCAGGTCCCTTTGCACTTTAACATAATGTACGCGACATCGTAAGAATGGGAGGTTAGTTGCAAATACTTTACAGTTCATCGTACAGAAAGTCATTGTAACAAGTAGGCCATCGAAATCTTAGGAGAGAGCGCGGAAAATGAAAGTGAAGGAAGAAAATCGAGAGCGAAGCGCAAAAGAGAAGACTGCATGCTCGTCCTTCTTGCCGCGTGGACTTCAGAACGTCTAAATGGCGCTCAGAGGATTGATCTGAGCCATTTTTTTGCTGTTACGTAAAACATTTTGTGTCTCGGAGGTTCTTGTAGATTTTATTTACGCATGTCAAGAAAGGATAAAGGGGGAGGAGAGGGCATCCCTTATACAGGCCCTTTTACACAAGTAATTCGTCTCCAGATATTTTCAGACCCGCTCTTCTTCCTTTATTCTCTCTTGGCATGTTAAAGATAATCACAGCAGAGGCACAGTTCTGAGTGGCTATGTTACTAAAACGAGGAACGGGGAACGGGGAACGAGCGCGGGGAACGGAGAAATAAAAACAATGAAATAAAAAAAAATAGAATGAGTAATGAAGTTAGTTATAGAGCTAGGAATTAAGTGAGGTTTTGTACCCATTCTTCATTTTCTCTTTCCCCGTGCTCGTTCCGCGTTCCCCGTTCTCCCTTTTAGCGACATTCTGGAGCTGGTGATCTTGCCGTCTAGGAGTCCAATTGTGTCCCACAGCATCAAAGCCGCGTGCTTGATCACATGATGATTGTAAAATTTATTTTCCATTAACATGTTGTTTGGCGTTTCATTATAGACACTCGGGTTGTTGGTCCATTTCTTCCTAGCCCAGCTAAGCCTTTACCCAAAGAGCTGGAAGAATTCGTAGGAAAAGCTGGTGACGAAGGTGTTATCGTGGTGTCATTTGGTAGTGTTTTGGGAGATACTGCGGGACTAAATGGATCACTCTTGCAAGGAATGGCTGACGCTTTCTCCAAGCTTCCTCAAAAGATTATCTGGAAAATGAAGTTAGAAGGTACGTTCATTGAAAGGATTATACTCATGCACGCAAGGAACAGCTATTACATTAATCAGCAGATTAACCTATTAGCTTCCACTTCTTACATGTCTCTATAAACAACATGAAATATATTTGACCGCAGACTCGTCTAAGAAGTTTGCGAATATGAGAATCAAGAACTTGTCCCCGCCATCAGCGTATGCAGAACATTGTGAAAGATCGTGGCCAGGAATGTAAACGTTTCAACTAAAAGTCAGAGTTTGATCGTGAGAAGGGTTGTCAAATTGCACCATGAACCCGTTTTCGTAATGTTGGCTATATATAATTACAAGGCTTCGCGGGAAACTGGGCAAAAATTCCTCCCTAGGAAAGTCCCATAAAGCAATTTCACACCACAACGTTCCAATCTCACGCGTAACTTTGAACCTTTAGGACCTTATCCTCTTAACGAGTAAGGACAATAAGGAGGAACTGAAGGAGTAATGTCCGTGAGTCTTTCTTTATCTGTCCTCGATAAACGCGATTGCCCAGAGTCGTAGTTTCCAGTGATACGTGACGATCGGTAACTCGGTTGCGAATGAGAAAACTGTGATAAATTATCATGTCACGATAGTGGGACAAAGTGCGGGGATCGATCAGCATTGTGGAGAGTGTACTGTATGCTCTCTAAATTTCTGATCTTGTGTGGTTTGAGGACTTGTGTCACATATGAAGCTGCAAGTTAGAGGGAGATTCTCTCTGATTCCCATTGTAGCTCCGCGGATGCAACTCCCAAGGGGTGCCCGGGAATCCTGTCGGGGACTCTTGGACTCATGGATTTGTTTCTTTGACCCACTGGTGACATGTCATTTACCACATTCTTCTCAATCATATAATTTTTCTTTGGGCTATCCTGTAAACAGAACAGGTTCAAGGAAAAAGGCAAAAAGGAAATATTGGCGAGCGGTGTAAGCCAAACATTGTCCCTGGCGTAAAGCTACAATTGTTGCCGCTGCGCTCCACCAAAAATTGTGTAATCTCGTGCTCAGAATCTTAATGGTGTCCGTTTGCAGGTTTGAAATGTCACCTTGGAGATCTGGGCACAGATTAGAAAGTATGTTTACAGACAAGCGTTTGTCTGTTGGTCTCAGCAGAACGCCCTTCGTTGAGCACGTTAAAGCGAAGCAAAGCGCCAACCAGAGGAAAACCTCATCAGGACCATTAGCAAAAGCAAATCAAATGCTTCTCACATGTAACAGCTGCAGAAGTAGAAGCGTATTATCTGATCGCTGTTAAATAACCTAGTAACTGTACGCATTTATTTTTCTTAACAGGCAAGCTACAGGTGTCAGTGAGTGACAATGTCAAACTGATGTCATGGTTACCACAGAATGACATTCTCGGTCATCCTAAGACTCGTCTATTTATATGCCACGCAGGACTTAATGGTATCCTAGAATCAACCTACCACGGAGTGCCAATGATTCTTACACCTTTTTTCGGAGATCAGTTTTATAACGCGAACACTATGAAACAGTCAGGAGTTGGGGAGGTTGTAAACTTGTGGTCCATGTCGTCAGAAGAGTTCGTTAGTTTGATACGAAAGGTGTTAGGCGACCCCAGGTGAGTACTTTGGGAACACCTTATAAAGTTAACAACTGTTGCAAGAGCGTACCTTATGATAGATTTCATGCTCGATATTTTCATGTCATTTCATGCATTTTTCGAGCTATTTTCACTAAACCGTCGACACTCATGGCATACCCTCTACTTTGTGGCTCTTGTGGTTTTGTCCGGAAAAATTACATTTGCTAACAGTCTTAGATTGACAACAACTTCTTTCGGGCGCTAAAAAACGTTTTAGCTCGCAGGTGACGCGTACACTTACAATATTTGTAGAGCATTCCCATATGTCATGATAACTCAGCAGCCAATCAAACCTCCAGAATTGCCTTATTCAATGATCCAGTACTTGCCACCCAGGCTGTAACACACACCACGATTGCATTGATTGTTCTTCGTAAATCTACCCACACCACGGTAAATCCAATAAATTATACTGAAATGACAGAAGTTACCTTTTAGATTTCTACCGAGGCACGGTTTCTTGTAGAATTTGCCATCGGTAAATGAAAAAAGATCGAATGCAAGAAACGATCGTGACACTTTTGCCGAAGTAAAGTCTTTAACACCCGCTAATTTTTTTTTAAGAAAACCCCATTTATAAAATAATAATAATAATAATAATAATAATAATAATAATAATAATAATAATAAATCGAACACACAGTAGCTGTTTTAGCAGTACTGTGTATCCGCAGCAATAGCAGCAGTAACAGAGTAGATTGATCGGACAATAGTCTCCTGACCTACACTGAAACCATCCGAGTGGCAATCTCGTGCTTAAACATTAAAGAATTAGATTGGATGTTGTAAAAGTTGGACCTCAAAGTATATCTAAATCAGATGGGGAATAGAAAAAAAAATGCACAGCCTCAAATGACCGCCCTTTTTTTTCTGATACTTCCTTAACGTAATGACACGAAACGTGATTTTCCAACCGTATTTCGCCGGTTTTCCAATGTAAATGGTATGTATGCTAGGACCCTCCCCTCCCTTTATTTCTAGTATCAGGGTGTATTGGGTACAAAATGTTGAGCAAAATTGCAAGTATAAATCTCATCGGGGCATAATTATGTTTCGCGGTTCGGAGCCAAGGATTGTAAAAAATGGGATAGGGAGAATTATCTCGAATGGTGAACATCCTCAGTTCGTCCATGAGAATTTATAAGACAAGAATGAGAAGCAAATCTAGCAGACAGTTGTGGTTATAGGTGAGTGATAGTGTTGGGGGCTTGGCGATCAGCTAGCGGTTTTTAAACTATTATCTTTTCTTTTAGTTATCGCAAGATGGCAAAAGGAATATCCAACTCGGTTAAGCTTCTGCCACGCCCACCTGTAAAAGAAGCCGCTGACTGGGTGGAGTACACACTGGCTCTGGATGGCTTACCGTTCCTCAGACCTCGAGGACTGGACCTGCCATTTTATCAGCTGTATCTTCTGGATATTTTATTGTTGGCATTTTTTATCTTGTTTTTAACAGTGTTTGCTCTCAGATTCTTGTTAAAGACAGTTATTAATCTTTTGTTGGCACCAGATGTAAAAGAGAAAGCTAGCTAAAAAGAGAACATTTTTAGTGTGGTCAAAACAAGGATACATCATCTTGACTAAGGGCAAAGAGATGAGGGCTAAGTCAGCACATAAAGCTTACCTTGGCAGACAAACCTTGCTTATACAGGAAAATTTTCATCCTGTATCTGTCTGATTGTATTACATTAGTTACATGATAGCTTTGGACCTGCAGCCTCCGCAGTTCGGGGGAAAAAGGAAACCTTGTTGTCAGGGTTCTCTCGAAGCAAGAGAAAGAACCCTGGGAAAGAGGTTTGGAAAAAGCCGAAACAAAATCGGCGAACAAAGCGAGCCGAAAGGGAGTCTGGGGAAGGGAAAGCCCAGTGCTCGGCTCGCTTTGCTCTCCAATTTTTTTGCTGCTTCTCTCCATTTTTGCCTTTATCCCCCACTACGGAGCCTGGTCCCAGGCTAATCTTTTGAATAAAGCTGAACTAACTAAGTGTAGCAAATGGTTGATAGCCGCTTAATAGAGGAGACAGCAACATTAATAAAAGAACTGTCGTCGGGATGGGCAAAAGATGGCCGCGGTCACTTGAGAGAGGAGGCCGCTCACAAGAGGTTTAATTTACAATTCTTTTCTACAATGATTTCAGGACTTTGGTTATTGGCCGCTTAGTAAAGGGTGGTCGCTTAATAGGCAGGCGGTTGATGAAGTTCAATTGTCAATTCCAAGGAAGACACCAAAGTTGTTTTTGTGGGGTGGTGTGTGGGTCTTGACTGTGTACAATAGGTTTCTGGGGGTAAAAGGAGAAGAGAGAAGCGAAAAGGGAAGACAGCGATGAGAGAGAAACTTTCTTTTCTTTTTCCCCCTCCCCGCTGCGTCCGCTAAAAATCTCCTTTCCCATAACCCCTAAGGAAGGCCTGATACTTAGGCTAACTTGAGATTACGTGACAAAAACAGATGTAATTGATATGCGCATGCGAGGAAGCACAATGGGCTAATATTTATTTAAATTTTAAAGGCTTCCTTTCAGGGGTTCTTAGCTGGACACTTAGTACAATTATGGCGGCTTTGGGAACAGCTCTGTTGCTCTCGCTTGTTTCAGGATGCTTTGCTGCAAAATTTGTCATGTTTCCCATGTTTGGACGAAGCCATTACATGATTCTAAACAAACTGGGACAAGAACTGTCAGATAGGGGCCATGAGGTATGCAAATAAGAGTACAAAATTTTCAGTAACAGCACGATTGTTATTTGGTCCAGCTTTTGTTGTTGTCAACTAGCATATAAGCTAAGGGTCTTCAACGTACTTTATGGTACAATTCCGTGATACCTCATGAAGCGTGATGAAGGGATATTGTGATTCTGAGTACAGCCAAGAAGTGCTACAGCCTACAGTGTCTACATTGCATGACAATTACACACACATTCATGATAATCCTAGCAGTCGAGAGACGGTACAGGATATTAAGAAGCAGCCCAAAAAGACTTAAAAGAAAAGTGGCTGTAACCGGCATAGCTCGGCATGGAAAGTAATCACTGACTAAAAAAGAGAGAAGACACTCTCTCCGTTTTGGTACATTGAAAACAATTAAACTAATGTCATGCCGGTATACATGGCTCTACCCAGGAGCAGAGATCAGTAATTGACCGTTTATAATCCTGGTTTATAATCTACATAAGCTATTAAATTCAAATCCCTGAGTACATTTTGAAATGAAATCACGAAAGCATTCTTGCTGTCTGTTTTTTCGTTCACTTTTGGTTGAGTAAAGCAGTGAGGCCAAAATGCTGATTCACGATGCCGATTAATCAGTCTCTAGGGCAATATCTGCAATATACCAATAATTTATCTTGTATAATTTTCATCGTGATTACTGTATTTGTAATGAGGTATTGTTTGCCTTACTGAAAGGGGACTGAAAGCTCCTGCCTCGTAAATATAGATTTCGACCTATTTTCCCGTAACTGTCATCGCCAGCGGGCGGCCATCTTGTAAATGAACGACAGATTTTCGTTGAAACTCAGTACACTGTTGAAATAAGTTAAGACAGTGATAAAATGTAATAAAAAGAGGGCTTCACTTGGCTCGTTTTAGCAGTTCAGTGCTGACAAATACGGCTATTTAGGCGCGTTTAGCAATCATGATCAGCCGTATGAAGCCCAAAGCTGGACATACAGATCGACTGATATAGGCGCGGATTTTTCCATGATGCTTGTGTTTTCACACAGAAGTTGGGTTTATTCTATCGCTTATCCACGCACGCATACCTGGCGCTACGTGGAAGGTGGAAGAAGGCATTGAAAAGTACGATTTTAGGGAATTTTTACCTCGAGATATTGCAATTACTTTGTAGGACGTAAAGTGTTAAAGACGGAGCCTAGACGTCCGTTTATAGTGACTCAGCACGAGTCAGTCAGGATCCACTATCGTAAGCTTCGGTGAATTTGGAATACGCCACACTCGGCACTCATACCGCTACCGTTACACACATTCTCAAAACATTGAAACTCATCTTGACCAAAGTAAAACCACTATAGAAAATTCCCTTAACGTTTCTTTTTTATCTACATCACATTAACAATGTTTCTGCAGAAGACTGATATTTTCACTAGCCACCATCTCGTTATGTGCAGTGCCGCAAAACCAGCTAATCACTTTGACAACGCCCATTCTATAAAAAGAAAATGCAACTTCTATATCAAATCTAATTTCTTATAAATTTGCCCTTGTGGAAAAAAACTGTTTGCCCATTGAATCTGAAGCTAAACTTTCGGTACTTCGTTTCTTTAGGAATAGCAGGGTGAGGAGAACGCCAAAGCGCGCGTTAAAATTGCTACCCTTGAGGAACACGGTAATACAAAGAGGGGAGAGAGCAAATCCTGCTATTTGGCTCGCCCTACTATCCCCGAGGAAAGTGAGGGACTTTTCTTAGTCTTCCTTGAGGCCTAGCAAGTTCAATAACTACAAGGGTCCGCAAGTATTTTGGAATAAGGAATGACCTCCTTCTTTTGAGTAGTTTAAGGCTAATCTCGTCCCAGATCTCCCACGGCCAAGGGAAAAAAGAGTGAGATCTGGGTACGAGATTAGTTTAAGGCCTGGCTCTAATGGGTTTACCTGCGGAAAACGATTTACTGGCTACATAAACTTCGGCACAGATTATGGAACGCAATCAATATTTGGCACACATAACGAACTCATCGTTCTTAACATTTTAAAGTATGGATATTGTGTTACTAGGTCACGTGATGTGTCACGTGACCATTTTTCTAAAAGTCTTAAATAATTGACAAATTGGTGGCGGGTTTCAGGAAAGAAATCCGGCCATAGCATTTTTTCTCATTCATATTAAGGAATTTTTAACACTTCACGTTTGGAATGTTCGATAAAAAAAATTATGAGGGAAAACATTTTAAATGCTCAAATATAATCTTGAATTATATAAAACTTTTATTAATATAAACTTCGCGTACATTCATTCCAACCTCTGTAGAAAGTAAGGCATGTTTACCCTCCATCAGAAATGCCAATTTATTTAACCAAACAAAGCAACTATGAGTATATTAAAGATGAAACAACAACAACATGATATTAATTTTTGAGGAGGACTCGGAAAAAAAAATAATAAAAAATAAAAAAAATCCGAGTCCCAGATGGGATTTTTTTGTTGGCCGCATCTTTGATAAGCTTTAAGGTGACAGCGGATGCTGTTAGTGGGTTCTTGTGTGCCAGTCATTACTTGGCTGTGTAGCCGCCTGATGCGGTTCCAGTGGAGACCCACAAATTGGCCCTTGCTCACCATAGAGTCTCCAGTAGCTCAAGTGGTTAGAGCATCCGACTAGATCACGGAGGGTCGTGGATTCAAATCCCATCTGGGACTCGGATTTTTTTTCCGAGTCCTCCTCAAAAATTAATATCATAAAGCAACTATGCGCCACCAATTTGCCAATTTCCTTCATTTTCAATTTTTGATCGCGTGACATGTCACACGACCTTAATTAAACGTTAAGGCACAAGAAGACCTCAAGATTTACTTTTGGAGAAAAATTCATCTTTCTTTAAGTTTCCTAGCGAGAGATATTGCCAATCAATCATATGCTCCGACCACACCTTTGACCTAGGCCTTGAACCCCTTCAGTCGAGGAATAGCCCGCAACGAACCAAGATAACGTGCATTGAATAAGGCTACTTACTGTTTTATCATCGTCTTGACAGGTTATTCTATTTATGGGAACAACGGCTAAATATGCTGCAAACAATCCACATGTACGCTTCTTTAACGACAGCAAGACCTTTTCTACGATCACTTCAGGAAAGCAGAACACGCCGTTGAGTGCAAGACAGCAATTTAACATTCTTTTCACCACCCAGTCATCGTATTGCGATGAAATGCTTAGTGACGTGGAGCTTATGAAGGAAACTAATGATGCCAATCTCGTTGTTGGTGAACTGTGGTATCTCTGCTCAGCGTTAGTAGCGGACAAATTATCAGTACCACAAGTTTTGATATCTGCAGCGCCTTTGTCCACACCATCTTCGTTTGCAGTTGGTATGCCCGCTCCGCCAGCCTATATACCTCAAATAAGCAACAATGATAATAGAATGTCGAATATTATTGACAGAGCCAGGAATGTACTACAATTGATATCACTGTATTGGTATTACTTGCAGGATTTTTGCCCACTTTATGGCAATATTAAAGCAAAATACAACATCACACCCAACAAAAGCATCCACGAAACACTCGGAAGAGCTGATCTGATTATTGGTCAGATACCGTTTGGATTAGAGCATCCGAGGCCTGTCCATCCAAGTAAGTCGGTTTTTTTCTCATTTATTTTCATATTACTGTACACCACAGTTTAAGAATAAGTAAGTCGTTTTTTTTTCCTCGTTTCTTTTTACATTACTGTACACCGCAGTTTTATAAGAATCGCAATTTAGTTATTAGTTTAGGACCTAATTTTGTGCCGTCTTCAACAAAACATGTGTCACTTATGAATGTCGCTTAGAATTCCCTGTGAGTAAAGCTATCAAATCTGAGTAGAGGGCGCGAAACATGAAAGCAAAGAACGAAACTCGAAGGCAAAGTAACAGATAGAGAGAGCTAAGTTCTACTTTTCGCCGCTGGGCTCCTCTTTGACTTTGAGAACGTCTAAATGGCGTACATTTGATTGATCTGAGCCAATTTTTCCCCTTAATAGAAACAGGTTGTGTCACGGAGGTCCTTGGAAACTTTATTTATGCATGTTCAACACCATCACGGTGGTGGTACAGGTCTGTGGACAGGGACTAAGCTGAGCTGGTAATTTTCACTGGCCCTTGATTTCTGGGGGTCCAATTGTTTTCCACAACATTGTAGTCCCGCGTTCGATCTCATGGTGATTATAATAACATGTCTTTTTCTTTAACATGTCCTGTGCTGTTTCATAATAGACACTCGGGTTGTTGGTCCATTCCTTCCCAGTCCAGCTAAGCCTCTACCAAAAGAGCTGGAGGAATTCATAGGAAAAGACGGTGACCAAGATGTTATCTTAGTTTCATTTGGTAGCATTTTGGGAGAAATTGCAGAATTAAATGAATCACTCTTGCAAAGAATGGCTGACGCTTTCTCTAAGCTTCCACAAAAGGTTATCTGGAAAATGAAGTTAGAAGGTATGTTCATAAACACAACGAGGAATATCCTCATTCAAGCAAGGAAGAGTAATTACAATGAACAGCGTACTGTAACTAGCCTGGTTACAGACCTTCCATTGTCTCTTTATAGAGAAAAGATTAGCGGGCCGGATTAACTTGATTAGATGGCGGGTGCTGTAGATTTTTAACGGTGAAGTCGAGTGAAGGTTGGGAGCAAATACCCGGTAGCTTTTGCTCGGCGGCTCCGCCGTGCAAACGGACGCAATATTGTCGGATGTTACATGTTGCGTCCGTTTGCACACCCTGTTGCGTGTTGTTGGATGTCGTTGCGCAAAGTTTGAAACCAGTCAAACTTTTCAGCCAACAACTCCCAACATTTCTTTTGCTCCGTGATCGCCGAAGCGTAGCGCAACAATGTTGGATCCGTTTGCACAGCTCTTCCAACATTGTTGGGGTCACGCACGCTCATTACGCTTGGTTTACAAAGACTTGTGTGTTGTATCCTTCCCACGATACACTGCAGGTCCCAACATTGTTGGGAGTTGTTACATCTGTTTGCACACCGCTGCCAACACTCACGCAACAATGTTGGAGTTGTTGCGTCCGTTTGCAGGCAGCCTAAGAACGTATGTAGGATATAATAATTCCACCAACTACGTAGGCTATTTACAGCTCCTCGAGCGCGTGTATGAAAATAAATAAATCTGCGAGGGAATTATTAAGCGCTAGCGCAAGGGGGTGGGGTGGGCATTGCGACCCCCCCCCCATCTTGCCTTACGTGCAGTCATTTCAGAAAAAAGCCTTATTAGCAAAGATAAATCAAATACTGCCTACTCGCATAGCATGGCTGCAGAAGGGTACAATTTGGTCGCTGTTAAATTACCCAGTAACTGTACGCATTTTTTTCTCAACAGGCAAGCTACAGGTGTCAGTAAGTGACAATGTCAAACTGATGTCATGGTTACCACAGAATGACATTCTCGGTCATCCTAAGACTCGTCTATTTATAGGCCACGCAGGAATTAATGGTATCCTAGAATCAACCTACCACGGAGTGCCAATGATCCTTGCACCCTTTTTCGGAGATCAATTTTACAATGCTAACACTATGAAACAGTCAGGACTTGCGGAGGTTGTAAACTTGTGGTCCATGTCATCAGAAGAGTTCGTTAGCTTGATACAAAAAGTGTTAAGCGACCCCAGGTGAGTTCTTTGGAAACTCCTTGCACGAGCGAATCTTATGGTAGATTTAATGAACAATTATTAGACGAGGGTGAGCAAAATATCGTGATTTGTCAGTGGCGAATAGATCATCTCTGCGACACACTGAAAAATCACGATATTTTGCAATAACCTCGTTCAATAATTCTTTTATCATTCGGTCACCGAATTTGTTTTTTAATGAATATCTTTGGGGAGCTGCCATTTTCACGCAAGAGCGATTCGCAAGAAGGAGAAAAGCGCATGAGCAGAATATTATTGCAGCCAAATATAGTTGGACGACATTGCGCATGAGCAGACCATTATTTGCGGGTCACGAGGTAGGCTGTCGGCTAATGAAAAGGAAGAAAAATTTGCATCGAATGATAATGCTCGATATTTCCATGTAATTTCATGTATTTTTCGAGATATTTTTATAGAACCTTCGGCGCTCATGGCATATATTCCACTGTGTGGCTCTCGTGGTGTTGTCCGGAAAAAAATAACATTTTCTAGCAGTCTTAGAATAACAAGAACTTCCTTCGGGCACCATTGGCGTCTCCTCGAAAAAAGTTTCAGCTCATATTTATAGAGTGTTACCCATAGGTCATGATAGTTCAGTAGCCAATCAAACCTCCAGAATTGCGTTACTGAATGATACAGCACTTGCCACTCAGGCTGTTATACACACCACGATTGCATTGCTTGTTCTTCGTGAATAAACTCACATCACGGTAAATCGAGTAAATCATACTGAAATGACAGAGGTTAGCTTTTTGATTTCTATCGCGGCACATCTACTTGTGGCCGACTTTTTAATAGCCTGTGTACCGACGATCCCACTCCTCAGTAAAAATCACCCCTTTCCCGATTTTTTTTACTTAGGGGTGGATGCGTCTGTACAAAGGCTAACTACTTAAAGGTAGAATTTGCTATCAGTAAATGAAAAAGAATGCAAGAAAACGATCGTTACACGTTTGCCGACTTGAAAGTCTTAAACACTTCTAAACAAATGAATCGAACACCCAGTAGTTGTTTTAGCAGTACTGTAGCAGCAGCAGTAGCAGCAGAAGCAGCGTAGATTGATTGGCCGATAGTCTAGGGACCGCACTGAAACCAGCCGAGTGGCAATCTCTTGCAAAAACATTAAACAATTAGATTTGACGTTGTAAGAGAAGGACCCGCTTCAAAGTATATCTAAATCACCGGAGGAGTAGAAAAAAATGCACCGCCTCAAATGACCGCCCATTTTTTTCTGAAACTTCCCTAACGTAATGACACGAAACGTGATTTTCCACCCGTATTTCGCCGGTTTTCCCATGTAAATGGTATGTATCCCAGGATCCTCCCCTCCCTTTATTTCTAGTATCAGGGTCAGGTATAAAATGTTGAACAAAATTGCAAGTATAAAGCTCATCGGGGCGTATGTTTCACGGTTCGGAACCAAGGATTGTAACGCTGATAGAAAAATTGGATAGGGATAAATATCTCGAATTGGGAACATCCTTAGTTCGTCGATGGTAATTTATAAGACAAGAATGAAAAACAAATCTAGCAGACAGTTGTGCTTATAGGTGAGTGATGGTGATGGGGGCTTTGCAATCAGCTAGCGCTTTAACTATTAACTATTAACTATTTTCTTTTAGTTATCGCAAGATGGCAAAAGGAATATCCAATTCGGTTAAGCTTCTGCCACGCCCACCTGTAAAAGAAGCCGCCGACTGGGTGGAGTACACGCTGGCTCAGGGTGGTTTACCGTTCCTCAGACCTCGAGGACTGGACCTGCCATTTTATCAGTTGTATCTTCTGGATATCTTATTGTTGGCATTTTTGGTCTTGTTTTTAACAGTGTTTGCTCTCAGATTCTTGTTAAAGGCAGCTATTAATCTTTTGTTGGCACCAGCTACAAAAGAGAAAGCTAACTAATAGAGGACATTTTTTAGTGTGGTCAAAACAAGGATACATTATCTTGACTAAGGGCAAAGAGATGAGGGCTAAGTCAGTACATAAAGCTTACCTTGGCAGACAAACCTTGCTTATACAGGAAAATTTTCATCCTGTACCTGTCTGATTGAATGATTGTATTACATTAGTCACATGATAGACTGCAAAACAGTCCGTATTTTTAAGTATTCAAGTACGCGCAAGCAGTCAATCAAAAGGTCTGGAATGAGGCTGAAACAGAGAGCGAGACTGGGGAGAGACGCTAAAAATACGATTGTGGGTCCACATGAGCACAAGGGAGGAAGAACAATATTTCTGCTCTGTATCTTCTCCTTTAAAATTGCTTGCAAAGCTTCTATATATCTCTCTGTTTCCCTTTCTTTTTGAAGTTTCTTATGCTTTTTAGCTAAATTTGCTTCAATTTTCTTTTGTTCTTGAGCTCTTAGGAAAGATTCTTCCTCTTTCCTCATCCTTCTCATCTTCAGTTTGTCAATTTGATGTTGCTCTATTTCAAGTCGTTCAACTTCCTTTTCAACTTTCAGAGCCTCCATTCTTTTACGATGTTCCTTCATTCTTATGTTCTCTCTCACTTGTTCCCGTTCAATGTCCATAAACAAACGCCTGTAAACAGCAACTTGACTTTTTTCACGTGCTTTCTTATCCTCCATCAGCTTAGAAGGTTGTAAAAGAGCTTCGACTGTTTTAGACTTTCTGTTTGTCTGGGTATCGGATTTTTTCTGCTGGACATTTAGGTCATTGTTTTCAATTTCTGAATTCTCTTCATCTTGGACATCTTGAAAGTGAACATGTTTCACTCGATGCTCTGGCAATCTAGACCCAAAATAACTACATTGATTATAGACTGCAAAACAGTCCGTATTTTTAAGTATTCAAGTACGCGCAAGCAGTCAATCAAAAGGTCTGGAATGAGGCTGAAACAGAGAGCGAGACTGGGGAGAGACGCTGAAAATACGGACTGTCCGTTTTGCATTACCCGCTTCTCCCAGCCACGGGCAATTCCCATTGGCTAAATTTCGATGCAAGCTGTCACCAAGCTGTCAAGTAATGTTTTCAACATGTCATTCACGTTGTTCCATACCGTGATGAATTGCTAAAGCTTTCGCTGTAAAATGACAGATGTTGATCGCCTGGATCTGGCCTGGATTTGCTCGCAAGAATTGGGATTTGTTTTAAAATCGGAGCAGAGGGAAGCTTTGGAGTTGCTACTCAGGGGAAAGGATGTTTTCTGTGTTCTACCAACAGTATTTGACAAAAGCCTTATTTATCGGATGTTTGTTCAGGCCGACCGTCATTGTTATCTCGCCTGGCTAAAAAAGCGGGATCGGTAGGAAACACACGACTTTTACCTCATGCAAACATGCCGCTTGTTCCAATGAATTGTTTTCTCTGTCGAGTAGATTATGCTTTGGAGGAAAACGTTTTGACTGAGCAAATGTGAATTTTGGCCGCTTATTAAATATATTTCATACTGAGAGGACGTGACACGCATATTGATTTTCTCTGGTAGGCATGATTCGCCCTCTGACGCAAGAGCATTTTCTTTCTTGGCCCCTTTAGAAATGTAAAGCTCTTCATTGCGGCTGATTAAGGGTTTTAGGTTGTTTTATTTCTCCAAAGTGCCTCCTGGATTTGAATAATTTTAAGCGATTTTCTTTTGTGTCCGTGAATGTGACTTTTTCCTGCAATGTTTTGTCACGCTGGGTCCAGCTCGTTAGCGTTTTTGGCAGGATTTTAAATTCTCACCGATAGTAATTTACAGAGCTAAATCACCAATACGTGGTTTGGAATGAGGGGATTTACTCATTCTTTTCAATCACAATAATTGTTCATTGTCAGTTGGCGTGTTCTTCTCTAATTTGCGAAAGCATCGCCGTTCAGTTTCCCGGGGCAATTTCTAACCGTTGTTCCGCACGGAGAGCAAACTGCTTTTGTGGAGAAAGATTCTCCTTCCTCGAGGACAACGAAAAGTTCGTTTTTCAGTAGGTCTGCCCACTTTGGTAACGTTTCCCCTTTTCTGGTAGGCGCAACAAACGCATTTTCCGAGCTTATCCGTCCGTTCGTAAAATTGCCGAACTGTGTTTTGAAACAACAGCCGCACATTCTACAATTTGTCCAAAGCCCTCGGCTCTTTCGGCTTTCTCCCACTTCGAGGACCAGGCACAGGCTTTGTTGTCGTACTGCCACTTTCACTCATTTTTGATCCTCCACTATATATACTACATTTCACTATATATTATACACTACATTTCACAGGGAAGCAATGCTAAAAATAATAACACGCGAGTCTATCAAATTCACAAAGAGGGCGGAGTTGCGAACAGATTTTTGACAGCTCGACGACATTTTTGAACCCCCTGGTCGGAACGAACTCATTGTATGGAAAACGGACAGTCGGTTTTTTTTCTCTCGCCTCACACGCCCTACAGGCGTGTGAGGCTCGCGCGCTTCGCGCGCGTAAGACTCTTACGCCACGCTTTACCGATTTCTTTACTGATTTTGAGAAAAAAAAACCGACTATTTTGCAGTCTAGTCACATGATAGCTTTGGACCTGCAGCCTCCGCAGTTCGGGGGAAAAAGGGAACCTTGTTGTCAGGGTTCTCTCGAAGCAAGAGAAAGAACCCTGGGAAAGTGGTTTGGAAAAAGCCGAAACAAAATCGGCGAACAAAGTGAGCCGAGCGGGAGTCTGGGGAAGGGAAAGCCCACTGCTCGGCTCGCTTTGCTCTCCGATTTTTTTGCTGCTTCACTCCGTTTTTGTCTTTATCCCCCACTACGGAGCCTGGTCCCAGGCTAATCTCGGACTGTTTTTTCCTTAGCCTGCGTAGCATGGCGGTTTTGGTTGGGCGCGCTAAGTAATAAAGGTGGGCGAGGGCAGAGAAACCGCGAGGAGCAGGCTATTTTTTCCTTCACTGTATTTTTTAAATAAAGCTGAACTAAGTGTAGCAAATGGTTGATAGCCGCTTAATAGAGGTGACAGCAACATTAATAAAAGAACTGTCGTCGGGATGGGCAAAAGATGGCCGCGGTCACTTGAGAGAGGAAGCTGCTCACAAGAGGTTTAATTTACAATTCTTTTCTACAATGATTTCGGGACTTTGGTTATTGGCCGCTTAACAAAGGGTGGTCGCTTAATAGTTAGGTGCTTGATTGAGGTTCAATTGTCAATGCATGGTAAGGAAGACACCAAAGTTGTTTTTGTGGGGTGGTGTGTGGGTCTTGACTGTGTACAATAGGTTTCTGGGGGTAAAAGGAGAAGAGAGAAGCGAAAACGGAAGACAGCGAAGAGAGAGAAACATTCTTTCCTTTTTTTGCCCCTCCCCGCTGCGTCCGCTAAAAATCTCCTTTCCCATAACCCCTAAGGAAGGCCCAGGGCCCGGTTGCATAAAACGCCCGTAACAGTTACGGGTATACGTACGTGTACTCGTAACTTAAGTCAGTTGCATTAACTCACTTACGTGGTCCACTTAGGGATTTCACTTAAGTGGCTGCACTTACGATTGTCGTAAGTATCCACTTAAGTGTCATTTATGCAACAGAAATTGCGGGTGTTGCATAAAATCTTTTTTACGGGAAAATTAGCACTTAAATTTACGGGACCTATGTAGGTCCCGTATCCTTACTGTTTTTACTAAAGTTAACGAGATCTTTTACCGAGAAGTGAAAAAAAATTGTTTTTTCTTTACGTAATTCCGTTCTAATGCGCTTTGTTAACCTCTGATGTACAATTTAAAGCCGTCGTTAAGAAAAAAGAAGAACAACAAACATTTCCAGTGGATATTGAAGTAAAATAACGATTTCATGTAAACTTTATTTGAATGAGAGGCTTAAAAAGGTGTTCGAAACGACTTAACACTTTCTTTACACTCACCGATGGTTAACTTAATTTAAGAAAATAGAGTGAGTCAAATTAATAATTAAAAGTACTATAACAAAGTTACGTGTGCCCTTAAGTGAGCCCGTAAGTTACCACGTAAAACAGAAACTTACGAGAGCGCTAAGTGTGTTCCATGCAACACCCGTAAGTGTACCCATAACGGATTCTTAAGTGACCTACTTAAGTGGGCACTTAAGTGCAGGTTTTATGCAACCGGGCCCTGATACTTACGCTAACTTGAGATTACGTAACAAAAACAGATGTAATTGATATGCGCATGCGAGGAAGCACAATGGGCTAATATTTATAATTATTTAAATTTTAAAGGCTTCCTTTCAGGAGTTCTTAGCTGGACACTTAGTACAATTATGGCGGCTTTGGGAACAGCTCTGTTGTTCTCGCTTGTTTCAGGATGCTTTGCTGCAAAATTTGTCATGTTTCCCATGTTTGGACGAAGCCATTACATGATTCTAAACAAACTGGGACAAGAACTGTCAGAGAGGGGCCATGAGGTATGCAAATAAGAGTACAAAATTTTCAGTAACAGCACGATTGTTATTTGGTCCAGCTTTTGTTGTTGTCAACTAGTATATTAGCTAAGGGCCTTTAACGTACTTTATGGTACAATTCCGTGATACCTCATAAAGCGTGATAAGGGGATATTGTGATTCTGAGTACAGCCAAGAAACATGAAGAAATGCTATAGTCTACAGTGTCTACATCGCATGACAATTACACTCATATTTATAATAATCCTAGCAGTCGAGAGACGGTACAGGATATTAACAAGCAGTCCAAAAAGAATGAAAAGAAAAGTGGCTGTAACCGGCATAGCTCGGCATCGAAAGTAATCACTGATTAAAAAGAAGAGAAGACACTCTCTCCGACCTCTCCGTTTTGGTACATTGAAAACGATTTAACCAATGTCCTGTTATACATGGCTCTACCCAGGAGCAGAGATCAGGAATTGACCGTTTATAATCCTGATTTATAATCTACACAAGCTATTAAATTCAAATCGCTGAATACATTTTGAAACGAAATCACGAAAGCATTCTTGCTGTCTGTTTTTTTCGTACACTTTTGGTTGAGTAAAGTAGTGAAGCTAGAAATGCTGATTCACTACGATTAATCAGTCTCTAGGGCAATATCTGCAATATACTAATAATTCATCTTGCATCATTTTCATCGTGATTACTGTATTGTAATGAAAGGGGACTGAAAGCTCGAGCCTCGTAAATGTAAATTTCGAGCTATTCATCACCAGTGGGCGGCCATCTTGTAAATGAACGACAGATTTTCGTTGAAACTCAGTACGCTGTTGAAGTAACTTAAAGACAATGATAAAATTTAATAAAAAGAGGCGATCACTTGGCTCGTTTTCGCGGTTCAGTGCTGACGAATACGGCTGTTAAGGTGCATTATGCAATCGGTCAGTATAAAAGATGGACTGCGGACTGGGTATAAAATACGGACTACTTTGGTAAAAACGGTGCTAATTGGTTCCAGGTAAGGAAAAATAAGATCAAAAGATCACCAAATAGCAAGACACGAGTTAAAGTTGTAAATACTCCTATAAATCAGTCTTGGTGGAAGTGTGCCGCTCGGTTCTCTAAATCATAAGCCGGATCAAAATGCTATTTTCTTCACCTATTTTTAGACCTTGTCTCGGTCTCTAACAATCACGAAAGGGGTCAGGATCAGGGGTGGTACTCCCTTCTATAATGGAAGGGTAGGGGGTTTGGGCCTTTTTCGTCTGAAAACGCTTTGTCCATTTTGATGTGGAATCGGGTATGGTTTTCGAGGGAACAACGGGAGCGTACACGGAATGGACGTATTTATCGTTTCAATTCCAAATGAATAAGAACGAAATAGAAATATGCGAATTCGAAATGCATTTGGAGAATTTTTTTGTTTCCACTTTAACTTGATAATGATGACATAATTTCTGCCTAATTAGACCTAACCTGTTCCAGCCTCTGAGATAGCTGGGTCCGCTGAATTGAGAAAGCGAAAACACGAAAAGAGAGCCTGGAACAGGCGAAATTAGGCCAGGTCGGAAAATGGGCATGGATTTTAGAGATCTGGTCTAAAAACGGGTGTGGAAAATGACATTTTTTGGTCTGCAATAAGGTCAGGATTCGGAGAACCGGGCACCACACCCCCACCAAGAATTCCCAGCAGTACCCCCCTCGGGGGATCAGGAGCAGGGTGTAAATCAAGTCTTCACAATCATCGCTTAGAATATAACGTTGGATGACTCATTTTGGTTATTATACACGTATGTGAGTAATCACTCCCCCCTAAATACTGCTTTTGTGCATCGCGGAATGCCCTACATTGACCTTCTCGTCTGAGTTCTTCATTCAGTCCTCATATTCCCAAGGCTTTATTTGAAACGGAATTGTGGCATCCGATAAGACTTTTACTGATCTGACTAACACCAATACTATTTTTTTCAATTCGGTGCTTCTTATTGGTTTCAAACTGCAAATTGAAATCTCTTCTAACTCCTTCTTTTTATAAAATTCAGAGTTAAATTTCAGTTGTCTTGAGTACCGGCATAACCTTCCTTCTCCGTGGGAAGAATAGACTACGTGAACAGCCAAAGGAATGTTAAAGCTGGGACTACTGTTTTTGCTAGTCCGTTTTCCACTTCTCTCGGATTTACCTTTCTAAAGCCGTTTTTATATACATAGTCCGTAGTCCGCGTTTTATACCTAGTCCGTTTTTTATACTCAGTCCGGAGTCCGCATTTTATACCTAGTCCGTATTTTATACCCAGTCCCCAGTCCGTGATCCGCAGTCCGCAGTCCATGTTTTACACTGACCGCTTATGCAATATATATGTTCAGCTGTGTACAGCCCAAAGCTAGACATACAGACTGATATAGGCGCGGATTTTTCCATGATGCTTCTGTTTCACACAGTATTTGAGTTTATTCTATCGCACGTGCCTAGAAAAAGCCTTTTAATACCTTTGGCTTTTACTTTACGCCCCGGGCCTTACGCTCAACCGAAAACTGGCCACAAGCGTGAAGTATCAGCCTTTTTCCTTCCGATTTTTGAGCGAAGACTGGGGCGAGTTTGAAAATGGCGCTATGTAGAAGGTAGAAGAAGGCATTGAAAAGTACGATTTCAAGGAATTTACCTCGAGATATAGCAATTACTTTGTAGGACGTCAAGTGATAAAGACGGAGCTTAGACGTCTGTTTATAGTAATTCAGCATGAGTGAGTTAGGATCCACTATCGTAAGCCTCGGTGAATCAGTGGAATAAACCACACTCGGCGCCCATACCGCTACAGTTACGCACATTCTCAAAACATTAAAACTCATCTTGAGCAAAATAAAACCACACTCGAAAATTCCATTAACGTTTCTTTTTGATCGACTTCACATTCATAATGTTTCTGCAGAGGATATTTTCACTAGCCACCATCTCATTATGTGCAGTGCTGCAAAACCAGCTAATCACTCTGACAACGCCCATTCTATAAGAAGACAATGCAACTTCTATTTCAAATCCAATTTCTTATAAATTTGCCCTTGTGGAAAAAAACTGTTTGCCCATTGAATCTGAAGCTATACTATAGGTAGTTCTTCGCCGGTTTTCTTTAGGGATAGTAGGGTAAGAAAAACACGCAAGCGCGCGTTAAAATTGCTACCCATGAGGAACAAGGTAATACAACGAGGGAAGAGGATAAATCCTGCTATTTTGCTCGCCCTACTATCCCCGAGGAAGGTGAGGGAATTTTTTATTCTTCTTTGAAGCCTAGCCAATTCGATCGCTACAAGGGTCCGCAAGTATTTGAGGATAGCTAATGACCTCCTTCCTCACGTAGTTCAGTTAAGGCCTGGGTCTAAGGGTTTACTTGCAGAAAACCATTTACGAGCTATAAAAACTTCAGCACAGATTATGGAACGGAATCAAAATTTGGCACACATAAAGAACTCATCGTTCTTAACATTTTAAAGTATAAATAGTGTGTTAATAGGTCACGTGACGTGTCACGTGACCATTTTTCTAAAAGTCCTAAATAATTGACAAATTGGTGGCGGGTTTAAGAAAAGAAATCAAGCCATAGCATTTTTCTCATTCATATTAAGGAATTTTTAACACTCCACGTTTGGAGTGTTCAATAAACAAATTATGAGGGAAAACATTTTAAATGCCCAAATATAATCTTTAATTATATAAAACTTTAATTAATATAAACTTCGCGTACATTCATTCCAACCCCCGTAAAAAGTAAGGTATGTTTACCCTCCATCAGAAATCTCAATTAATTTGACCAAACAAAGTAACTATTCGCCACCAATTTGCCAATTTCCTTCATTTTCAATTTTTGGTCGCGTAACATGTCACATGACCATAATTAAACGTTAAGGCACAAGAACATCTCAAGATTTACTTTTGCCAATCAATCATATACTCCGACCACACCTTTGACCCAGGCCTTGAACCCCTTGAGTCGAAGGATAGCCCGCAACAAACTAAGATGACGTGCATTGCAATAAGGCTACTTATTGTTTTATCATCATCTTGACAGGTTATTCTTTTTGTGGGAACAACGGCTAAATATGCTACCAACAATCCACAAGTACGCTTCTTTAACGACAGTAAGACCTTCTCTACGATCACTTCAGGAAAGCAGAACAAGCCGTCGAGTGCAAGAGAGCAATTTAACATTCTTTTCACCACCCAGTCAACTTGTTGCGATGAAATGCTTAGTGACATGGAGCTAATGAAGGAAACTAATGATGCCGATCTCGTTGTCGGTGAACTGTGGTATCTCTGCTCAGCGTTAGTAGCGGACAAATTATCAGTACCGCATGTTTTGATATCTGCAGCCACTTTTTCCACACCAACTTCGTTTGCAGTTGGTCTGCCCGCTCCTCTAGCCTATATACCTCAAATAAGCAACAATGATAATAGAATATCGAATATCATTGACAGAGGTAGGAATGTACTACAATGGATATTACTGCATTGGTATTACATGCAAGATTTCTGCCCACTTTATGGCAATATTAAAGCAAAATACAACATCACACCCAACAAAAGCATCCACGAAACACTCGGAAGAGCTGATCTGATTATTGGTCAGATACCGTTTGGATTAGAGCATCCGAGGCCTGTCTATCCAAGTAAGTCGGGTTTTTTCTCAATTCTTTTTACATTACTGTACACCACAGTTTTATAATTAAAGAATCGCAATTTAGTTATTAGTCAAGGACCTAATTTTGTGCCGTCTTCAACAAAACATGCGTCACTTATGAACGTCGCTTAGAATTCCCTGCAAGTAGAGCTGCCAAATCTGAGTAGAGAGGGCGGAACATGAAAGCAAAAAACGAAACTCGAAGGCAAAGTACCAGATTGAGAGTGCTAAGTTCTGCTTTCCGCCGCTGGGCTCGTCTTTGACTTTGAGAACGTCTAAATGGCTCTCATTTGATTGATCTGAGCCAATTTTTGCCGTTAATAGAAACAGGTTGTGTCAATGAGGTCCTTGGAAATTTTATTTATGCATGTTCAACACCATAACGATGTTCACCAGCTCGTTGAACTGAGCTGGTAATTTTCACTGGGCCTTGATTTCTGGGAGTCCAATTGTTTTCCACAACATTGCAGTCCCGTGTTCGATCTCATGGTGATTATAATAACATATATTTTTCTTTAACATGCCCTGTGCTGTTTCATTACAGACACTCGGGTTGTTGGTCCATTCCTTCCTAGTCCAGCTAAGCCTCTACCAAAAGAGCTGGAGGAATTCATAGGAAAAGATGGTGACGAAGATGTTATCTTAGTTTCATTTGGTAGCATTTTGGGAGAAATTGCAGAATTAAATGAATCACTCTTGCAAAAAATGGCTGACGCTTTCTCTAAGCTTCCACAAAAGGTTATCTGGAAAATGAAGTTAGAAGGTATGTTCATAAACACACCGAGGAATATCCTCAGTCAGTCAAAGAAGAGTAATTACAGTGATCAGCGGATTAACTAGCCTGGTTACAGATCTTCTATGTTCTCTTTATAGAGAAAAGATTAGCGGGCAGGATTAGCTTGATTAGATGGCGGGTGCTGTAGATTTTTGACTGCGAAGTCGAGTGAAGGTTGGGAGCAAATACCCCGTAGCTTTTGCTCGGCGTCTCCGCCTCCATCTTGCCTTACGAGCAGCGATTTTAAATCAAATGCTACCTACTCACATGTCATAACTGCAGAAGGGTACCATCTGGTCGCTGCTAAATTACCCAGTAACTGTACGCATTTTTTTCTCAACAGGCACGCTACAGGTGTCAGTAAGTGACAATGTCAAACTGATGTCATGGTTACCACAGAATGACATTCTCGGTCATCCTAAGACTCGTCTATTTATAGGCCACGCAGGAATTAATGGTATCCTAGAATCAACCTACCACGGAGTGCCAATGATCCTTGCACCCTTTTTTGGAGATCAATTTTACAATGCTAACACTATGAAACAGTCAGGACTTGCGGAGGTTGTAAATTTGTGGTCCATGTCATCAGAAGAGTTCGTTAGCTTGATACAAAAAGTGTTAAGCGACCCTAGGTGAGTTCTTTAAAAACTCCTTATGTAGTCAACAATTGTTGCACGAGCGAATTGTTATCGTAGATTTAATGAACAATTATTGGACGAAGTTGAGCAAAATATCGTGATTTGTCAGTGGCGAATAGATCATCTCTGCGACACACTGACAAATCACGATCTTTTGCAATAACCCAGTTCAATAATTCTTTTATCATTCGGTCACCGAATTTTTCTTTTAATGAATACCTTTGGGGAGCTGCCATTTTCACGCAAAAGCGATCGCTAGAAGGAGAAAAGCGTGGTTTCACTAACGCATGAGCAGAATATTATTTGCAGCCAAATACAGTTGGACGACATGGCGCATGAGCAGACCATTATTTGCAGGTCACGTGGTAGGCTGTCGGCTAATGAAAAGGAAAAAAAATTTGCATCGAATGATAATGCTCGATATTTTCATGTAATTTTATGCATTTTTCGAGATATTTTTATAGAACCTTCGTCACTCATGGCATATATTCCACTGTGTGGCTCTCGTGGTGTTGTCCGGAAAAATAACATTTTCTAGCAGTCTTAGAATAACAAGAACTTCCTTCGGGCACCATTGGCGTCTCCTCGAAAAACGTTTCAGCTCAGTTGACGCGTACACTTACCATATTTATAGAGCGTTACCCATAGGTCATGATAGCTCAGTAGCCAATCAAACCTCCAGAATTGCGTTATTGAATGATCCAGCACTTGTTACTCAGGCTGTTATACACACCACGATTGCACTGCTTATTATTTGTAAATAAACTCACATCACGGTAAATCGAGTAAATCATACTGAAATGACAGAGGTTAGCTTTTTGATTTCTACCGCGGCACATCCTGACTTGTGGCCGACTTTTTAATAGCCTGTGTACCGACGCTCCCACTCCTCAGTAAAAATCACCCCTTTCCCGATTTTTTTTACTTAGGGGTGAATGCGTCTGTACAAAGGCTAACTACTTAAAGGTAGAATGTGCTATCAGTAAATGAAAAAGAATGCAAGAAAACGATCGTTACACGTTTGCCGACGTGAAAGTCTTAAGCACTTCTAAAAAAAATGAATCGAACACCCAGTAGTTGTTTTAGCAGTACTGTAGCAGCTGCAGTAGCAGCAGAAGCCGCGGAGTAGATTGATCGGCCGATAGTCTAGGGACCGCACTGAAACCAGCCGAGTGGCAATCTCTTGCAAAAACATTAAACAATTAGATTTGACGTTTTAAGCTGAGGACCTGCTTCAAAGTATATCTAAATCACCTGAGGAGTTGAAAAAAATGCACCGCCTCAAATGACCGCCCATTTTTTTCTGAAACTTCCCTAGCGTAATGACACGAAACGTGATTTTCTAACCGTATTTCTCCGGTTTTCCCATGTAAATGGTATATATCCCTGCCACTATAAAACAGACACCTCACTCTGTAGGATCCTCCCTTCCCTTTATTTCTAGTATCAGGGTCAGGTATAAAATGTTGAACAAAATTGCAAGTATAAAGCTCATCGGGGCGTATGTTTCACGGTGCGGAACCAAGGATTGTGACGCTGATAGAAAAATTGGATTGGGATAAATATCTCGAAATCGGAACATCCTCAGTTCGTCGATGGTAATTTATAAGACAAGAATGAAAAACAAATCTAGTAGACAGTTGTGGTTGTAGGTGAGTGATAGTGATGGGGGCTTTGCAATCGGCTAGCGCTTTAACTATTATCTTTTCTTTTAGTTATCGCAGGATGGCAAAAGGAATATCCAACTCGGTTAAGCTTCTGCCGCGCCCACCTGTAAAAGAAGCCGCTGACTGGGTGGAGTACACGTTGGCTCAGGGTGGCTTACCGTTCCTCAGACCTCGAGGACTGGACCTGCCATTTTATCAGCTGTATCTTCTGGATATTTTATTGTTGGCATTTTTGATCTTGTTTTTAACAGTGTTTGCTTTCAGATTCTTGTTAAAGGCAGCTATTAATCTTTTGTTGGCACCAGCTGTAAAAGAGAAAGCTAGCTAACAGAGAACATTTTTTAGTGTGGTCAAAACAAGTATACATCATCTTGACTGGAGGCAAAGAGATGTACATAAAGTACTTAAAGTTTACCTTGGTGGACAAACCTTGCTTAAACATTAACATTTTCATCCTGCACCTGTCTGCTTTCATTACGTTAGTGATCATAAGTGACAGCTTGGGACCTGCAGGCTCCGCAGTTGGGGAAAAAGGCAACCTTACTCCCAGCGCTTCGAGAGAAGGTTGGGAAAAAGGCGAAACAAAATCGTCGAGCGAAGCGATCTTAGGGGGAGTCTGGAGAAGGGAAAGACCACCGATCGGGTGGCTTTGCTCGTCGATGTCTTTTTGGCTTGTTCACCCCATTTTTTGCCTTTTTCCCCCACTACGGAGCCTGTTCCGAGGCAACCGAGGTTAATCTCGGACTGTAATTTCCTTCACCTTGTATAAATAAAGCTGACCTAAGTGTAGCAAATGATTGATGGCCGCTTAATAGAGGTGACAGCAATAGGAGAACTGTACTCTCGTTGGGATGGGCAAAAGATGGCCGGCGGTCACTTATAATTTCGGGAATTCTGATTACTTAATAACTGAAATGGTGGTCCTTAATAGGTAGACGCTTGATGGAGGTTCAACTGTCAATGGTAAGGAAGACACCAATTGAAAGTTCTTTTTGTGGGATGGTGTGTGGGTCTAATCTCGTACCCAGATCTCACTCTGTTTTCCCTTGGCCGTGGGAGATCTGGGTACGAGATTAGTGTGGGTCCTGACTGTGCACAATAGGTTTGACCAAAATATACTTGGCGAGATGAACTTGTGCACGTGAAAGCATCCGCAGATAGAGAAGTCCTTTGATGGTGCCCATGCAAAGGGTTTGATACCATTAGTGGTACTGGAGAAGATACTGGCAATCATAACTAGAAATACGTCATCCTGTGATCAATTTGTGAGTCAATATTTATCTGTGCATGTATAAAAACCTTTACGGTTTTCAGTAGAAATTGATGTAATAATTGCTTGTTATAAAATCGCACACCCATAGGTAAGCTTGGACCTGTTTTCCTGATGAAGATCATCTTTTCTTTTTATCAACAATAAATCGACGTCGTTCTCAGGGCTTTTTTTTCCACCTAGGAGTGATCTTTTGGACGCTCATCAGAAAATCGATCCAGTCTAATTTCGATTTTCTTTGGTCACCTGAATTAATGGAAACTGCAAGTCTACTGTAGATCTATAAGAGCGTTTTCAAGCCGGTTACAGAAATTAGTATGCTTATAGTGGTCAAATTGTAAATTAAAAGTTTTCCCGGCGGTGTTACGGTTCCTGACGTCTTCAATCGTCTTTTCTGGTTTTTGGACCCCCGCCCCGCCCCTCCCCCTCCTTGTTATGTCCACCCTGACTGATCCTGTGTCCACCACGACTGATCGTCTTTCCTTCATCCTCGATTCTCTGCTCGATCTCGTTCGATCCTCGATCTTCCATCGTTGTTCCTATGTTTTCAAGAAACCGGAGAGAGTGGCCGCATGCAGAACGGGCCCTTATTTCCGCGTTTTTCAGGCGAGGCTAGAATGCTTCAATATCAAGTCTGTGGTGACACTCTCCTTCTACATAGGTATCAACACCTGCATCGCGCTTGTCTTCGCTCGCCCGAAAATTGCAAAAAAGTTTTGCCTGTTCTGCAAAGAGAGCGAAAGTCCACTCGGTTTGGGATTAAGCTGCGATCAGGCTTTTTATGATTTCTCTTGGAGAAGAGACGGGAAAAACGATACAGACATATAGGGAGAGCATGAACGCTACGTATCGCAGGGAAACTGAGGCACTTCTGAGTGTAAAAGGAGAGCAGAGAAGCGAAAAGCCAAGTAAAGACAGCGAAGAGAGACAAACTTTTCTTTCTTGCTTCTCCTCTCCCCTACCCGCTAAGGAAGGCCTGACAATCAGGCTAACTGAGCAATGCACGTACTGACGTGACATACCGTAACAGATATGCGAGGAGGCACTATGGGCTAATATTTATTTAAGGTTTCCTATTTTAAAATTCTAATCTTGACACTTGGATCAATTATGGCGGCTTTGCGAGCGGCTCTGTTGTTCGCGCTCCTCTCAGGATGCTTTGCCGCAAAACTTGTTATGTTTCCCATGTTTGGACAAAGCCATTACATGATTCTCAACAAACTGGGACAAGAACTGTCAGAGAGGGGTCATGAGGTATGTAAATGAGAGTACAAAATGATTTGTTGTAGTTTTCAGTAACCGAGCTCCATTATTATTTTGCCAAGCCTTTGTTGTTGTCAACAAGCATTTTAGCTTGAGATCTTTAGCGCAATTTATGGTACAATTCTGTGATACCTCATGAAGCGTGATGAAGGGACATTGTGATCTGAGTACAGCCAAGAAATGCTGAAGTCTACATTTTCTTCTTCGCATTACTAACAGTCGGGAGTGTATACAGGATCTTAAAAGGCAGTCCAAAAAGACTAAAAGAAAAGTGGCCGTAATCGGCATAGCTCGGCATCGAAAGTAATCACTGACTGAAAAAGATAGCCCGTTTTGGTACATTGAAAACAATTAAACTAATGACCTCTGTACATGCATATGCAGGCCCGACCCAGGACTAGAGATTAGTAATTGACCGTTTATAATCCTGGTTTATAATATAATCTACATAAACTATTGACTTCAAATCCTTGAATATATTTTGAAATGGCCACGAAAGCATTCTTGTGGTCTGTTTTTGTCGTGCAGTTTTGGTTGTTTATAGTATAGTCTGTAAAGTAGTGATGGAGTGCTGCGTCGTGATGATTAATCATCAGGCTCTAGAGCAACTGGGTTCATGCTAGCGAAGTAAGTAGGTCTAAAGTTTGAGACTTACCATGATAAGCGTTCACATTTAGATTTCAAAGTATGCATGAAGCAATCGAGGTTGTCAATCAAGTTACGCGGTAAAATTTCGCCCGCATGAAATAGCGTAATCACGATTTTAACTACTAAACGCAGAAAACAACTACAAGGTACATCATGCAACCTCGAAAGCTTCGTAATGCTTACCTTTTGTTTCTCATGATTTTTTTTACTGCAACGACAGAGAGCTTTTCTATTTCAGCAATTATACCACTTTCTCATCACAGAGGAAGAATTTAGAGTGAGACGGACAAATGTTGCTCATGATCTTGGCCCAACTGAAACAACAAAACGTGTAACGCTGATGAAAGAAAGTTTGAGTTTACACGTTTTTTCTTCTTTGTTGGGGGACCTCGGCCCTGAATTGAAGTAAGGAATCGAGTGAGCTGTGCGTGTCTTCAATCAAAAGGCATATTTCATTACAGTTTGATTGATGTTTCAATTTCCTGATCTTGTTTTGATAAAACGTAAGTAAACTATGACTTGAAACTTGAACACGCGATACCACGGTTACAATTAGAAATTAGACCCGTTCACATCTGGAGTACGCCTCAAGTATGCTTGAGGTATACTTACTAAGCTTAGTATGAACCCACCTGCAACATAATAATTCATCTTGTATTATTCTTTGAAGGCTAACCAGTTCAATTCAAGGGTCCGCAAGTATTTTAGGTTAGTTAATGACCTCCTTCCTCAGGTAGTTCAGTTAAGGCCTGGCTCTTATGGGCTTAGCTGTGGAAAACGATTTATTGGCTATATAAACTTCCGCACTGAGTATGGATCGGAATCAAAATTTGGCACACATAAAGAACTCATCGTTCTTAACTTTTTAAAGTATAAAATATTTTGTTAATAGGTCACGTGATGTGTCACGTGACCATTTTTCTAAAAATCTTAAATAATTGACAAACTGGTGGCGGGTTTAAGAAAAGAAATCAAGCCATACCATTTTTCTCATTCATATCAAGGAATTTTTAACACTTCACGTTTGGAATGTTCAATAAACAAATTATGAGGGAAAACATTTTAAATGCCCAAATATAATCTTGAATTATTTAAAACTTTAGTTATAAACTTCACGTACGTTTATTCCAACGTAGAAAGTAAGATATATGTTTACCCTCCATCAGAAATGCCAATTTATTTAACCAAACAAAGAAAATGCGCCACCAATTTGCCAATTTCCTTCGTTTTCAATTTTTGGTCGCGTGACATGTCACATGACCATAATCAAACGTTAAGGCACAAGAAGACCTCAAGATTTACTAGTGGAGAAAAATTTATCTTGCTCTACGTTTCCTGGTGAGAGATATTCCCAATGCTCCGACCACACCTTTGACCCAGGCCTTAAACCCCCTGAGTCGAGGGATAGCCCGCAACAAACCAAGATGACCTGCATTGCAATGAGGCTGCTTTTTGTTTTATCATCGTCTTGACAGGTTATTCTATTTGTGGGAACAACGGCTAAATATGCCACAAACAATCCACATGTACGCTTCTTTAACGACAGCAAGACCTTTTCCGTGCATCATCCACCCACTTCAGGAAAGCAGAACACGCCGTTGAGTGCAAGAAAGCAACTTGCCATTCACTTAACCATCCAGTCATCGTATTGCGATGAAATGCTTAGCGACGTGGACCTAATGAAGAAAACTAATGATGCCGATCTCGTTGTCGGCGAACTGTGGTATCTCTGCTCAGCGTTAGTCGCAGACAAATTATCAGTACCTCATGTTTTAATATCTGCAGCCACTATGTCCACACCATCTTCGTTTGCAGTTGGTATTCCCGCTCCGCTAGCCTATATACCTCAAATAAGCAACAATGATAATAGAATGTCGAATATCATTGACAGAGGTAGGAATGTACTAGAATGGATATCACTGTATTGGTATTATTTGCAAGATTTTTGCCCACTTTACGGCAATATTAAAGCAAAATACAACATCACACCCAACAAAAGCATCCAGGAAACACTTGGAAGAGCTGATCTGATTATCGGTCAGATGCCTTTTGGATTAGAGCATCCGAGGCCTGTCCATCCAAGTAAGTAGTTTTTTTTCTCATTTCTTTTCACTTTGTCTGTACACCACAGTTTAAGAATCGCAATTTAGTTATTAGTCTAGGACCTAATTAAGTTTTGTGCCTTCTTCAACAAAACATGCGTCATTTATGAATGTCGCTTAGAATTCCCTGCAAGTAGAGCAGCCAAATCTGAGTAGAGAGCGCGAAACATGATCAAGCAAAGAACGAAACTTGCAAGGCGAAGCACCAGATAGAGAGCGCAAAGTTCGACCTTCCGCGGCTGGGATCGTCTTTGACTTTGAGAATGTCTAAATGGCGGCCTTTGATTGATCTGAGCCAATTTTGCCGTTAATTAAAACAGGTTGTGTCACGGAGGTCCTTGAAAACTTTATTTATGCATGTTCAACACCATCATCGTGGTGGTACAGGTCTGTGGACAGGGACTTAGCTGAGCTGGTACTTTTCACTGGCCCTTGATTTCTGGGGGCCCAATTGTTTTCCACGACATTGCAGTCCCGTTGTTCGATCTCTTGGTGATTATAATAACATATCTTTTTCTTTAACATGTTCTTTGCTGTTTCATTATAGACACTCGGGTTGTTGGTCCATTCCTTCCCAGTCCAGCTAAGCCTCTACCAAAAGAGCTGGAGGAATTCATAGGAAAAGATGGTGACGAAGATGTTATCTTAGTTTCATTTGGTAGCATTTTGGGAGACATTGCAGGATTAAATGAATCACTCTTGCAAAGAATGGCTGACGCTTTCTCTAAGCTTCCACAAAAAGTTATCTGGAAAATGAAGTTAGAAGGTATGTTCATTGACCCGAGGAATATCCTCATTCAGGCAAGGAAGAGTAATTACAGTGATCAGCGGATTAACTAGCCTGGTTACAGACCTTCTATTTTCTCTTTTTAGAGAAAAGATAAGCGGGCGGGATTAGCGGGATTAGAGGGGGGGTGTTGTAGATTTTCGACGGCGAAGTCGGGTGAAGGTCAGTGGGAACAAATACCCCGTAGCTTTTGTTCGGCTGCTCCGCCTCCAAGAACGTATCTAGGACATAATAATTCCACCAACTACGTAGGCTATCTAGAGCTCGTCGAGCGCGTGTATGAAAATAAAATCCTCGAGGGAATTATTAAGCGCTAGCGCAAGTGGGTGGGGTGGGCAATGCGCCCCCCAGCTTGCCTTGCGTGCAGCGATTTCAGAAAAAAAAGCCCCATCAGCAAAGGTAAGTCAAATTCTACTCAGATGTGACAGCTGCAGAAGCGTACCATCTGATCACTTTTAAATTTCCCAGTAACTGTACGCATTTTTTCTCAACAGGCAAGCTACAGGTGTCAGTGAGTGACAATGTCAAACTGATGTCATGGTTACCACAGAATGACATTCTCGGTCATCCTAAGACTCGTCTATTTATAGGCCACGCAGGACTGAATGGTATCCTAGAATCAACCTACCACGGAGTGCCAATGATTCTTGCACCTTTTTTTGGAGATCAATTTTACAATGCTAACACCATGAAGCAGTCAGGACTTGCGGAGGTTGTAAATTGGTGGTCCATGTCGTCAGAAGAGTTCGTTAGTTTGATACAAAAGGTGTTAAGCGACTCTAGGTGAGTACATTGGGAACACCGTACATTATATAGCTGAATCCGCGAAATGAAGTAAAACCTGCATTCTGGTTGGCTAACCGAGCGCATCTTGCCCGCTTGGGATTTCCCGCGTTGGTCCCGCAAGTAAAAGTTTTCTTTTTCAGGCCGTATAATTAATCTTTTATTGACGAAGCGTGAAGTCAAGATGACTTGATATTGGCCTCGTTCTTTTTTGCGTTTTTATTGATCGAGATGGAAATAAAAACGCAAAAAAGAACGAGGCCAGTATCCAGCCATCCTGACCTCACGCTTGGTCAATAAGGCATACCAAGAGCCATAATAATCGCTCCATGAAATGTTTACAATATTACAGTTTAATCGAGTAGAAGAGGTGGCTTGGTAAACTCAAGACGAATTTTCCCCAGAAATCAAATTCAACTTATGACAAAAAATGAAAGCAAACGTTAACGAAACCACGAAATTTCAATTAAACAGAACAGAGAAAGCTTCAGAGAAAGCCTCACCTCGACCAAGCTGCACAAGAAACTTTTTCCCCTAACTTGGCGAGTCGACAGGTGAAAACAAAGCTTTACTTTTCTCCACGGGCTGGAAAGCACAATTTAAACTTCCGGCGATTCCATATAACCCATTACGCTATTGTTTGCGAAAGGATTTTTTAACTGCGATTTGCAACTGATTTGCAATGTTTGAAAATTCTGTAATGATCAAACCTTTGCGCATACCGATTTCCACAAATGAATGGATCCGTCAAAACCTTCAATCAAATTAAACTTAAATGGTTTCCTTACTGATTTTGTTGAGATCCTTTTCAATTTCGGTGAATAGTGGCTTTAGGAATATTAACCTCGCCGCGAATATTCAGCTTCTACTCTCCTCGTGTTTAAAGGATAAGTAAGCTTACAAAGAGAAGTGAAGTACAAAGCAGGAAAAGATGTTTCCCACATGGTGCCTGGTCATGTCCTTGAGAAAAAATACTCGAAACCTTCATAGGTTTTTTCCTTCCTCTTTCAAAAGAAAATACGTCCGCACTGTCGCTTGTGCGGTCGTCTTTTTAGGACCGGCAGGTTTTGTGTTTAACGCGTGTCCGGGCTGCGATGCTACTTGTCCTCTTTCCAGTTGTTCCAACCAAAACGATGGTCACGCGGTCGCTTTAACTGTATTTGTACGGTTGCTTGTAAAGGACCTGTTTGTGTACAAGTTCTAACCACTTTCTGTGGTAGTTTCTTCGTTGAAGTAGGACATTTTAATCAACTCAAAGTCCCTCCACTTGGGCCGCCATTTTTTTTTTATTTTTTGACCCCGCCTCGCTTCCGGAAGTCAACCAGTTTACCGGAAACTGTTTCCGCATGGTCCGCATAGTTCTAAAAATAACTTTTTTGACATTAAGATGTCCCAAAAGCGTGACTCGGAGACTCCCTCTGTGTCCTATTATGGCTCTTTCGCATACGTATAGTCAACAACTGTTGAACGAGCTTGCCTTGGATGTGAGATGGTAGATTTGTTTTCTTGGTATTTTCATGTAAATTCGTGTATTTTGCGAGGTCTGTTCAAAGAATCCTCACTCATGGTAAACCTTTTACCCTGTGCCTCTCTTACGGTTTCCCAAAAATTGCATTTTCTAGCAGTTTTAGAACGACAACAACTTACTTCGGTCTCTTCGTGAAAAACCTTTCAGTTCAGGTGACTAGTACACTTACCATATTTGAGAGCATGACCCATCTAACATAATTAATGGCTCAGCCAATCAAACCTCTAGAATTGCAATATTCGGTGATTTAGCTTTTAATGTTTATGGCAATTGCCACTCAGGCTGTCATACACACAATGATTGCATTGCTTTTTCTTCGTAAATAAACCCACACCACGGTAGGCTTAGCCACAAGTTGCTCGGCAACTTTTCGGCAACTTTTAAATTCTTGACAACTTTTGATTTTTTTAGCATTTTTAAAATTATTTTTTACTTTTTCGCGACATTTATTAGCTTTCGAAAGAAAAGTCAGCTAAATTCAACTGGTTTATACTACTGTGTGAGTGTGTGGACTCCAGAAATGGCCCTACTACCGATGCCAGCTTTGTGTTGAACGCCTGGCCATGAGGTCAGCGGTATCACATGACACGTTTTTCAAGATGGCGGAAAATAGACCGTGTCACCGTTTTCGAACCCATCTTGACGAACAGGCAAACGTGTGAGGAATTACAGTGTTTGTATGAGAATCTAATGTCGAATAATTTCCGTAAAACGGCTGTTCTGAAAAAAATATGAATTTTAAGCTAAAGCTACACAGCAAGGGATTTTACTAACACACTTTGGGGGCCGTTACTGAGCTTAAATTTCTCCATAAGCTTGTTTTAGATTTTCCATATATTTGTGTGCAATTTTTCCCGGGAAATTTTTACAGAGAAATGTATAGAAAATTTTTAAAAAAGGTTCTAGGTCTTCTAGCGCATGTAACGCCCTCAAACTTTTTCAGTAGAATCCTTAAGAGTGAAGCTTTAGTTTACAATTCATATTTTTTTCAAAGCAGCCCTTTTACGGCAATTATTCGACATTAGATTCCTATACAAACACTGTAATTTCTCACGCGTTTGCCTACTCGTCAAGATGGCGTCGAAAACCGTGACAATGTCTATACTGTCAGTGATTCAGATTCCAGCTGGGACGAACGCGCCGATGAAGGCCGGATTAATCCTACTGAGGAAGCTAAAAGGCTGGGGACAAATCTCGCTACCACCGAAAAAGCTAAAATAACAGATATTAGAGAAAGAAAAATCCAGACGAATTCAGCGGGTAAAAACCGCGATAAAACCAACTTCAAGTGTAATCAAGGAGAAAAAAAACAGCAACTATTCGGCAAATTTTTGGCAACTTTAAAAATAAAATAGCAACTTTTTAGCAACTTTCGGACACTTTTATCGGCAACATTTTGGGAATTTATCGGCAATTTGTGGCTAAGCCTACATCACGGTAAATCCAGTATATCAAACTGAATCATTCAAAACACATTAAACAATTCAATTTGACGACGTTAGAGAAGGACCCGTGATGAGATCTTTGCAATCTGATAGCGTTTTGTGATAGTGTTTTACTACTATCTTTCATTTAGTTATCACGAGATGGCAAAAGGAATATCCAACTCGGTTAAGCGTCTGCCGCGCCCACCTGTAAAAGAAGCCGCTGACTGGGTGGAGTACACGCTGGCTCTGGGTGGCTTACCGTTCCTCAGACCACGAGGACTGGACCTACCCTTTTATCAGCTGTATCTTCTGGATATTTTGTTGGTGGCATTTATTATCTTGTTATTAACAGTGCTTGCTGTCATGTTCTTGTTAAAAGTTGTTAATCATTTTTTGGCACCAGTCACAAAAGAGAAGTCAAGTTAAAAAGAGAACACTTTAAAGCTCTATATAGCCATTAATTAGACTGTTACCACAGTGATTTCTATTAAGTAGTAAACTTTTTGAGAACTTTTTTTAATTGAACTTCTTAACTTGCAAAGCAAATGATTGTAGGAAGGTGGTCAAAACAAATATAGAAGGACTTATCTTGACTAGGGGCGAAGAATTGAGGGCTAAGTGCTTGAAGCTTACCACTGTCTGCAGACTAGCCTGCGTCGCAGACGTAATCTGACCTCGGCCGCCGGCATGAGCAACGTAGAAGCTTCTCGGAGATCTTTGGGCTTTGGGTTTTGGGCTCCCAACGGATTAAACGTTGTGTGTTTCGAATTTCCTTTATGATGGCAAATCGACAATGGCTTTTTCAACAGGCCAATCATAGCGGGTACACAAATCCTGCTACACAGGCTGAGGCCCGTAGCGTACAAAGATTTCGGCTCTAGCTCGCAGACGGACTTAACCAGAGGTTTTAGTTTCGACGGTGGCACAGGCTACGGCAATCAAACCATACTTATACAGGGACAGTTTATCCAGCACTTGTCTGGTTGTATTACATTAGTGATTACTATAGATAACGGAATAATGCAAATATAAGACAGGGTGATAAAGTCAACAAAGTTCTTTTGATTCGTGGGATCATGGTTGGTCCTAACTGTGTAAAACAGGTTTGACGCGTGAGATCGATGCTTCTGGAGGGATAAACTTGTTAAGTGAAAGCTAAATTTTTCTCCGTCCACAGAGGTCCTTTGATAGTGCCCCTGCATAGGGTGTGGTAAGATGAATGTTACTCTAGAAGATACTGGGGATCATAACTGGAAAGATGACACATTTAATTTTGTCATAAATTGTTGGGGCCGACAGTCATCTCTGTCTATAAAACCTTTGCAGTTTTCAGTAGAAATTGATGTAATCATTGCTTTATACATTAATAAAATCTAGAACCTATAGGTTTGCTTGTACCTGTTTCCTGATGTAGACCAACTTTTCTTTAAACACTTCAGTAATCTCTATAGTGAGGTAACCAGTCTGGTTTAAAAAGAAAAGCTCTAAGTTAGTTCGACTTTGCAAAAAACGACCTGAAAATCAAAGATCTACATCAGACAGTTTTTAAAAGTCAAATACATTTTATATTAGTTATCAATCTTGAGGTTCAGAAATGAATAATATATTTCTTTCGTTTTATTCACGGCCAAGCCTCGTAGCCAAGTATGAATTTTAATATATCGAAATTGGTCTATTTTGATCATGCGTTCTTGTGCAATCACAGGACGATGAAGTTTTGTTTAACAGGTGGATTTCCAGAAGAAGAAAAAGTGGAAAAATAAGCGAAGAATAGTTCTAATGTATTTAAGTCATTTTAGGACTCCACAGGACACCTGCACTGTTTTCAAACCACCAAACAGGCACGCTGAAAGCCAGGGGTTTCTTCTCGTACCATTACATTTTAAATTCGGTCACAGCGCGAAGCGCTGGGCCACAAATAAAATAGAGAAATCAGTCCACCAATTCGTCTCGCGGGATTATCATCCAATCAGAAAGGAGTATGGGACCGACTGTTATTTGCCAGCACACGAATATCTAGCCGTGTCTCCAGCGAGCTTTGGCTGCTGGATTTTTGGGTGATTACGTGGATACAGAGAATTATCTCTGAGATAAATGAATTTTTCCGCTGAGCATTAGCCATGGAAGGTAAATGCAAGTTTAATCCCTAGCCTTGGTAGCTGGTGCAAAAAGGATGAGAGGAGGGGGGAAAAGACGCGAAAGGAAAAAGAGTAACCAGACAAAATAGTCGACATTTTGTGACGCCACCAGTGGTTTCCGGGCGAAATGACGTCTGAGAGACGAGCGCAGAAATTCAGCACTGATGACGAGTCACTTACCCAGATGTGGGTAGTCCTTTTGATCGGCCGTGTGTTTGTCGGGTGAGAAATTTGCTTCAACCGATCAGCAGCACTACCCAGATCTGGGTAGTGACGCGTCCTCAGTGTGGAATTTCTGCGCTCGTTTGTCAGACGTCATTTCGAGGGGAAACCACTGTTGGCGTCACAAAATGTCGGCTGTTTTCTCAGGCTAGGAAAAGGGAAGGGGGTCTATTTCCTTCTCTTCCAATACCCTCTCCCTTTTTCTCTCGACGCCTGACACGCAGGCTTTTTGAGCTCTGAGTCATTCCCCACGCAGCACAATATTTGTATTAAGATTTTATTTCCACCATAAAATACGTCTGGTTTTAAAACTACATGCATATTTCTTAAACTAGTTTTCAAGGGATTTTAATAATGTTGTAACGAGTTTAAAACACCGAAGTGCCTCCTCAAACGTTTTCTAATTTCTTTGAACGAATAGCTTCCAAAATATCGTTAAAACATTAACATATAGTGATAACGTACAATTATAGCATGCGGAATATCTTACTTAAGACACATTTTCACTATTTCAGTCATACTGACTCATTATTACTAATCCATCTTGTAGGGCCTTGTCTTTTCTCTTCCGGTTCCCGATGTTCTCATAACAATTCCAACAACACATTTAGTAAGAAAATATTTCAAACTTAATAATATGAACAGAGTAATTAATAGTAGAACTAACAGGATGTCAAGCAAGTAAAGCTTGTAGAAAGGTAAGTCCAAACCCCGCATGCGGAGGTGCTGTAAACCACCC